ATTTATTCATATTTAAAAAAATAATAAGAATTAAGTACTGTTTATCTATAAATACTGCATACATGGGGAGTTTTTTTTTATACAGTTAGAAATAGAAACAAGTTTGAAAAAATTTTTTTTTATTATAAATTTGTTGTGTTACTTATGCCCAATTTCAATTAATGAGAAAAAATGCTACTTTTTTTTAATTTGCAATAATTTTTTTGTTAATTTTTTTTTTTTTTTGTAACACAAGTTTTACGCTTTCCAAAGGACAGATTATGACGTCATAATGTAACAAAAAGACATTTCAAAAAAATATGATTACATTCCTTCATACAAAAATACAAAAAGTGCCTCCCGTAGATAACTTTTGCAACAAAATTTATAATTTTTGCAAATAATTGAAAAAAAATTTAATTTTAATATTTTTTTTTTTGATTTTTTTTTTTTTAATTTTTCCATTTTATTTTATATTAAAAGCATATGTAGCAAGCGCATTAATGCGAACACTAAAAATTTTTATTATACTTTAATTAAACATATAAAAAGAAAAAGAAATTAACATAAATATAATGTATAAGAAAATGGCACTCTTCATCAGGCACGTATTCTATTAGTCTTAAATATCACTGAATACAGGACGAAACAATTAAAAAAAAATATAATAAAATAAAAAATATAGCTGCCAAGATATAGAACTTAATTTGGGTGTATTATGAATAGACTCGTACAAAAGTTGGCTCAAATATAATTTCAGTCAATTAATTGAATATATTAAAAATAATCGAACTGTAATGCGTACTAGTCCCTTCAAGGTTATAAACTTAGGTTAGATTTTTAATTTTTTGTTTAAACTCAGCAATAACTAAAGTTAAGTTTTTGCATGAAGGCTATACTTCACTTACGATTAATGTTTTACAACCTTGTATTTTTTCTGGACAGTAAAAAATTATTGAATACTGAATTTGTCAAAGTTTATACAACTAAGAAAGAAAGACAAATGCTTTTACTCAAAGAAGTTTTGAAAAAAAATTTTCATTTAAATTAAATTTTATAAATACTAAGCCTAAATGAGTAAAAATATTTTTGCTTTTATTTAAAATAAGAAATTTACAAAAATAAAATAAATTAAAAATATTTTATTTTTTTTATTCTTAAATACGTACCTGTTTTCATGGTTCATATTCATTTAACGCGTTGAATATTGTTATATATTCAATGTTTTAGTATGCATGTATACATATAATAAAACGTAAATGCATATATACGTGGTATACATAATTGCATTCTACTTGAAAAAAAAGAGAGTCATAACTCAGAAAAATATAACAGAGTACTCTTATTATATATGTATATGTAAATTAAGACATTATTTTCAATTTTTTTATTGTTATCTCAGTTTATTTCGTGATATAAGAACTAATAGAAACATGAGATCATAATATATATGCACGTAATCAACCAGTATAGACGTGTTAATATTAAATAATGCAAATAAAATTAACGATTAACATTTTCCTACATCTTCCTCTCTCTTTATATGCACATATACATTTCCTTTAATCTTAAAAAAGTAGGAGATAAGAATAAGAAATAATTTGATAGCGAAATTCTAGATACCTTAACATTTTCGTGAATAAAAAGTGGAAAATGTCAAATACTTCAGAATTAATAAGAACGTCAATTATCTAATAATTAAATATATGAAAAAATAAAACAATTTTTAAATTTTCCAATAAGTTAATTTCTTAATTATAATTAAATATTTTAAATTCGTATAAACATGAAATAGTTTTTCAATGGTAATCTAACCCCCCGTCATCTACGCTCATATTATTATAATAATCCTAATATATTCAACACCATATAATATATTAACATCGTCTATATCAGTCAAATTTGCATATAAAATATTGTTTTCAAAATATGCACATATGCTTGTATGTCATAATATTATACTACTACGTCATATTTATTCACAATTAATATATAAGCAGTTATACAAGAGTAGAAAAAGATTTAATTAGTGTACCTAATAAATTACTGATGAAAAAAGGCAATAAAAAATATTATTTAGCTAAAAAAACAAAATATTGCATAACAATTGGGGCATTAATAATTTTTCTTTTTCAGTATACATGCATCTGTAAAAAATAATTTCTAGATCTAAAACTTTACATAGCCCGAACATATTCGGATTTTAAATAGTTTTTTTCTATTTAAAAGTTAAACTCAAAAATTATAGAGAATATTTCAAATTTTCTCGCCCTCAAAACTTTTAAATATAATATATTGTTTAACTGTGTGTGCAAATATAAACTTTATTGCATCTGACTTAAAAAAAAATGCGCTTTTAGTAAGAATAGAAGTTTTTTTATGTTAATGAGCTAATAAAACAAAAAAAAATTGATTGACTGCAAAAATTTGAGATTCTATACTATGAATTTAATAGAAATGAGTAATGATAAAACTTTCCTATATACCCCCACTTAAAATAGTATTATACACAAATATTCTCTATATATATTACAAGCATATGTGTTATATAATATATCTATATACGTATGTACATCACACACAACCTCTATATACACCAATTACTTTATTTACTTTTATATACATTAGATACAGTTCAAAATAAGAGAAGAAAGTAGATTCTGTGAGAGTCAAAAGGAGCGTAAGAGAGCAATTTCTCATAAAAGGAGCACGTATTCATATATTATACAATATTTGATCGAAAAAAGTGCAAACTCGCATGATTTTTATTAAATAAAAATTTCGATTAGAAAAGAACAAAAAAAAAAGAATTCAAATTTAAAATAGATAAATAAAATTAATTTTATTCAAAATTTAATGTCCGAACACACTTTATTTCAAAATGCTACCTTCCATTATCGCATCAATTATTCGAATGCGAGCAGAAAATGTTTTTCAAAAAAATAATTTCTTTTGTGAAAAATGTTAATGTTTGTGTGTCCGAGTACTATACTGTAACGTGTAAACTCCTACATTATCTAACGCCATGTAAATACTCGAATTTTTTCATTAGCCATAAAACAAATAACGAAGCGTTCGTATACCTTAATCTTATTTTTTTTTTCAAGATACATACTCGACGCATAATCAAACCTTAACATTCAAATAAACGAAGATGTAGCGTGTTATGTTTAAATTCACTCGAAAAAATTTAATTAGAAAGAAAATTCTTGTTAGAAAACTGTAATAAAAATACAAAATGCCTTTATGAAAATTATTTTAAATAAACATTGCTTTTTAACAAAAATATTGGTCATTGATTTATAAAAAAAAATGGAAAAAGTTGCAAAAATTACTACATTTTATGAATTTCTGGGCCTTTATATAAATTTATTTTGTGTGTGATATACTACATACATATACATATAATATGACAATAGTATTATATTAACTATATGCATATCTATATATATATACGTATGTTATAACGCTATATTTTATTTTATTGTGGCGACGAGTAAAATTAAACCTAAAAAAGTTTATTAAAATTAACAAAATTTCAAAAATTTAAATTTAGATAAGAAAAAAATTAAGTTATAACAAAATCAGTGATAAAAATTAGTAGATAATTGCAAAAAATAGCCTGAATTATTTTTCATCTGAAAACAGATCTATACCTGTCGGAGTGAAGCGCTCGTGCTCTTTTATAGAAAATAATTTCATTTACAGAAATTTTTTAATTTTTTTTTTTCAATTTTAATTTGCTTTCAAAATTACTCAATCATTTGAATTGTGAGCTACTTATAACTATGTTAATTCTGAAATTAGAAAAATTGTGTTCGTTTTTTCAACCAAAGCTCTCAAATAACAAAATTTTTATCAAAAATATCAAACAAAAGATTTTCCCCAAATTCTCTATATCAGCACATTAAAATTATTTGTCTTTGCCACCTTATTAACGTATTATGTATTAATAATTATTACAATTATATATATAAATAAATTGGTAAAGTTATAATGTTAAATTTATGTTAGCAATATTAAAAATTAGTATATGAATGCCATTTATATATGAATGTTAATATTTAAGTAGTTATTTTTTAATTCGATTGTGTTTTAAATCAGATTTAACGTTATTTGCAAAGCGGTCTTATTAAAAGGTTTTATTAAGGAAAAAATTACATTTTATAAAAAAAAATTTAAATTTTCTAACAACACTGTTTTGAAAATTTTCTTTTTCAAATAAAATATAAATGTAATTTTTTTTCTAGCATTTTGAATATTTATAAAAAAATTTGAATAACAATATAATAGCATATTAAATAAATAAAAAAAAACAAAATTTAAGGCATGCAAAATCGATTCAAATTTAAAACAAAAAAAATTTTTTTTTTGTTTATAATATTAATAAAATATTAAAAAATATTAATTATATACATATATAAATACATTGTATATATATATACACAAATAAATTTATATGGAATATACTTATTATGATTACATAATTATATTATAAAAATAATAACAACATATTTTGACACAAAAACAATTTCAGGAATCAAATTGATTTATCAAAATCGCACAACTATCAAACCATTTATAATAACGAAATTTAATTGATAATAATCATATTGTGTAGAAAGAATGACACCACAAAAGATATGTGTGAAACCACACACACATATACACACATACATATTTTATGCACAATTTTATACCATTTAAATTTGCACGTTATGCACATACATTAATATAATATGCGTATTATATATGTATAACCAACATTCATACATGCATACATAAATACGTATATATATATATATGTATATATGTACATATAAATATAGATAATATATATATAAATACATATATTTTATGTACATATATGCATAAAATGTATGATGTGTAAATATGCGTATGTATTATACATATATGCATGCATATATGTTGCGTAAATACCACATATCATATACATTCATCGTCTATACAAAAAAGCTTCGAATTATGTTGTACAATCAACGAGACTTCTTTTTACTTACATATACTTCTTCCCATTGTGACACATATCTTACAAGTCTTGATAACCGTAATAGTCTAACAAGAGATAACAGTTTTGCTAATCTAAGAATTCTTAACGCTCTTCCAGCGTGAAGAATTTGAAAAGAATCGGAGAAATCCTGTAATTTCATAATCTTGAATTAAGGTCATAAACTACTCTTAAGTACATAATAAACTCACTTGATTAAATATCAGAAAAATATAATCTAGAGGTATCGATGAAATTAAATCAAGAAAAAACCATGTTCTAAGGTAATGTTTCGCTATTAATCTTGGATCTAATATAACTTGTTCGGCATTATCCTGTTGCATAATACCTGAAAATAAAAATAAATAACAAGAAAAAAAAATGGAAAATAAAAAAAAATATTTTCGAATTTTTTTGAATTCACGACAATCATTCAATAATAATATAACAATTCGTAACAATTTGAACCATATTGACAACAATTAACGATCATATTATTTACCTAAAAATAATTATTAAAATAAAATAAATATATATATAAATATATAATTATATACTACATATGTATAGACATAATATATCGAATTCAATTAAATTAATTCATCTAAAAAATGAAAAATTGATAAAAAAAATGCATCTTCTATACAAAATGAGAACAAAAATTAAATAAATAAAATTTTTTAAACCTCCATTGCTCACTTAAACTTATACTTTTACCCTCTCCTAAAACAAGCCATCAAAATTATTGAACTTGGCATCTCTACAATTTAATATGAATAGAGTATACCGTTAAAAATTGTTACAGTAAGTTTGTATTTTGTAAAGGAAAAATTATTAAAATCTTAATTAAACCATAAAAAAAACATTTGTTATTGTTTAATTATTTGGGAGATAATCTATTTTAAAAATTAATCTGCAATTTTTGTTTCGCAAAAATATGAGACTACAGTGCGAATTGTAAGTATCATACACATAGGAAATAAAATTATGTCATTTCATGCAATAAAATTTATTTTTTTTTCATATTTGTTGAAAAATACATTTTATCACAAGATATCATAACTAAATCAAGGAGTACCACGTAATTTTCTGGTCTCCCAACAAAATATATACCAAAAATAGAACTCTGATCAAATCATAATAATGACATTACTCAACACATAATATGACATTTACTCTTTGACATTGATTATATGTGACCTCATCTCTTTGACAGTCGAAAATTGTTAATATAATCCTGCATTTATAATAATCACTTTATATTAATACACACATAATTATATAAATAAAATTTTTAAACCTTCAAATAAATTATTAAGAAGCATTAAAAATAGAAATTAATTTTGTTCATTTATATAAAGCTAAAAAATCTAGAAGAAGATGCACTTTTTTCATTTGTTATTAGGTATATAATTTTTAAAATTTTTAAATAATAATTTAAAAAATAAAAAAAAATTATGAATTCCAGCAACTTTTCTTAATACATTCAAATTTAATAATATAAATGTTATTGATTGCAATCAATTTGAATTAAATTTTAATAAAATAACACAATATAATAATGACAACAGGTATATACCGTACAAAAAAAGATTAACAAAAATTATTGTTTATTATATACCTGTTCTAAAATTGACAACTATATCAATCAAAAAAATTGTATCGCTCAAACAGTTAAAAGCAATCCATCTAGTGCTTAAATCATCATTAAAAAACGAAATCGCCACTGGTAATATTATTAAGTTTGCTACTAATAACAAAAGCATACATAAATCCCAATAAAATCTGAAAATAAAAGACTTACATCAATAAATATTCTAAAACATTATGCATGTATGTATATGTACAAGTAAAGTTGTTATTAAAAACAATCTCTAATAATTTCAATTATTTTTTATTTTCTAACATTCTTTCGTAGACTTTTGCCTTTTATACCTTTATAGATAACCCTTCCCATCGAGTAATTTACGCATGTCTTTAATTATATTCTTATCACTTCCTCCACTACTTTTCCTCTCTTATATAAAAAATCTTGACATTATTTAAATTCTCTCTAAACTTGAATTAATCTTAAAGTTTTCTTAGAAATTTCTCAAATTTTCGGTAAAAAATATTAAAAATTAAAAAACTTTGAAATATACTAAACCAGCAAATCACTTTCAATTTAAATTTTGTTAAAGAAAAATGTCTGTTTTTGATTATATTTACGTACATACATATAAAAATTTATATGAGTTCTCCCAGAATATTCAAACAACAAATTAAACACAGTTACATGAAAACTAATTTAAACTTTGAAACAAAAAGGAAAAGCAGTAAATTGAAAAAGAAACAAAAACCTAAATTTCAATTTAACCTTCACATATAGTTTAAAATTTTTTAAAAATCACAAAGTATTGAATAATTTGATTGGTTGTTTGTTATTTTATCAATAGTTTAATTAATTTTTCGGCTTGGATATATTCTTAGAATCAGGTGTTTCCAATTAAACAACATGTGAATTTAAGCATTAATTCAATATAAGTAAACAAGAGAAACGAGTGAAAAAAGCGGATCTCTTTAAATTTTTTGCAAATACAGTTTTTATTTGTAAAAATTTACAACAGAAAAATTTATTTTGTGTTCTTTTTTATTTTTTAGCTCATTTGCTTAATTTTTTAAACTTTTCTTCGAAAATTGGTGAATAATAATTTGATTTTACAAAAAGTATTATAATTTTTTGTTATGAAAAAACTCCTTTTTTGTCCCGAATTTGAAATTTCATACCCCTTTAAAATTTTTGTGAAAGAAGTATAAGAAGAACCGGCTCTGCTTTTATACATATGTAAGTGTACATAAAACCAAATTTGTGACACTTGTTACAAATTTGGTTTCATATTATTATCTATGTTAGACAATACACATAATTATATACTTAGGTTATAGTACCTGAATGAGCTGCATGGATGTATTACCCAATGTCCTGATGTTTTTTGACGAATTCTTTCTTTAACCAATGCTTTCCGGCTGCCAAAAAGCTTCATGGCAAGCCGGTTGTCTGTTGGCTGAAACCATGACTGCAATTGATTTTTTAAGAAATTTGCTGATATTTTTTCAGCAACAACTGGAATCTGTGGCATTGGTTCTTCTTTTGGCGTTCCATATAGTGAAACGTCGTCAAAATGTACCTGTAAAAAATTTTAAAATTAAAAATGATATAATTAAAAATTTATATACTATGTGCTTAGGTAAATCATGTGAAAACTTTAAAAAAATTTCTTTTCCTCCTACTTTACTTGGTAGCATTAGGACCTACTTTTGCGGATATATGAGCAGTTACTTTTTATATTACCATCTTATTTCATAGTATATTTAGTTATATAATATTGAATATAATTTTTATAGTGACCTGACCAGGGTTGGAACTCGGTTAAAAAACCTAAGCGCGGTAGCCACTATTTTAAAAATTTTCGAACTTTTTTCAACACAGTGTTATATTAAAAGAAAACGTAGAACAACAATTCCAAGCCAGATTTATAGAAACTTCCTTATAATTTTACTTGTGAGAGTATGTTACTCTAAGAGTAAAATTTAACCCTATAATGAACAAGTTTAATTGTGAACAATAAATTACACAGATTGCATATACAGCTTTAAATCTTTGAATAAAACTATAAAACTATTAATTAGGAAAAATCTTACAGTAAAGATTCGAATTATTTATTTTAATATTAAACTTCAATTGCTATAATTAAATAAAACACAACAGTATACTTTCGTATAATAACGTTTTTAATTTTATACAATTTTGATAGAAATCAAGAATCTTATTGAAAAAATAGCTAACCAAAATTTGACAATTTTGAAATTTTTGTAGGGATAATAACACGCTAGGAAGGATTAGATACTAATTAACCTTAAAAAAAATTTTAATGAATTTGATATCGAAAATTTATATTATATACGTGATATTATATACGGTTCAAAATTTAAGAGTGCAGCCAATCGCTTAATTGTGTTTAATATAGTTTAAAATAGAGATTTCTTATTTAAAAAATACACGAAAATATTATTTTCTTACCTTTGTTCTAGCCATTCCGTTAATTGACTCACAAATTAGCAAAGCTTCATCTTCAATTGCAGTCACTAAAGAGTCTGTGCAGGTATTTTCAACAGAAATTTTTAAGTCACTTTGATTAACCGTTGAGCAGTATGAACAACGTATAGAGTCCGTACTGTTTCCTCCAAGAATCCTTTTAATATAAAAAAAAAATTAGTTTTAACTAATACACATTAAGAGATTCTTGTTTTTTTTTTTTTGTAATTACTTATTGAAAAAAAATTGCTGTTTTTTTTTTAATTTTTATTAAAATTTTTCAATTTTATACTTATGTATGAAATTAAAAATAAAAAAACAAAAAAATCTTTTAATAAAAAATCTCGTCTTTAACGGTCTTTATATTTTGTCGTTTTTACCAATACTGGAAAAATTAAAAAGTTCACTTAATTTTTTTTTTCTTTTCGGTTTTTACTTAATTATTTATTGTTTTTTTTTGTTTTTGTTCGAATGAACTGTATTTTATATACAGTTGTAGTACAATAATTCTTAATTCGAATTCTTAAAATTTTCGTACTAACTTTTTTTTTTTTTTAAATATTGTGAATATTTTTGTTTATTTTCTGTGTTCATTGTTTATTTTCTCATATATGTTATACATATACATACGTAGATTATTTAATATAATATTTTTGTACAAAATTTTCGTATTATGCGATCGCATATAGTACATATACACATATATACATACAATTTATGTTCACATGTTTATTATAAAACAAAGAATTCTAAAATATTAACGAAAATTATACAAACTTTTAATAAATTTATACAAAAAAAAAATGGTAATATTTTAATGTTGTTAAATTATTTATGAAACTACAAATGTGTGTATAATATTAAATTTGTTGTAATGCAAATAAATATTAAAAATAAAAAAATAATATTTAAGGCATATGTTGCAATTTTATATCAATATTTTCTTTATTTATTAAAGTTTTAAGCCCAATAACAAAATGTTCTTATTTTTATTTCATTTTTAAAACTAAATATAGAATAAAAAAATTTTTTTTTTTATTATTTTCCGAAAAAGCAACCAAAAACTTTTGAATGAATTAAGTACCTACACGATATGCAAACTAAGAAACTTGTATATGAAAATAAAAAATTTTTATGTTTGTATTGGTTTTGCATAGTTTTTTTTATATGTATATATGTATGTATTTTTACAATATATAGTATACAATATATATATTTCTTTGAAAGAGATTAAATAAATTAAGAATAGCTATTTAGATATTTCAATTAATAACAATTATTTCATCTAGCAATTAAATTAGAATTGGCTTAAGTATTTTAGACGATTAATAAATTCACATTTGTATGCTCGTATTGAATGAACTTTAAAAATTATAATCATAAAATTGCAAAATAGATATTATACAGTTAACAATGGCGTTAAATGACCATCGATTGGACAAAAAAAAATATTTTTGCACTTATCCGTATTAAATTATCTTCGAAAACAACAAAAAACAAATAATTTATTTGAAAAATTTAATAAAATTTAATAAAATTGAAAATTTCCTTTGCTTTTATTGATTTTAATTAAATTTTGATTATTGTTTTTTAATTAAAATTTTAATAAAATTTTTTTAATAAAACTTTTGTGCATTTAAAGATTAATTCATATGGTTTATCGGTTTTAAGTTGAGCTATTTTAAGTCAAACTAATTTTTCTATTGATCATGAATTTCTACATCTGAAATAAACTATAAGCTGTTTACTATATGTTGTTTTACTACATTTTATGTGAAAGTATATTATGCGTTATGAACCAATAATAAAATTGATTTTTTAAAACCTAATTCCCGCACTAAAGGTAAATGTGATTCTACTTGAAGGTTAATTCATGTACCTTATTGAGAGAGAGAGAGAGAGAGAGAGAGAGAGAAACAAAGCTCAAGAGAAATTAAAGAGAATGACAAATTTAAAATTTTAAGGCAAAATAAATCAACTCGTTGCGAAGCCGACGAACTAGTGAGTCCCAGCTTAACTGAATATCGCTACAAAATTATGAAGAAAATTACCGGTTTTAAAATTAAATCATTCATAAGCTTATTCGTGTCGCACTTAACCGTGTTTCAAAATCTATGATATTTTAATTGTACATACATACATATATAGGTGCTTATATAGAAGCTGGAAATAATTTTTATTAAGTTTTTTTTTTATCAGTGCAATACCATTTCAATTACAAATATTTAAAATTTGAGTTTGTTATTAAAAGCATTTTCTCTGCATATTGCCAGAGATGTAATTTTACCATATTTTTGAAAATCATACAGATATTTAACAGAAACTCTAAGAAAATATTCTCAGATCTATAATAGCAATTTCATTTTGAATTTTGAAAATAAATCAAACTTTCGTTTTTATAAATTTATTTTCAAAGCTAGAATACCCGAATTTATGTTTTGATTTAAGTTGTGATTATTTGTTTTAGTATTTTTTACTAAATAATAATCACTACTTTTGCAAATAAATTTATTTAAATTTGAATTCGATAAAAGAATTTTCTAAATTATCAACTAACGAAAATTATGTATACATAAAATTTTTTAACTCATGTACAGTTTGCGAAATCATCCAATTAGAACAAACGAGTAATCTCGAAAAATTTGTGTTTATCTAAATTAAGTTTCCATTTTGTTTATTTAATTCTGTAATTTATTAAGGTGAATTTCTCTATAAGCAATAATAATAAAAAGTGTGTCGTAGTTCTCTTTCACAATTCTTTGCTACTACATTTACGAGTAAATAATTTTGTAAATATTGAAAAAAAAAGTAGACTCGCCGCAATCGGTTTGTAGGGCAGCACATTTTGTCTTGAAAGAACCAGTCACTTTGAACTTTGAGATGAAAGTATACTAATTAATATTTACTTGTAATCAAATCATATTGTTTATATTTAGGAGAAAAATCAAATAAATTTTTTATCGGAAAAAAAAAATAAATTGTGGAAACAGCATTGTTCTAGTTAGTATAACAGTTAGTTTAGAAATCTGAACTTAATTTTCAAATATTTCCTATATTTTCTCGAACACTATTGTAAACGGAGTCACAGAAGGATGGACTTTAAGAGTGAAACTAGTTTAGGAACATTTTGCTTTTTCTTTTTTTTGGAACGTGCTAATAATTATTCCAAAACAAAAAAAAAACTTTTTTGGACTGAACGTATGAATAACTTGCGATTATTTGAATTTCTTTTATCAGCTTAAATTTAATAAATTAAATACAACTACATAATTACCTACTCCAACATATTTTATATATATATATGTATGTACATAATATACAAATGAGTTGTTTGATAGATTTTTTTGTTATTATTCTTAAAATAAAAACAGAAAAAATCTAAAATCTCAATATTCAATTTGTATAAAAAATTTTGTAAATTTTCCGAAATTTTTAATTTTCAAGGAATTTGTCTTACACAGAAATCTTTTAGAGTGTCTACTGTACATCACAAATATTGAAATCATTGAGTGTGTTTAATGTTTTTTAATAAATATTTGATTTAAAATAATTTACTAAAATTAGTTATTCTTGATGTGTGAGGCACTCTTATAAATATCGTTATTTATATTTATTTATAAATCCATAATTAATTGAAATTACAAAAGTACAGTTTTTTGACCTTGATCCTTTTTTATAATCTACAAATTTCCTTTTTAAAAAAAGGATTACGTTAATAATGTTGTATGTAAATTTTTAAGATTTTAAAAGTTCTAAATAATAAGCCAATAAATTATGCAAATTATAAGAAAAATATCGATTTGCACAAATCTCATGTTTCCCCTTGAACTTATCTACAACTTCATATACATACACACATATGTACATATTATATGGAAATTTTTGTTTTGATCATTTTAACTTTCCCTTTTACTTGTATGCAAAAAAAAGTTTTAGTTCATTAAATTAAATGTAGACTGTGCAAATGTAAAATAAACATTTACATTTTTTGATTATTATAAAAACAAAAATAATTTTCACTTTTTAAATATCGTGAAATTTTCACTTTCAAAGCACTCTGGCTATATATTTATAACAGGTGAACTATTGAAAAAGAGCAATTGTATAATTTCAATTCTTAAAATTAAACAAATAAATTAGAATACGAGTATGGAAATTTGAAGAAAGTGAGGAAATTTATAATGAACATTGCAAATCTTATAGTTTGGGAACCAAGCTATTCTAATATATGTATATGTATATAGCAAATTTAACCTACAGATTACTTGATTAATTGATTAATAGAACTACAATATTTATGTTAAAGAAACTTTGTGTAGTTAATAAAGTATATATACGTGTGCTCAAAGCTATACAAAACAAATTAAAAACTGTGGAACTTATGATTCTAAAAATACGTAACTACATACAGGGCATATATATACTTTACCATCAGGTGGATTTTTCAATTGTCTTCTTATTTTTACCTTGTATCACCTTTTCAAAAACAATATTATTGATAGCAAACTTTTCACGTTCAAAATTTTGAACAAGACAATGTAAATTTTCACAAACAAGAGTATTTATAGATACTTGTATATATGTATATAAATAATTAATTAATTTCCATTACTAAACAACTGTATATTTTGAACTGTTCGACTTTATACATTATTTTTCTGCAACTAATAATGACTAACTTAAATTTAATTTTACGTTATGGAATTAAAAGCGTTAGTATATTTGATTAACTGGTTTAAACTAAACGAAACTAAATATAAAAAGTTTTTAAGATTTTTTTTATATTAACCGGTTTCTTTAAAGGTTTCTATTATGTTTTCTACTAAACTTCTCGGAAGATACTGAATTAATTATTCAATAAACTACACTAATTCTATTTTAAATTTCGTTTTCTAAATTTCGAATCCAAATTAAAGTTTATGGCTTGTGGCACATATAGGAAAATTTTAATTTAAAATTTTGTACTGCAGAAAAAGTTTGATAAGGTTTGTAAACATTTAAAAAGAATATCATTAAAAAAATTTTAGCAGTCAAAGGGAAGATGTCAGTTTCCTTGAAATGTGTATTTTGCCGTGTAAAACAATTATGTTTTATTTATTTCTCCTTTAATACCGTAATTTACTAAATCTCAATGATTTAAACAGCTATGAAAGAAAATCACTCAAAATAAAACTATAAAATCTATTAAGTATAATTTTGGTGAATTAAAAAACAAAATAATTGTCTGGCAAAAAAACGTGTTCATATTTCTTGACGACTTCAAGTCTCTTGTGAAGTTGACCTTGTTGATCTTATGTCTTTTATGACGTAGGCCAGGCCTATTGGAGTCTGGAATGGGTTCGAAAATAAAATTGTAAACGAAATAAAAATTTTTTCCATGCTGGTTTTGACTCATTGTCCAAATAGAAAAGAGAACATCGTGAACACAAAATCAAAGTTGTTGACAAGCCAATCACATCATTTTAATAATTCATTTTTGACATTTTGAATTTGAAAAAATAATTACATATGTTAGAAGCGTTATGCCAAATATTTCACACTAAAGAAATTTAAAGGTCAATTTTTACTACTCCTGAGTACAGCGTACTTTTAGGGAAGTTAGCTCAATTAACCCTATCTAATTTGTGTGGCAATGGAGCAAATTGGAAATTCGAATCCGAAAGTTTCTACCTAAAACAAAGCAGTAAAATTATTTAAAAATTGAAAAAATGATTTTTTAACTCTGAAACTTAATTTTTTTGTATTAGTCTGATAAAAAGTGTGTTCAGTAAAAGTATAATTAAAAATTTTTGCATAAAGTAAAAAAAAAATTAAAAAACTGCGAAATTATTCATTTTTTTTGTTTGCTTTAAAAAAAGCAATTAAAATATGCCATCTAATTATTTTTAAGCATTATATTCAAAATAATTGTATAAAATTACCTATTTTTTATATGCGGTTTATTCAAACTGCTATTATAAGATATACAACGGGATGACTGTTTTGATGATGGTAAACAACAATTGTTATTATTATATTTATTAGTTGATGGGTTTTTCGATGTAGAGTTTGTTGTCGGTGCGCTCAGTTGACGATAAAAATCGGTTTTTCTTACAGTCAAATCAGTTAAGCTATCTTTAATACCATTCGAAACCGAAAATTTTCTTATGTTATTCAAATCATTAATTATATCTATGTAGTTACTATTATAGACTTTACCACGTTTCCGGCGTCGTCCATCTCTTACATCACCCTTTCCTTTTTGATGATGGGTTATTGGATATGTTTTGATACCACCCTTTGCTATAAATTGCTTGTTCTTCTGTTGTTGTTGATTTGTTGACGAATTTTTGTTATTATTTTGATTTTGATTATTATTTGATAGTGTATTATTTGTTGATGCAGTTGTTGGAGTTGGTGTTGATGTTGTTGTTGATGTTGCTGATGTTTGTTTTTCATCAAAACGAGAATTTATACATTTATTTTGATTATCTCCTGATAAACTATTATCAATATTTGATTTTGTTAAATTTTTATTTTTATTATATAATTTATCACTATTATTTCTTGATCTTAATGAAAAATTACCCAATCTTCTTGAATGTTCTTTAATTGCTTTTACATTTAATATAGATGGACTACTTGTTAAATTTTTAAATATTTTACTTTTAGCTGTTCTATGTAATATATTTGAAAATGCAATTACGTTATTATTATTTTGTTTTGAATATATATTACAATCACTTAAATGATTTTGTCGTATTTTACTGCATTCATCTAAACGACTACCAACGGCTGTAACTGGATCTGAGTTACTTAAACTTAATATACCATTATCATGACAATATCTTTTATTTCTAAGATTAAAGCACTTATAATCATAAAATATTCTTTGATCACTTAAATTACAATTTCCATATGATCCGGTGGAAGTTACATCATTTGAATTTAATATTGTACCACGATAGTGTTTCGTTGAATTATTACAATCACTTATAGATGAACAATCAGCGTTTAAGCATTTTGTTATATTATCTGGTGTACATTGATGGCTACTGCATAATTCTTTATCAATATTTTTATCATATTTTCTTGAACTATCATCATTATCTGATATCAGTAGATAACTCTGTTCATCGTCATCTTTTAAACAAATTTTATTTAATTTATTTTGTCTATTAAATGATTCGCAACTGCACGATGCTAATTTAAATATATTATAATAAGCGTTCTTACCATTTGGATAATTGATAGTATTACTAGATGTTAAATTAATTAAAGATTGCTGTAACAAATTGTGATTATATCGATCACCGGAATTTTCTCCCCTAAATGAAAAAGTATTCAGAAAAATGAAAAAAACAAAAATAAGTGACAAAAATTATTGATTAATATCTATTCATATAAATTAAGAAATTTTAAGGAGAATATTCACACTTAAGTAGTATGCTATAATAATTTGATAAAAAATATTAATTTTTCTTTGTAAGCCCTTCGAAAAATATTAATTGATTTATAAGTATATAAGTTTTGTTTAATTAGTGTAATTCAATTGATTATTCTTTTTAGGTGTACCTATGTGTTGCTTATGTTGCCAAAATATAATTTATCGTAGTCTGTTATATACGTAATATTGAGGTCCTTATCTAAGAATCGCATATAGCAATTTTTTTCTCATAATATTACGAAGTACATATAGAGAAATTTTTTTTGAATTATTATAATAAAAATTTTTCGGATTATTGACCTTATAAAATTGTTTTTATGCTCTATCTCTTGTACCATAACGGACTTTTTAAAGTTTAATGACTTAAATTGAAATTTTAGATAGTGGCCGAAATTCTGCAAGAAAAAATTTCAAAGTTTCAAAAAATTTCGTACGAAATTATCGGGTTGAAGAAAACTAAAAAAATAAAAAAAGGGGAAAAATTGATTTTTTTTTTGTGTAAAATTCAAATACAAGTAATATGTTGATTTTTAGCTCTGGTACATGTCCTTTCTTCCAATATCTTTCCAATATATTTTTTGGGAAGGAAGTTATAAGCAAAAAAAAATTTAAACAAGTAAAAATTTCGTGAGAGTTCGCAAAAATTCGTATCAGAAACTCTTGAGATTTTGCATCCAGTGCGGAAAAAAAAATTTAACCCATTTTTGATTCTCTAATCAATGGTATATACCTTTCTGAATCACTCTGTTTGTATATGTAAAAACACAATATCAATTAACGTATATCCGTAAACTCAATATCAATAAATGTGTCACAAACTGTGACATATTTATTAATATTGACATATCTTTGATTAAGAATATTGTATTTATCACAAATTTCCGTGAAAATACTTTAAAATTCCATGTTTTATATCGTTAAATGATTAAGAATTATTATTATATATACTATAAGGATATTAAGTGGCATATTATTTTAAATTCTTACAATATAACTTATAATTATTTAAAACACTATAAAATTATCTTTTTTTATGTAACAAAATATAGAATTAAATCTTATATATTAAAAAAAACAAAAATATGTAATAATAATATCCGTAAAATATTTTCAAATGATGAATGATTACAAAACACTAAAGAAAACTGTAATATTTTTAGTCGTTTAAAGGAGGAAAATTAAAGCTTAATATTCCATACCTATATAAACCCTGATGTCATTAAGGAGAAAATTAAAACAATAATTGTTTTATGCTATTCATTTTTTATTCATTTTGTTTTTTGTATTTTACTTTGTTTTTAATATTATCTTATATATTGCATATACACACTATGATTCGTAAGTGCGTTTGTAAACATACCAAAACAAAATACCAAATATTCGTTACGAACGATAAATTTTTACTAAAAAAAGCATGTCCTATATATACTACACACGCTTATATGCATATATGTTTATATACCCACTATTTTTATTTATATTGGTTATTCGCGATTTTTAATTTTATAACACATTTTCTTTTAAGGAAGTTTAAAAGAAAAAAAACACACATTCAAAATCGTTTTCTAATGTACCTACACAATATGTTTTTGATTTTATTAATTTGAATTTTATTAAAGTCACACCATACTACACACTATATATATGTATGTAATTTATTTTTTATGAAAATATTCTAAATTATTATTTTATTCAATTATTTATTATAATATGTTACACATAATTATTATCATATACTGTTTATATGTATTATATATATGTAGAGTAATAAAAATGAAAAAGTTAAAAAATCACAAAAAATAATAGTATAATAAAAGTAAAATATTATTTTTAACTACTTTAAGTTTACATTCCAAAATTAGTTTTACAAAATAAGTAATATAATAACAATTTTCATTATTTGGTATTGTATAATAACGTTCACTTTACGCTTTTTCATTGAATATTTATTATTTTTAGAATACCATGATGTGATACACTCTTATAACCAGTATAGAATTATGTATATCTGTATGTATGTATATGTATGTATGTACACATTATATACATATATATAAAATCATAATATATATATATACATATATTAATATTATCCTTCATCAGTGACCTTGAAGTTTTTTGTTTTCTATATGAGTCCTATATAAATTTCAAATAAGATTGGATACAAAATTCTTATATAAATTTTTATAAAAAAAAAATAAGAAAATAAGAAAAAAAATTGTTTTTCTTTTGTTCTTTAAAAGCTATTGAAAGAAATCAAATGATTTAAAAGAACACATTCGAGAATTATTATAGAATTAATCGAGTATTGTGAACTCTAAAAATAAAATGTCATAAAAGCATCACAATTCACAATTGATGAGTACGCATATTTTATATATGTATATGTATATTGCTCTTTCATTTTGAAAATTTCATTTTTTTTTTTTTGAATAAATTAAGTATCATAAAAATTACAATGATTTTGACAAAGAAATTTCCTTTTTTAAAAAACAAAAAAATACCTTTTTTTCCGTAAAACTCTTTTATCGTTGACATTATCGTTTTGTGCCTTTATTTTATGCCAACCATATAGTTTTTCTCTAACTTTTTGTTTTTTTGCTTTTATATTTCATATATCTATATAACAGTTATTTTATTTTATATATTGCTTTCATAATATTTTACATAATAGATTTTTAACACTATATGAGTTTTGTATATTATAATAATTTTTTTATACTATGAATTCAATGTATATAAAATTTATGGGTAAATATATCTGGAATTGGATAACTTGGTGTATAAATTGGATGGTATATAGTATATACACTCAAATTAAGGTCCAGTAAAAAAAAAAAAAAATTAAATTTTATTAATTTATTTCATATTTGATAATTTGTTTTGGGTTCTTTGGCTTTCATGATAATAGAAAAAGTTCATAAAAAAAAACAATATTGAGCCTAACGTAGGAAAAGTAATTTATTATTGTTTTCAGGACATTAAGGTGTATAAGTAATAACAATTTCCTTTACGATCTAGAATATAAAATGAGCTTGTATACACATACATATATATTTATACGTATACAAAATAGGAAAAAATAAAATCCTGTACTTATGCCTAAATACAAATAAAATAGTTATTCTAAATTGTTCACTTGAAAATTCTCTCAATATTTTACGGAAAATAAAACCATAATTTCTCACATGTTTTGTAGGTAATATGTACATACATACATATGTATATGTATAAGAGATAAAGAAGAACATCATCAAAATTTTTTTATTATTGCAACCTTAACATACAAACAAATTAAGTACATATTTTATCCCATTTAATATTTAAAATTCGAGAAAAAGGATAATATATAAGCGCATAAACATATATATCTTGTTTTTTCAAATTTAATTTTTTATTATCAAACATTTTGCGCTACTGCATATACAGCAGAAGAAAGCTTGTAGTTCGCCTTTTCAGTATTTCTAATATCTACATATATATTAGGCGCGCAAATTATTTAGTTATCTATTAATTTACAAAAAAAAAAAGCGAAAAGAAAAATTAAACTATTTAATTTTCCTTATTTTTATTATATAGGTACGAGTACATCAAATGCGTATATTTATATATCAACTACATGTACATACTACATATTCATCAATATATATATATATATATATATATGTTTATTTTTAGATTACATTTATTTTTTTTTCCTTAATATTAATTCCATAAATGTACACCTATTTGTATGATTTTCATATAAAACAGTAGTGTAACAACTACATATACATACATACAAATATGTATATACTTTTAGATTTATATAATTATATATTATATAAGCAGTTAACTAAAAATATGTATAAAAGGTTTGAAAGTGCATATTTATATATAAATGCATATATATATATATTTATATATATATATATATATATATATATATATATATATATATATATATATATATATATGCATACACAACATATACAATATATATATATATATATATATATAAATATATGTATAATAAATATATATACAATATGTATAATAAAATATTCTCATGTATACACCTACATATTTTTAGGAATAATAAAATAAGCTTTATTTTTAGTAAATTTAGATTGTGTATATTATATAGCTTTTGAACATATGTGTGACCCTATATTGTATATCCTACAATTTATACTAACTATTTATATACATATATACATATATATATATATATATATATATATATATATATATATATATATATATATATATATATATATTATATGTATATAATATTGTGTGAATATAATTGTCAAAAAAAATAGTTTTTTTATTTTTCTTACTACTCTTCAGTTAATTATAGATTAAGTATATGTATTTATAATAAAATTGTGATTTCAGACACAAAGTTAAAATTATAAAACAAAAAAAAAAAACAAAATATGTACAACCTAATTATAAATATATGTATATATGTATATCAATATACACATAAAATGTATGTATATATAAATATGTATAGATAAAAATATAAAATTGAAATAACAGTGTATACAACCCAGATTATTATATGTATAATATAATATCAGAAACTATATATATTTTTATAATATGTATATACTTGTATAATATTTAAAAATATTAAGCTGAATGTTTTTTATATATATGTATGAACTTATGTTAAAAATAAAACTTACAAATAATTACTAGAAGTTCCGTAAGCTCCTGGCCCACTGACTCTCCTTTGAAAATATTTAACTGGCATATTACTATAACCGAGTTTATAAGGCGAAATGTTTATTTTTTATCATAAACACTTGTTTTATGGCTAAAGTTCTATACTCAATAATTTTTGCAACATTTTTTTTTTTGTTTTAAAAAATAATTTTTAATAATATATAAAAAAAAATTAAAATATTTGATATATTTTACAATATATATTTTTATATATATATATATAAATAAATATATACATAAAGCTGGCAAGAAAACTTATATAATATATCGTAAAATTTTCAATAAAATTATTGACGACAGTAAAACACGATTATGTTCTATATATGTTTAACATTATGCAACATTTTTTTTTCATTCAATTTACAAAAGAATTTTTTTTTTTGTTTTTCGCTCTCTTTAAAATTTATATCTAGTCTTTCGATTTCAAGTATTTAATTGAATTATAAATATATACATATATATATATTCATATATATTTATATATATATATTAATATATATTCATGTATATATATATATAAATTCATAATTTTTCTTCATTTATTTTAAATATATATGTATGTAGAGTTTTAATAAAAAAACAATTAACAAGAAAAGTTCTTTTTTATATGTTTATTTTTTTTTTTTTGATTATTAAAACACTATTTTTTCAAAAATATTTTTTTTTTTTAAATAAGAAATAAAACAAATTTTTAGTAAAATCAAGTGTATCCAAAAAGGTGCAAGACAGGATTTACAAAAATGTAGAGGCAGCACATAATATATTTTAGTTGCACAGATTGCGCATGACATAGGAAAAGAAATATCCTTTATTTTGTTTTTTCCTCTTTTTCTTTTTGGAGTTTTTATGTCATTCAAAGGATATACCAAAAATAAATATACAGTTATAAAAAAATTCAAAGTATATACTTTAGGTTATTTTCAAAAATAAATCAAAAAAATATTTTGTCTCATCTTAAATTATTCATATATGTAATAATTAAATATTAATTGTGTAAATTACATTATATGGAAGTATATTATATAAATATCATTGAATTTAATGTCATATAACTCCTTCTTTTCAATTTATCACTGACTTTACAAAATTTATCCCGTTATAAGTAACATTCATGCAAAAACAAAACAACTTTTTAAAATTATGTCGGGACAGTAGAAAACTTTTATTAAAATTTGACAATATGTTACTTTATATGATAGATACAAAGTTAAATTAAAAAATACATGCAGCATTAATAGCGGTGATCGGTTAATCTTACGATTTTGAAATTAGAGATATACGATATTTTTTATATATTAAATTTAAAATATATAGTTTAACTCATTCATATTATTAATAAATTTTTTACAGTTTAGTAAATAAATTAGTTGAACAAAACTGAATTTTTCAACTTAGTTCGTTTAAATACAAATTTATAAAAAGCATAGTTTTATGTTTTTTCAGTAAAAACACAAATAAACAACATTAACTCTTTTTACGATCAACACTTTTCAATATAATATGCTGAACTAAGTCTTTCATCCTTATTAATTTCAAATGTTTTAAGGGAAACTGATTTTTCCTTGATATCACACAATATTTTTCATTGATTCCGTGTAAAATTCACTTAACTAATTTTTTTAGATATTTCTTATTACGCGCGTGCATAATTTTGTTATAAATTGAACGAAGAAGCAAACGAAGTTTAAAAAGAAATGAATTTACCGTTAAATTATTTAAGCAATTAAGAGTTTAAAAAACATCTACAACTTTCTAATATAATTATAAATTAATGGAAACGGATATCAAAACGTTCTTTTCAAATAAAAATGTTAATGATTCCTTTATTTTGTTATTTTTTTTTATAAGATAATAATTTACACATTTTGATTTTTGATAATACTAAAATATAAAACCATACTACTTAATAATAATATTTCAGAACTTGTAATATGCGTTGCTAGTTCAATTCTGCACATTTGTTGGAAGGGTTGAACAAACTAAAACGTCATTTATTTATATTCATAAAAAAATTGACATTTCCAATCACTTGTATTTTGATATTCGTAAATAATGATGATCAGTAATGGAGTTATTTTCTTTTATATGAATTTGTTTTGTATATTCTTTATACATTAGTTTTTAAACATAACTTTCTGAAAATTTAAAAGAAAATTTTACTATACTATACGTTTTTTATTATAAATAAAAGAATTATATACATAAGAAACAAAATAATGCCGGATGTACATCACAAATATGTGTAGATCGCATTAAAAATTTTACAATAACTTTTCATTCGTTGAAAATTTACAAATACTTTCAAATAATGTTAGCTAATGAAACAATAATTCAAATAGAGATCACTTTCATCACTCACCGCACTTTTTCCACACCTAATTTAATCAAAATTAAACAAAAAATTGAAAAAATAAACCTTAACTTGCACGTTGCACTAATTTGATTATTGTGTATTATATTACTATTACCTTGAAAGCATTTATCAGGTTTATAAGCGCCACATTTATTATATTGTTATTAGAAATAAACAAAACCGCTACACACTCATACAGACGGAATGAAAAGTCAACCTATTTTGACAATTTAATTGATTTATTTCAGTTAATTTTAATTTCTTCAATATTTATAATATTAAATATTAATTAATTTGATGTATGATTTATGGTAATTTAAATATTACATTCATTATAAATGATTTACTGCTAGTCCTCACCAAGTTATCAGCAAATATTATTTTGATTTCACAGGAAAGGTCATTAGCAAATTTGTGAGAACTGGCAGAAATTAATAAAATAATTTAACCACTGATTTGTTTTGACAAATAAAAATATGTATAAATCTCATTCTTAAAGTTGGTACCACTGACAATAGAAGGAAGACGATTGACGAAGGCTTGGTTTTAGATTTTTTGCCATTATTTGAAGAATATTTATTTAAAATTAGTTTGATAAATGCTCAAAATATTGTAAAATTATACAAAAATTTGCTGAACGTAAGTTATATGATTTATTTATCAATAATATATTGTGATTTTAGTGAAATTTTTGTGATAAAATTATAAATATAGTGACCGAAATTTTCTAATGACTTCGTTTTAAGTATATGTATTAAAAAATAATTAAGTGAAAATAATTTCATCAAACGTGTACAAACAATTCGTCTTGCACAATAGTTTTAATTTTATAAAAGAAAATTCTTTAATTTAATTGTGTATTTGAAGATAAAAATGTCTGCCATTTTACAAAAAATGTGTATTCTATAATGTGCCTACATTGCCAAAGAAAAAAAAAAGTCTTGTTATTTTGTGGAGTGTTTTTAAGAAATTTGCGTGAAAAATGAAGATCCCTTGATTTGAAAGATTGTGAAAAAACTATTAAATCTTCCAACGATAATTTTTAAGTTTCGCCAATACAATTAGTACGAAATTGAGTTAGATTGTGAAAGTTTTTTTTTATATCAAATACTTAGTAATTATGTATAGATAGTTTGCACCTTTTGATCTAGTGGATAAATATCTGCATACATATATATATACTTGTTTAGGTTATTTTTCTATTTCAAAATTTTTTATCGAAAATTATAGATATCTACTCTATTAGCATAGCGAAAAGGATACAAGTGAATTGATTTTAGTATATAGTAAAAATTATGATCTAATTTCAAAAACGATTTTATTCACTTATTTAAATATACATGACATCCATAACAGTCCAACTTATTATGTATAACTCATAATGTAATATGCATAAAACTCTTAAAATTCTAATCAGGCAATTTATGTATTATGTATAGATAAGAGCTATATATTTTTTTTTCTAAAAAAACATGTAATTTAGATTTTCAACAGAAACTAATAGTAATAAATAGATTTTTATGTTTTTTTTTTACGATATTTTTTAATAGAAAACTTTTTTAGATTAACCTTCTAATTATTTAGCAGAAAATAAGCTAGGTAAACCAATTGTTTCACTACATTCTACTTTTTGTTTGTGGACACAAACATTCCTTAAAATGTTATTTCAGATTTAATACCTCCTTTCAATCTGCAAAATCTGGGATTCAAAAATCCTTCTTTCAGTTACAAAGTAATAATGTAGTTAAACAGTTAGAGTGTATTAAATATAGTTTTTTGCACAGACAAGTTGAACTTTAAAATTTTAAATATTACGAACCTAACTATGAAAATTTTTCAACATTTTTTAAGAAACTAATTTCATTTTAATAAGAATTTCCTAAATATTTTTAAAATTTTATGTATCCTAATGTCAGGGATATTCGCGAAGATTAAATAGTAAAATATTAAAACAAAAATTTGAGTGTATGGTAAATTATTTACAAAATCTGTTTCAGTGTTTATGTTTAATATTTTTTTGTTATAAATAAGCATTAAGTTAGTGTATACCCCATTGATTTGGTGTTAAACAAAATTACATGATTTACTTTAATAATACACACTTTAATATAAATATACAAATATGCGAATAATTTGATCTACTACTAAGTAAATTGTGTGTGTGAAGCAAATTTTAATTTAGTGGGTTTTTAAAGGAAGGGTTAATTCCAAAAAAAAATATAAAAACATTTTCTATATTAAAGAATCGTTTAATTTTGAAATTTTATCTGTAAATATGTAAATAATAGATGTGAAATCCATATGTAGATACTTATACGAATTATAATAATGTGTAGATTACTTATGTGAATAAGCAAAAAATTTTGAACTATAATTTTCATAAACATTAATTGAGAAATGTATTTTCTAAATTCATAAATATTGAAACTAAAATTTAGGTTTGATAATAAGAATCATTTCGTTAAAGTTAGGCAAAAGTAATTCTACTTGTGTCCTAATATAAATTAATATTTTTAATTATCAAATAATATGAACCTAAGTACAGATAGTTGAAACGTGTAAATGGTGGTTATTTGGTAGTATCACTGCTAATTAAATTGAAATTAATGAGGTTTTAATATTATAACATGTCATATATATATATATGTGTGTATAAATAATTAACTATTTTAATATGTAATATTAAATATTTAAATGAAATATTGTATTTCGTTTAATATACATTTGTATATCATTTAAAAAATTTGCAATTAGGATTTCTGCATTCGTTGCCAAGATTTTTAGAGACTAATTATTGATTTTAATTGAAAGTGCTTTATTTAAAACTTAATTCAAACGTATTTTGTACACTTTTGAAACAAAAATACTAACTAATATATTTAGTGATTTTTAAAGTGCTTCTGCAATATGTTAATATTCATTAATTGTGCTGTCCAAATATTTAGTATACATTTGATAAGATAAATTTTTCAAACGAAATTAAATCTTATGGTGAATATTTTTTCTTAGCACAAAACATTTTTGTTTTGTGATACTTCAAATAAAATCTATATTACTTAAATAAAATGATAATTGTGCAAATTAATAAAATATTATAGTATTCTTTCTATTAATTTACTCAAGTGAATACAAACTACAAGTTATTTTTTATGAAATGAAAAAAAACAGCACATTTAAAAGCAGATTGATTATGAAAAGAGTATTTAATTGTATAATTACTCACAAAAATTCCATATTGCAATATTAAATATAATATATTATATAAGAAATATGCAATTGTGAAAATATCTGAACGTTGTTTTATAAAATTATAATAAATTTTATGTGCCATTTAATATTTATAAAAAACAAACTTATTTAACGAAAAAATGCATAAAGTGTTGAGTGCCAAATTAACGTACTTAAAGAAATTTTAAAGATTAGTTTCTACAGTTTCATTTGTGTTTTTCAAAATTAAGATAATGCAATTGTTTATAATTGTGGAAAAATTTTATATTTATTGAAAAATATAAAAAAATATGCTTTCGCATTGAAAAGAAAAGATGTCAGATACCCCCATACTTTTGTATTGGGGTAAAAACTCATGCAAAAATTGTAATAAAGGTATGAAAACAACAGAATTTAAAGTTAATATTTAATCCATTATATTGGTTTTTGTAAATTACACAAAGTTTCCACAGGTTGCATTGCAATATGATCTTTAATTAGAATAAATTCATTTTATTTAAATTCATAAACGTAACGTAATTAAAAATCATGCATTTTAAAATATTTATACTTTTCTGAAAACACAGTTTTCGCCTCTTATCCTAATATATTTTATGATTTAATAGACTAAAATATTAATAGTTAAAGCAATATAAAAGTTACAAGAACTCTAACATATTTTTTGTCAAAAATTCAAACTTTTGTTTGCTCAAAATTAATATTAAAAGGTCAAAAGAATCCAAAACTTCTGCAATTTTGTGATTTACGGCTTACTATATAAGCTCTTCCAAAACAAATATGGTATAACTAGTCCCGTATGTATTAGGATTTGATGCTAGAGCTGTTAAATTAAGATAACTAATAACTGGTAATGAAAAAATACAAAGGTAAGTTGATTTTCCTTCATCTATGGAGCCAGAAAGACCCAAAAAAGGCCTAAAATTTTGAAAATTTTATTATTTATATTATTAATTTTAGCATTAATATTTGTGCTAAATATGTAGGTCATACAGCTTTGTTGAGAATTTTTAATTCATCTAATAATATAAGAACGATTCAAGAAACTTATAAGGGAAATTAATGATAAAATAACAAAAAATATACCCAATATATTTTAATTAAGTAAATAAAATATTTTTATTCCTTATTCCCCCCGTAATTTTTAATTAAAAATAATGTTCTTTGTAACTAAAAAAAAATTTTTTTTTTATTATAAATTTCTGCATCATGTATGCAAAATATAAAAAATTCAAATTAATAAAATAATAAGAAACATATTAATATACACTTCAAGTCAAAAGATTTTTAGTTACATCGTACATTATTTTATAATTTATTAAAAAGTAGTTTTATTTTTAATTTTTATCTAAATTATTTTCTACATTAATATATCCATATTTCTTTTTTTGTTTTTTTTTTTTTTTTTCATTTTTAAAAGGGACACCAGCTGGCGTGTATTTTTCATTGATTTTTTTTTTAGTAGCTAATGAATAGCATTCGAAGTTCAGGAGACCTAGACCGCATAACTGTTAAAATACATAATATGAAACGTAGCGCATCACGTGATTCTCCAAGGGTGAAACGAAGAAACAGCGCTAGTCTCCGTTATGATGGCAGCTCTGATGACGGAAGAATGTCTCCTGATAGACATACAAGAAGTAGGTTGGTAAGATCACCAAGTCCAAGACCAAGATATGTTTCACCTCATCCAGAAGAATATCCAAGACCGACATCAGAACGTCCGGTATATAAAGTACTTTGCGTTAGTTCCATTCATTTAAAGGCATCAGATGAGTTTATTAAAGAAACTTTATATCGCGAATATAAGAAATTTGGAGATTTTAGTATAAGGGTATCTCATGAAGTTGATGAACGTGTAGCATATATCTGTTTTAGAACTCCAGAAGATGCGCGGGAAGCTAAGCATCACAAGCCGAGAATTATGTTTTATGATAAAATGGCTGTAGTTGAAGCGGTTTATGAAGGTCCTCCAAGAGCAGATCATCGTAGTCGCCATAAATCAAGCTCACCACCTCCTCCCGAATATGATCGGCATTATTATATTAGGTCTCCAGCAGCACCTGTATCTGTTGAAAGACATCGCTTGCCACCACATATTGAACCACATCATCCTTATGAACGAGCTTATGGTCCTCCAGCTGTTCCTATGCATCACCCACCAGAATTTCGGCCAATTCATCATGAATATATTCCAAGAGGGCCGCCAATACGTCATTTACCTCCTCATATGCATCCGGCCCCTCACAGACCATATATACCTCGTCATATTATCCCAAGGCCGCACATTCCGCATTATGAAAAACCAGATAAAAAAGATAAATTTCCTAATTATTTGCATCACGTGCAACCAGAGGACGATCCCTTAGCCACAAGAACATTGTTTGCCGGTAATTTAGAAATAAATATATCAGATGAGGAGCTGCGTAGAATTTTCGGTAAATATGGAATAGTGGAAGACATCGATATAAAAAGACCACCACCGGGAACCGGAAACGCATTTGCTTTTGTAAGATATCAAAATTTGGATATGGCACACAGGGCCAAAGTTGAGCTGTCAGGGCAGTATATTGGAAAATTTCAATGCAAAATTGGTTATGGAAAGGCGACTCCAACATCCAAGATTTGGATTGGGGGACTCGGTGCTTGGACTTCGGTAACACAATTAGAAAGAGAGTTCGATAGATTTGGCGCTATTAAAAAAATTGAATATCAAAAAGGAGATACAAGTGCCTATATTTTATATGAGTCGGTTGAAGCTGCAACATCTGCTGTTAAAGAAATGAGAGGATTTGCTTTGGGTGGTCCAGAAAAGCGTCTAAGAATTGATTTTGCTGATGGTGGTGTAGAAGGAGCACCAGCTCCAGCTCCTTTCAGACCGAAAGCAGGTCATGATCCAGTTCACTCCACAACTGAATATAGAAGACCGGAATATGAAGTTGAGCCAGTTCATTATCAAGAAATACCCTATCACGTTCCATATCATCCACGTGGAGGTTATAGAGGAAGAGGAATGTATAGAGGACGTGGTGTATATCGGGGTGCAGTCTATCATCATGATATACACAGAATGCCAGTTACTACTATAGTCAATGAAACATGGAACCATACTGTTGATCCTGCAGATTATGAGAAGAGCCGTTCTCTTTCTCGACAGCCTCCAATTGAAAGATCAAGGTCACGGTCACCGCATCGTAATATGAGTCCTGAATCTGACACAAATTCTCGTACAAACGGGATTTTAAGTTCAGTTCGTAATCTTCAAGATGTTTCAAGAAAATGCTCAATAGCTTGGCAAGGAGCGTTAATACTAAAGAGTTCACTTTTTCCAGCAAAATTTTATCTTACTGATGGCGATTCGACTATCATCAATTCACTAATGAAAGATGAAGAAGGTAAACATCATTTAAGGATTACACAAAGATTACGCCTTGATCAAACAAAATTAGATGACGTAAGAAAGAGAATAAGTTCATCTTCCTCACATGCAATATTTTTGGGTTTAGCTTCTTCCGGATCTATAATTCAGTTAGATGATGCTGGTATTCAAACAAGGCCGTTAAGAAATCTTGTTTCATATCTCAAACAAAAGGAAGCTGCTGGTGTTATTTCTTTATTGAATAAAGAAACGGAAGCAACTGGCGTTTTGTACGCGTTTCCCCCTTGCGATTTTTCGACAGAGCTACTAAAACGTAGTTGCCATTCAATGTCGGATGAGGGATTGAAGGAAGATTTCCTCCTGATTGTAGTTGTTCATGGCGGTACAGCTTAATATTAATATTACATATGTATTAGTTGAGAAAATATGTTTTTCATGCATTTTGAATAAAAAAAATTATCGAAAAATAATTTTCAAGATGATTAAGAATAAATAAGTTTAAAACAAACTCTTTTGTTAATCATTTTATTGTATTTTAAAACAAGAAATATTGCCTAAAAACATTTGGTTTGTTTATTCTTTCCAATTCTAATATAATTTATTATTAGAACTTTATAAACTTTTAAACCAGAAATTCTTTGTATTGGTCGATCAAGCTACAATTTGCATCCTTTTGTGTTAAAACTTTAATAAAAAATGAAATCCGTAATAAGTATATTTCTCAAAAAATCCTAATTATTAGAATCTGTCTACATTGAAGTACATAGGTCGTCATGTTTTGATTTAAGATCGTTAAAAAAACTTAAAACTTTCAGGTGAAATGTTAACTGTTTAAGTCAGAATCTATAACATCTATTCGTCGAACAGAAAAGATTTAGTTCGTATTCATATTTAAATTATGTTATTAAAAAATCTATGTATATATATACGTGTTGGCAATTAAAGTCAAACAGATACTTCAGTAAGAAAACCTTTTTTTAGGAATTTCCAAATTAAAAAATTTCAAGACAAAAACAAAAGTGCTATGTCGTGTACTTTATATGAAATAAAAATGCATAAGCACTTATATCTTATTATAATTTTTACCTTATAATGGGAATAGCCTTTTTATAACCAAAAAAGTCATAAGGATTTAACAATAACAAATACTTAGTAAGTTAAACAATTTGTCAATTTAGATCGAAAAGTAAATTTTATATTTATTGAAATCATCACAACAACACAATAAAGTTGTTAAAATGCTTGTTTTTCTTTTTATATTTTGGGCATACAACTTAATCTTTTGCAGGGACCTCTATCACACGAGGTTTATCAATTATTCTTGCAGTACGATTTCCTTTTTCAACAATACCTATAATCCAAGCTTGGTATCCTTCTTGCTTTTCTATGTCTTTACAATATGCAGCGGCTTGCTCCCTTGGTAAACAGATTAATAAACCACCAGATGTTTCAGCGGAATGACCTTGAAGTAATTGGAACATATTTCCGCAAGCTTTTGCAACTGCTGCCATTTTAGCAATAACAGGTAAATTGTGAATAACGAAAGAAACTTCCTTCTTTTGATGTGATGCTAAAGTTTGAGCATGCCCCAAGAGGCCGAAACCTGTTATATCTGTTGAACCGTGGGCATTATATTTATGCATCAAACGAGCAGCCACTCTGTTTAATCGTGCCATAGAGTCCATAGAACGATGATATGCTTTCCGTACATCTTCTTCTGAAACAACTAATTTGATTCTATTCCACCTTTCTGGTTGATCTAGCCACTGATGTGCACTTACAGCAACTTGAGTGCCCAATGGTTTTGTCAAAACTAAAACATCTCCAACAACAGCATTGTCCGGAACGATATATTCATTTGGTTGACAAATAGTCGATGCTACCCCTCCAATTGTGCACCAAGGGTTAACAACACTTTGACCCCCAGTTACAGATGTCCCAGCTTCTACAGCAGAGTCCTTAAAACCTCTCATCATTAATGGAACAACAACATCGCGTTCCTTCTCCGTCATTTTCGTACTTATAGCCAGTAACATTAACATATTGTCGCAATCAGTCACGCCCATCGCATAAAGATCACTTAAGACATTTGCACAAGCAATTTTACCCATCATATATGGATCATCAACAATTGGATAAAAAAAATCCGTTGTTTGAACTAAACACAAACCACCATGTCTTAACGGCGTCACGGAACAATCTAACCCAATGCCGATCCGCGGAATCGCCAAGTGCATATACTGATTATCATCCTGGTTCGTGTAATCCTGTTGCAAGGATGAAACAAGCTTACCAAGAACTTCTTGTGGCACTTTACATCCACGACCTTTTAAATCAGCAAATCTTGTTAAACGAAATGTAGGCTCCAAATCATGAGCTGTTGGATCAAAAGGACGGCGTAAGGAGTCGTTTTCTCCTTGTAGTTCTAGTTTTACTGAATTCAATGCATCAGCCTGATATTCAGACATCGCTTTTTTTTTTCAACCGTAAACAAATTTCAAAATTCAATAGTATAAATAATCAAAAAAGCCGCTATTCTTACACTGGAGCAAAATGGCGTCACTACAATTTACCACTTTACTTTTTTTCTGATAGAAGCTACCCAATGATTTTTCATATGTTTAAAGAGTATTCACAAGTTCGCTTTTTACTTTGTATTCACACTAAGTCTTCAACAAAAAGTAAATTTTGCATATTTTTTTAACCAGTTTTATTAGACAATTTCATTTAGATTTATTAAAATATTCTTTTTAAATTATTTTTATAATTATTTAGAAATGTCTGCTGTAACTCAAATTTTTATATGAAATGCTTTTAACGTGCAAAAAGTTGTCTTTCTAGTTTAACGCGGCACAAAAAATTGACATTATAGAGTTTTGATTGACAACAGCTATATGTTGTACTCAAACAGCTGTAAATATTTCAAACTTTGATTTTTAAACAGACTACAATTAAATTTTTATCATGCCATTTACCATTTTATGTTTGAGATATTTTCTATTTCAAATCAAAAACATTTTTCCAATAAAATCTACAGAACTGAAAACAATATTCAGAAGATATTCAGCAATGCTGTACATTCCACTATGAATTGATTCGTAAGTGAATTTAAATTCAACTCGGATCAAAATTATCTTCTATATTTTTTTAGCTTCAGAGTGAGAATTAATAAATATACTGTTTAAATATGTTTTAGATAAAATATACGTATATTTTATATAATAAAATATAATATTTTATATAATAAAATATTTATTATATTTTATATAATAAAATATACGTATATTTTATTATTATTTTTAGATAAAATATACGTATATATATATATAATTTATCTGAGTCTGACAAAAGTCACATATGTAAACATATTTTGTCTCACGGTAAATAAAGGTACTCTTTACATATAAGCAAAAATCTAGGATTAGCTTACTGTTATTATAAGAAACAATATCTATGATTTAATTTGCGGCTGATGAAAGTCATATATATGTAAAACCTGTTTGATATCAAACTTTGTTTGCAGTAAAGCTATTGTTTAAACTTACTGTTTGCAAATGCAATAACATCTACGATTTAATTTGAGTCTGATGAAAGTCGTGTAGGTAAACCCTGTTTGACATAAAGGTGAAAGTAATAGAAATTACTTTATTCTCATAAGATTTTCTATAAAATGATGACAATTAATTTTTTATGATACATATATTTCGTTTATATGGCGAATTGAGTCCTTGACTTGAATTTTAGATAATTTCAGTCTGATATGTAAACAATCATCACACATAAATTAGACTTTGTCATGTATGAAAAGAGTGCCATAGATTTTCTTGTACGTACATATATGTAAAATATATAAAAATTATTGAATTAATTGGCAAGAATATTATCACGTAACATATTTTTCCGAATTTTCTGCTGTCAAAATGCTTATTGAATGCTTTTCGCAATACTGCATTATAATACCGAAGATTAAAACCTTCCTGTTCACGTTACTATGTATTGAATGTATTGTATTGAATTGTGCACTTTCTTTGGATAGACCTTGTACTTTCTATTTTATCCGATCTGTGTCGCTTTTCGTTTGTTATATTTTAAAATAAAAATGTCAAACAAAATGATCCTGTCAAAACAACTCATAACCGGAAACGGATGTCAAATTTCTTTTCACTTTTAAATCTTCCGGAATCAAAATGTCTAAAAGAGGTGAGAATATTTTAAATCAATACTCATCTGTTGAAAACTTTTAAATTTTGATCTAAACATTATATTAAAAATACTAGTCTTTATATTTTCAACATAATAAAATAAATATTGCTAATAACCAACATTCCTGTAAAATGTATATAAATTTTGAATATACTTTTTAAGAATCAAGCGTTTATAGTATTTTATATACAAATAATGAAATTTCAAATTTACAGGACGTGGTGGATCTGCTGGAGGTAAATTCAGGATCTCATTGGGTTTACCCGTGGGCGCAGTAATCAACTGCGCAGATAATACAGGTGTGTACATACAATATTCAATACAAACGATTATTTTGATTTATTAAATTTGCAAGGTGGTAAGAATCTATATGTTATTGCTGTTCATGGAATTAGAGGCAGGTTGAATCGTTTACCATCTGCTGGTGCGGGAGATATGTTTGTTGCTACAGTCAAAAAGGGTAAACCAGAATTAAGAAAAAAGGTAAATGTTAGCTTAAGAATTATGAATGGACTTTCTGAAAAGCATTATTTTGGAAATTTAAATCTTACGAATATAGTTTTTATTGAAACTCAACAATTTGATTTTTTGACATTTTCTTACCGTAGGTAATGCCCGCTGTTGTTATTCGGCAAAGGAAACCATTTAGAAGGCGTGATGGTGTTTTTATATACTTTGAAGATAATGCCGGTGTAATAGTGAACAACAAAGGCGAAATGAAAGGTTCTGCCATAACTGGTCCAGTAGCTAAAGAATGTGCGGATTTATGGCCTCGTATTGCATCAAATGCAAGTTCTATAGCTTAAATAAAAGTATAAAGATATTTAAAACCGTAAAATCTGCTTTTATTTTTGGTGGGTCTATTATATTTTCGAGGGACAACATATTAAAACTTCAAATGATTTGTTTTTTAAATGTTTAATATTCTTGATCTAATTAATTTTTATTATATTACAATCTGATTATATGTTTAAATTTAAATGTAGGACTAAAGTAATGTTGAAAACATTTTATTTGCACCTTAAATTCTTAAATATCTATTTACACTAAAGATCCACATATATCTATGAGCATGGCATTTTCTTTATTTTTAATGGCAAAGTGTTACAATAAGTCTTCTAAAGCACAATAATATGCGTAAAAAATAAAAAATATTTTCATATATGTAATTATTAATTTTCACAATGACACTAGATAAAATTTACTAATACAGAATTTTTACTCTTTTTTTCATAATTGTCGCCATACATAACAACTTAAGACCAGATTAGGATCTTGCTATATCACACTTAACTTATTGCGATAAAATTGATTGTACAGTTGAAATTAGTTATATTATCTATTGTAGGCATTGGGCAGTTTTCAAATTGTTTCGGTACTCTTCCGAAAAATAAAATTCATTTGAAAAATTTCAAAGCTTAAGAGTTATTTAAAATAAATAAAATTTATACAATTTTAAATTTAAAGTACAAGCTTAATTAAAAGTTTTAATATAAATTTTAAAATAACAGTTTACCTAAGTTAAATCAGAAAACAATTTGTTTAGTGCAGAATGTAGGTACTATGTACTACTGTATGATTTATCAACTTTGCCATTTATTAACTTGGTTTTACTATGATTGCAGCTGGAAAATTATTTTCGGAAACATTTTAGTCCTTAAAAATTAACTGCTTTAAAAGCTGCCCGTTTTTTTTACAATGCGACAATAAAATTTTTTTAATTTTGCTTTTTCAAGTTTTATATACATATTTCTCCAAAAGCTCAAATCTGTGCTATGGCTGTCCATGACTATTTTGAAAATTTTCCGGCAATGGCTGGAATATTTTTTTCATTAATTTCTTATGCTATGTAACACGCTTTCTCAACTTACTGGAATATGGGGATACATTGACGTTCCTGCTAAATAAGATTGGGACAATTTTGGACGATCATCAGCTTTTTCTTCTTCCCGTCTTTTCAGGCAGGCTGCTTTTGGATTCAAATTTTTTTCTTAAATTGTAAAACTTTTTTTTTACAAAATACATAATTAAAATGCCACACGCTTACCCCTAACTTGTTGCTCTAATTGAACTATTACTTCAACTGCCATATTTAAAATGCCTAGTTTTGTTTGTGGCTTATCAGTTTTCAAGTGAGACATGCACATTCTACCTAATTCTTTTAACGCTTCATTAATGTCACGTATTCTAATTCTGGTAAAACAAATGAATTCATATAGAAAATTTGCACAAAAATTTAGAAACAACTTTACCTTTCTCTTGCATTGTTTGCCATTCGCCTCTCTCGTTCTCTTTGCGCTTTTAAGTCTGGATCTTCATCCTCTTCATCAGCACTAGAACAGCTTCGTGAATTTTTACTAGGAAAACGAAAAACATTAGTTAACAAATATTATTGCAGTATGAAACCAGATACATACAATCTCCTGACTCTTTTTGGAGATTTTGATATGCCATCAATTAAGGTACTAGTTGGCTTCACATCTGTTTGATCAGAAAGTAAGTCCTTTCTTTTTTCTAAAAAAAACAAAGTTTTAAAGAGTTTGGACAAAAGATTTTTAAATTTACTAGATGTTGATATAATTCCTTTTTCCAGCTTAACTGTGTTGTTAATATTTTCATTTGTTATAGGATCTTGAAGTATAACATTAGCAATTGAATTTGTTGTAAGATATGGTGGCGTTTCTAAATTATTGTAATTAGTATTAAGTGGCGGTTGTTCACAGTGGTGTCGTAAAACATTCAAAGCATCGTCCAGTCTCTCCTCCATTCTTGTTACCTAATAATTAAAATTTTGTCACTGTATTTTATCTTGTTACCTAATAATTAAAATTTTATCACACTTACAGCTGTATTTTCTGTATGGCCCCGCAGAAAACCAATAGCATCTGAGACTGGTTGAAGATCGGGTGGATTTACCTAACAAGAATATTAGTGAAAACTTTGAGGTTTTTATAAAGTAATTGAAAATTTACCGGAGGTAAAACCCTTTCATTTATATTACTTCCATATTCGTTTGTTAAATGAATATTTGGTGAATCAACAATTCTACTAATGTGGGTAACCGGATTATTCCACTGAGTATTTCCATTTAAATTAGGATGAGAATTTTGTTGCAAGGAATTGGTTAAAGGAGGTGGAGAATTAATTGGCGTTGAAGGATTGGAACTAAAACTACTAATACTCTGGTCGGCTGGAGCATATGCCTAAAATTTAAAGTAATTTTTTTGATCACATTATAAAATTAAATTAAAGTCTTACCGCTAATACTTTTCCAGTTAAAGCTTCATTGGGCATCGCTGGACTATGCTGCGGAATTGAATTCGATGACCCCGAAGATGAAGCGTATATTGCAGGAGAATGAATATTTTGTGCTACATTGTGATTTGGTTGAACATCAATATCTCTGAGTGTTCTAATTCCCGGTAGTGCCTGAGTCTAATTAAAAGAATATATTTTTAAAAATTAAATTGTACATTTTACAATAAAACAAGTTATATATTAACTTGTTGATATGCTTGAACACTTAAAGGATTCATTGAAGTATGAAAATTATATTCGTTATTGCTAGTATCTAAGGTGTTATTGGAATGACTCCCATCATTATAAATAGTGTTTGATGGATAACCTTGGGAAGTGTACCATCCTTGTCCATTATTGTTATCAAAAAATGTCTCATTAGTATGTGCTGCTCCGCCTAATTTTGTTGTCGAATATCGACTTTCAAGTTGATAATCATCACTTGGATACTATAAAAGAAATTAATGAACAATTTTGATACACAAAAAAGGTATTATTTACCGTTCCATGATCTATGCCTGCATAATGGGACTGGTATCCACTCTTGTCGTTTCCTTTAAGAAAATTAAAAACAAATTATTAAAACTTTTAGCAGGCGAACAAAATTGGTCGGTCGTTCATCTTAGTGTGAAGTGTATTGCATTGTTTTCAAACCAATACATTACATATTTTAAAAATATATGTAAAGTATTCAATTCTTAAAATTGAATCAAAAAAAATTAAAATTGTTATGCACGTAATAACAAAAAATTTTAATGTAAATATTTTTGTTTTGACAATGACATTTGAATACAAGAACATTAATATTCGCAATATCCAAAATATTAAAATAAAGAGCCTTAAAATTACTTTACACGCACACAATTTACTTTACCTGTTTGCCTATTAGCTATTTTGTTGAAACAATTTTGAAAAACTTCATACAAATGCATAGGCTCATCATCACTTGTCGCCATTTTTTCAATCCATTTGAAACTTGCGTTAATACCTACTGATTTACGCTAGCTAAATTTAAAAGTACATATTTTCATTTTTGATAGATGTGTTTTTGTTTTGAATGTTGTACGAGTACCACAAGTTTACATCAGCCAAATTATAACAAAAGGAAGGCAGTGTTTACATATTCGACAAAATCTAAAATTGAGTCGTAGTCTGATGATTGGTTAGATATTAGGTTAACAGCCTGATCGTGTATCTTGCTGTTTTACTAACTTTTTCTTCACTTTGAAATCAGAATTATAAGTATTTTCTAACAAAACATTGCACTTGTTTTTGAAAGTAAGTACTTGCACAAAGAAAAAACGAAATACGCAATCGAAATAATTCTTCGCACTCGAAAATTACATTATACAAGTATAATATGATAGTTACACACTTTCTTCTCACTTTCCGAGTAAAATAGCAAGATAAACGATCAGGCCCTAAAACTATCATATGGCGTTAAGACTTAAATTCAAAATTTAATAATTTTGTTACGAAAGTTATAACCCAAATAAAATCCGCTGATCATTTCTCCAAACTTCCACAAAAAATTAATTACCAAAATTAAATTTAGTAAAAAGTAAAAATGTAAAGAAAAATTACTTAAAAATTGCAGTAAAGATCAGATTCCTCGCATTATCCGGACGTTCGGACAATATTTTCAACCAAAATCTTTCGTTTAACTAACACATATACAAAACTGAAATGACTTGATCAACTGTTCATACATTTTTTGGTTTAAAAAAATTTAACTTTTGACTGAAGGCTGAAGCAAAACACACACACGTAAGTACTTACCACATCATTTTTAGGTTATATTATATTTATTCGCCAATTGATTTTAATCAATTGACGAATAATGAGATATCAAATATGAGTCCTTCGGAACATAAGAAGAAGTCGAAATTATTTTTTATATGTAGTTGTAGAAAATAGATTACAGTATAAAATTTATTTTGTTCGAACTTTTGAACACTAAGAGAAAACACACCACACCTTAAGTCTGGTGACAATAGAGTAGTTTCAATTATTTGTCGTTAAACAAATTCTGATGTCAAACAGAGTTTATATATACGACTTCCATCAGACTTAGATTAAATCGTAAATTTTGTACATATATGTATATGTGATCAAAATGCTAACGCGAATTGAAACAGCCAATGTTCTATTGCATGTTGTGTATTGAGATGTTGAACAGTGTAAAATTTAACTTTTAATCCAATATTTCAAATTAGTTGTCAATATAAATGTCAAAATTCGATATTAATTCGGAATTCAGAAGGATTTATGCGCAGTATTCAGCGTTAAGTTGTTTTCAACTACTGTATTGATTTCTATTCATGTCATGAAATAATTTGGAATCAGCACTTCCCAAAAAAATTAACTATTTTAGTTATTTTGGTGATATTTCTAAAATTTTTTTGTTGTATAAAGTGTTAAATTTCGTCGTGTATTTGATATTTAACAAATTTGAATCATGACGAAAGATAGATTAGCTGCTCTCGTCGCGGTATGTATTGGAAAAAAAAAGTACAAATAAGGCAGTGCAGTATAAATTTTTAGTGTACAAAATATTAAGCTAATAAGTTTTAATATAACTATACATAAAAATTTTTCTTTGTTTTTGAGGAAAATCAATATTGAATTTCTTTAAAACTTTAAATTTGGATATACCGATACAAATAAAAAAAAAAAAGTGCATTTAATAGTTTTTTATTGGCTCGAGTACCACTACACTATGAGGTCATCAGCGCTATCATATCAGTCATAAAAAAATAATATTCAATTTTAATTAATTTTTATCCATATGCCTATATATATTACATAGAAATATAGTTATATATAAAAAAATATATAAAATGTGTAGTAATGAAAAATATTGGTATTATAGGTATATGTATCCTTACATACTTATATATTTAGTACATGAACAAATTTTTATTTGAATAAAATGTACACACATGTGTACATGTATATTTTTCATCGATATGGATTGTGCAGAAAATTTAATTTAAGCGCTTAATATGTTGAAAATATATTCGGCATAAAACATAATAAAATTTTCAAAGTACCATGTATATGTATTTTAAGAAAATTTAGTTATAATGTATCCAAAGACAAATTCATATTCACACAAAAACAGTAAAAATAAAGCTAATCAATGAATCATGGGTATTAAAAATTATTCAACATAATTTTTCCTTTTGCACAATTTGATATACATACATATACATATATATATTATATGACACTCAAACTTAACAATATCAAATTATAAAACACGATACATATAAACTATACATACATAATTATTATATGATTTATCATTTGCATCTAATCAATGCTATAAGCAAAAGTATTACTATTAAAGCACACATTTGCTGATGGAAAAAACATTAAACATACATGGAACTATTTAAAATACATATATATGTATTAAAAATGATTGAATATTTTTGTAAGAAATAAAATAAACTGGTTAATAAAATTGTAAAATATTAGTTCGCAACTAGCAATTTATATGTATATGGAAATTTTCAGAAGAAATAGTATCTAAGGTGCCTTACTTATTACGTTATTTCGTTTTATATTATCTTTATAGACATAAAGTCTTGTGACATTAAATTAGCAATACGGAAATCTGTATGCTACAAATTTTCCAACTTTTTCTTAAAGATTTTTGTCTGTACTTAGATACAGGTGGATTTTAAAAAATGGAAATTTAACTTAAAGCCTTTCTCCTACACTTTTTTGAATTGAAAATTTTTTAAGCATTCAATCTAGATCCGTCTCATACTTTATATTTAATATTTTTTGAAATGACTAATTAGGTAGGTCCAATCTACGTATGTATCTACTTTTACTTAAGAAGCTAACAGACATGGTAACATCGCATGCATCGGTTAGGTAAACTGCAAATATCATAATTGTAATAGAAAAACTACAATTCTTTTGATTGATATGACAATTTTGATATATGATATGACAAAATATGCAAGTAGGTGGGTACCTATCTACCTACATAAACACATATGAATTTCGGAAATGGATATACCTAGTTATGTTGACGAATAACTAATTAACATTTTAATATAAACGAAAACAGTAAAATTTTGAGAGATTTTGGTATAAAACGAGTTTCGAAAACTGCATTTCAGCTTTTGGATTTTTAAAAATTTTGAGAATTTGTTCTATTCCCCAAAAATTTCTAGCTAAACTAAGTACATAAGTATTAATTTTAAGTTGCTAACAGTACGCAGGTGTCGAAAATTAATGTGGGTTATATTTTAAACTGTTGATCAATTTTCATTGCTATTTGTAATTCTTTTTGATAATGGAAACTGATTGCAAATTATAAAATCCTTGTTGTCATAAACCAGGTAGTTTGAATTCTTCATAACCAGCTAGTTTGAATTCTTCATATTAATAGATCAAAATATTCATAAAAATAAAAACTCTTACATAAATATTTAAAACTCTTATTTTAATATAATATTAATTTCAAAATCAATTAATTTTTATCGAAAGTCAAAAGTTTTGCACTGCATTGCTTTTTATATTGTTTTTAATAATAATAATAAAATAAACATACATACTTAACTTATTTGGTAGGCTCAAAGCGATGAAGATGAGGCTGGACCTGATGATGTTGCTGTTAATGTGGAAAATCGGGATGGTTTTATGGATGATTTCTTCAACGAAGTAGAAGAAATAAGGGAGATGATTGACAAAATTCAAGCAAATGTTGAAGAAGTAAAGAAGAAGCATAGTGCAATACTATCGGCTCCTCAATCTGACGAAAGTAAGTTAGAAAAGTAAAACGAAACAAAAAAATTTTGAAGATTAAACTTACGCTGTTTTATTTTTTACTTTCTTTTTTCTATAGAAACTAAACAAGAGTTGGAAGATTTAATGGCTGATATCAAGAAAACCGCGAACAGAGTTCGAGGAAAACTAAAGGTAGTAGTTTTCTTTAATTTAAATGTAGTGAAAACTAATTAATTATTAAATAATTTTAGGGAATAGAGCAAAAAATTGAACAGGAAGAGCAAGCAAATAAATCAAGTGCTGATTTGAGAATACGTAAAACACAACACTCAACATTATCTAGAAAGTTCGTTGAGGTAATGACCGAATATAATAGAACGCAAACAGACTACAGAGAAAGGTGTAAAGGAAGAATACAGCGACAGTTAGAAATAAGTATAAAAAATTTTGCTTTAACATAAAATATTTTATGAATTAAAACATTTACATATTTTAGCTGGAAGAACAACAACAAATGAGGAGCTTGAGGACATGCTTGAACAAGGCAATCCAGCAGTATTTACTCAGGGTGTAAGTGTATTTCGTTATTTTCTCTATTAAAATTTACATTAATTATATTTACTTCACCCTTAAGCATATAAATAGTTGCAATATGTTTATGTTTTTTCGTTAAAAAAATATAATAATTATAATTTAAAATTTAGATAATTATGGAGACGCAACAAGCTAAGCAAACATTAGCTGACATAGAAGCTCGACATGCCGACATTATAAAATTAGAAACATCAATCAGAGAATTGCATGATATGTTTATGGATATGGCAATGTTAGTAGAAAGTCAGGTATGCACAATGTTAACATTTAACTTTTTAATGCTTTTAAATTTTTCGGATATTTTGGGAATTTAACATTGTTGAGTAATCACTTTTATTTATTATTCAAGTTTTGATGTTATCATTCATTACTTTATTACAGAACATTTATGTTCTGACTTCATCATTAAATTTTCTTCTTCTAATTTATAATTTTATAAATTTTCTTTTTAAAATCGTAGTTATTTGAATTACCATGTTTTTAAATGTTTGTACGCGAATTTTACAATTTTCGTTAATCAAAATGTAAAATTTTATCTAATAACTTATTTTATTACTAAAGGGTGAAATGATCGATCGTATAGAATATCATGTGGAACATGCAATGGATTATGTACAAACAGCGACTCAAGATACAAAGAAAGCTCTTAAGTATCAGAGTAAAGCCAGAAGGGTAAGTAACTTTGTATTTTTTTTTTTTTATTATCTTTAACGTTAATTTTACCGTCAAAAACTATATTTCGAATTAAAACTATTTTTTACAATAACAAATAAATGCAAAATAGGTGTTCAATCATCCAAAATCAAAAGTTGCATACCATATGTAACAAAATGATATAAAAATATATTTTATAATCTACTTATTGTTGAAATAAAGTATCCCAACCTTATATTGAAATCTTTTTGGATAATTATCGGAAGTTAGTTTTTTTTTAACTTTCGATCGACTGTTTCTTCAAATCTTATTGAACTCTTGTAAGAAGCAACATTTTAAATAACTATATTTCTCCAGCAGTATCATAATTTCACTAGTTTCCCAACAAAATTTGTTAGTCCAGTTATATTTAAAACTCTTTAAAAGCCCTTTAAAAGATTTGGCATTGATTTACTGTTGGTTAATTGTGATCAGTCATTTTGACAAGAGTGACTTTCAAAAATCATTTTATATCCAAAAAAACTCCAAACCCCAGCTATTTAGAAAGCTTAGTTTTTACTACTTCAAATAAATTTTTGGTGCGACTACAACCTTCGATTGACAAATTCACTTTGTGTTTTTTTGAGATTTATACTAATCTAAAATTTCAATTTAAAAAAAACAAGAGGGTAAAAAGTTTACATTAGATCTGCATATATATAGTAAAGTTTTTTGTTGGTGCATACATATGTATATATACATATACAATATAAAAAAAATCAATTAATAAACAATTTATTCTATTACAATTTGAGAATTTTCTTTTATATATTTCTTTTATAAATTTATGCATAAATAATTAAATAATTTGATAATTTTAGCAAGTTTCCCAATTTTTTAATAATTTCTAGCCCTTTTTAATTCTTTTACTTTAAATAATTTATTTTTTCTGATCATTTGATGTTGTTTAGTTGATTATTCAAATTTAGTATCCGTATTTTGCTTTTGATATTTTATTTAATATTTGATTTTAAGTATCATAAAATACGTTCTGTGGAAATTGTTATTTATCATTGAAATTTGGATAATAAAAATCTAGCAAATAGCAAAATTAATTAAAAAATTCGAATGTTGTCGACACAAATGTGACTGGATGCTTTCTCCATAATATTAAGCGCTTGGGAAAGCAGAAAAAAATTCTGTATTATATTTGATAAATAACATACGCCACTAGTATATAAATTTTTTTTTGTTTTGTTCATATATATGTAATTAAAAATATAATTTTTATTTTTATTTAATGAATTTTTTAATTTTTTAATATTTTTCAGAAAAAAATTTTCATAGCAATTTGTTTAGCAGTTACATTAGCGATTATAATTATTGTTTTACTTACGCAGTTACTTTGAAAATAGGCAGATTTTCTCTTATATTGTATAGTATTTTTTTTATTTTTAATTATTTACTTTTTTGTTTATAACTATTAAAAATATCACTATAACTATTAATCTTAATATTATTATTATTGAACTAATATTTTAATTATATTTAATAATAAAAAAAATCATTAATTACAAATATTTTTATTTTTTTGTTTTTATTTTAAAATTTAGTTTGCAAAAACATTATTTAGATTGTTTGATTTTTATAGTATTATATATACATAAGTAATGTGAATTTTTTAATTGGAAAATTTGTCGAAATACTTTATTATTATTATTATTATTGCATGTTTACTAACTCAATAAAATTAATATTATTTGCTTATTTTATTTTATTTATTTACAAAAAATTTTTTTTAGTATAATTTTTTTATATTTGCATACATTAATACAATAATATATACGTTCACATTTATAAGAATGGTAAAATTACAAATTTATCAAGTAATGCGTTCAGAGAATAAGATATGTGGTCTGTAGTGAATTTGCATTTAATAACCGTTTTCTATTAAAACAAAACTATTGTTCAGATTCATTTCTCAGTTGTCATTAAAACAAAAAGGAACGTTAAACTACAAAAAAGCATTGACTACCACTCCACTTTCATTTTCCGGCACAAAGCAAGCAATTACATTGAAAACAATAACCTGATTTCCTAGATTTTATAAATATATCATGGAAGATTATATAAGTATACCCACATGTTAATAAAAATAACATTCATCCAAAGATGGATCATGATACTTCCATTAGTATATAATATGCATGTTTTCGGAAATGCATATCTATATCAAAGTCGACTTGTATAGCAGGGTTTCAGATATATATTAAAACTAATCATCGTTTACTTGTAGATAATCTCCAAAATGCATCCAAATATGTTACTGAGATTATGCTTTACATATGAAATTAAATAGTCTAAATAATAGTTTAATTGCATTATTGGATAAATTAATATTCAAATTTTGAATTCTGAAGGCAATGGGTTTTGAGTTAATTCTTTGGCTGGTTATATTAAGATGTATTGAAATGTATTTACATTTGTGTTGAGATTTAAGTTCCCAATTAGTAGAATGGTCGAATGAACGTTTGTACATATTATAACTTTAACGTTTATTTAATTACGTTTCACCTGAAAAATGACGCTAACTCAAATTTTTGAAAAATATTGGTAGGTATCTTTTATATTTTTAAAGAATTTATATTGGCAGGTATAATAAAGGTATATGTTTGTGTACAAAAATGGAAAGATTGTAACAATCTGCAGTTTTGCTAAATAGAACAGGTGTAAAAAACTTAACTTGTTTCAGTTGCATTAAAATTACTCACATAAAAGGAGGATATTTCGCAAAATAAGCATATAATGAACATATTTTCGGAATATAAAGACTTATTTAATTTATTTCAATCCACTTACATGTTCATGAGTACTGCCTTAAATCATCCTTTGTAATACTTCACTGAAATAAACTACAAGAGTATGGAATTGTCATTTCAGTTTGTAAAATTTTTTATTTTATTTTTTTTTTTTGTTTTCAAATTTTGCATGCTGTATGTTTGTAAGGGCATTTTTATTTTGAATTTTAAACTTCTTGTTTAATTTTATAATAAGATCTAACTTATTTAAATTTACTTTAATCTTACAATAAATTAAAACTAAAATTAAATATTTTTTTTTTAAATTTATATACATATGTACGTATGTATGCATCAATTTAAATAAAATCAAATATAAATACATACATATGTAAAAAAATAAAAAAAAAACTAAAATAATTTTTTTATTTTTTCAATTTATTTTTGCAGAAGAAAATTATGATCCTCATATGCTTAACCGTGTTAGGTTTGATGGTGGCTGGTTACGTCAGCAGTTATTTCATGTAAATATTTAAAAAAAAATTAAAAACCAAAAAAAAAAAGAGAGAAATTACAACAAAATGAAAGTGTCATCATATAATGTAGCGTTTAAGGTAAATTTATTAATAAATTTTAAAATAATTCTCATTCGATAGCAATATTGTATTTTTTGTATAAAATCCTGAAATTAAACATAAATTTCACAAAAATTTTTATTTTTTTTAAAATTTGAATTATTACCAAAATTTCAAACAATTTCAAATTATTTATTTTTATATTTAAAATTTTTACGCATTCGATACGCGTTGATGGTTCTCCTTATTCTGAATCTTCTTAGACTTTCATTAAAATTCTTAAGATTTAGTTTTAAATCACAAAGTTTTAATTTTTTTTTTCTAATTACTTAACAAAAGTGGATTTTATTACAAATCATAAAGAAATATCATTAACTATGCCTTTATGAAAAATTACAAAATAATTTTTTTTTATTATTATTAATTTAAAGTATAAAAAAGAAGATTTTTATAACAAATTTAAAAATTATTTTTTCATTACAGATCAAATTCTACAAAAAATTTTTAATGAATATAGATTACAGACAAAATCTTTTAATAAAATATTTTCAAATTATCTATGTGAGAGGTCTATATACATATTATACATATATAAAGAATTAAACAAAAAAAAAATTAACTCAAAAGCAACAAAAAATCATTATATATAAAAACAAAATAACTAATTTAGTAGTTATTATTTTAAGAATTGCAATAATTTTGTTATTTATATTTTATTACATATACATACTTACATTTAATATGTAAAATGTAAAAAAAAAAAAAATAGAAATATCACAAAAAAAAAACATGCATCGATCTAGCGCTCAAATCATGTATGTGTATATTTAGCTGAATATTAGGTTTTAATTTAAGCGGATAATTATATATTATATAATATATACACATATAAACAACAAATGTAATTATAATTACATACATACGTACATAAAACCACACCAAAAAAACACAGTCACTATGGCCGTCTGTCTAAATGGAGATCTAACGTCAACTTGACTTATTAAGTGATTAATGTACATTCTTTAATTGTTTAATAAATCACATTGACATCAGATACACATTTAGGTGCTTGTCCACATATTTATATAATATATATGTATATATATATAGAAATATGTATTTATAACTATTTATATATTATTTATATTAATTTATGAATATATATCCACATACACAGATACACATATATAATAAATATATGTTTATATATATATATGCAAATATTATGTAAAATTAAATAATATATATATATATATATATATAATATATAATAAATATTATCCAAAAATTATATTAAATTCAAAAAAATTTAAAATAATATGATATATTAAAAAGAAAAGGCAAGAAAATAATATTTAAATAAAAATATAGGATCAATTAAAAATTTAAATCTAAATCGATATTATAATATTATAATGTATAAAAACAAATTATATATAATAATATAATATTAATTAAATTTCGATAAAATAAAAAAAGTTAAATAAAACTTGTGAATATTATATTATATATAGTGTATTGGAATAATAATTTAAAAACCTATATAAATATCATTTAAAATGAAAAGAAAATATAATAAAAAATTCCAACATATAAAAGTTTAAATTGAATGCATTCTTATAAAAACAATTAAATACTTAAAAAAATGATATATATATATATATATATATATATAAAAATAAGATTTTCTTTGTGTGGGTTATAAAACAGTTATTTATATAATTAATATGTATACATGTATATCTATGTACATATGCGTATATTTATAATTATATAAGAGAAAATAATCAAAGGTGATAAATATGTAATAATAAATAAAAAAAAAAAATTAAAAATTAAAAATTAAAAATTTAATTAAAAATCAAATTGAAATTGTAATTAAAAAAAAAATATTTTCCTTTAATTAATATGGATTTAGTTTAATTATGGGCATTCGCGAAATATCCTTTAGATTTAGATTTATTTAACTTAACTACATTATATGATAGGTATTCACAACTGCCGAATATTATAAGAACATAGAAACAACAAAAAAAAAATAAATAAATAAAAGAAAATTAAAATGACTTCCTTACTTAGAGCATAGTACTTAATTTTTTTTATTTTTTTATTTTAATTTTTTAAAAATTTAAATACTAATTGCAATAGACCTAAAATTTTTTTTTATTTTAATTTTTATAGAATATTTTATAAACATTTATAGGCTTTTTGTTTCAAATAATATTATAAATTTTAAAAATAAAATATATAAATGAAGAAGATATGAATCAAAAACCAATGTAAATTTCGCTTCCAATAATATGGGTTTCCTTGAAAACACACATTTCTTATGGTTAGAACTGTATAACTTCAAAAAAATATTCTACAACAGTTAACTTCAAAATTGCACTAATATGACATTAATACAAAATTCAATTTATCAATTGTAATTTGTGAATTATTTACCAATCTCTAGTATTACTACAATTCCGAAGTCACGGAATATTATTTTTAACATTGTTTTATTGGTTTTAAAGTTTTGCAGTTCTAATGTTAAAAATTGTTTTTTAAAAAAAAACACCATTATTTCAATTATGTACTGTTTTATTTTTAAATAAAAGTGAGGGCATCCATACCAAAATGCAAATTTATATAACAATTTGACTTATTCAGCAATAAAATTTTAATTGCTGAATAAGATAAATTGCAAAAAATATTGGTATTTCAATATGCCGTGTTAAATATATACTAAATATAATTTTTAATTAATTTTTGCAAGCATTTACAAATTGTACTTGGAAAAGTAAATTTCTGTTACAAAAAAAAAAAAAAGAAAAAAAATTAGAACATCAAAAAGCTAAAACGAAATTTAAAGTACTTTTAGCTGTGAATAAAAATAACATCAAAAAATAGGATAAGTGCAATATAATTTCATTATATAATTTAATTACTATATATAAACACATCGAAATTTGTACCAGGAAGAAATCATTTTAAATATAAGTGTACAAAAAAAATCAAATAAATATTTGGAGGATTTGATGCAAATTATTTATGATTTTTGTTTATAAAGAAAAAACAAAAACAACTATTTGGATGTCAAATAATTTTTCAAAAAAAAAAAAATTTTTTGTATCATGAAACATATTTTTATATACATATACATACATATGTATATGAGCGTCAATGAAAATGCAGATCTATTAACAACTCTACTTATTCAGCAATATAATTTTTTTTTGCTGAATAAGTGAAAACTGTTAAATCTTCATTTGAATGTATGCCCCATGTTTCAATTTCTATACGAAAAAGATACATATATATATATATATATATATATATATATATATCTTGTATTATATACTTTTGTATACCACTAAAATTATTTTAAATAATTCCAAAAATCTTTTGAGTATTAAACAAATTAAATAGAAAAATTAAAAACATTATAATTTTTTTTACATTCTTTTTTTAAGTTTTCCTGAAATACTATTAATTGTACAATAATCCAAACATTGGAGTTGCAGTAATACTCTTACTAATTAACATAATTCACCAATTAACAGTTATAAGCTGAAATGTATATATAGTAATACAGTATAACTGCAATTAAAATATTTAGATCGTATGAATTGCTTCAAGTATTACTTAAAATATCTACATAATGACTAATATAATTAATGTTGTTTATGTATATATTTTGTAATATTCAATTATTAGGATTATAATGAAACCCGTTTAGAACAAAATTTCCAAAAAAAAAGAAAAAATTTTATTCTTTGTGCTTATCTGTAAATTTTCTATTCCGTGAAGATTCATTGTGAATTCATAATATAAACATTTATGTAATATTTATGTAATATTGTGTCATCTGCACATATTTAAGCAATTAGAAATTTATGAGCTGAATTCTGTTGTAACGTAATATTACACCACCGTAACACTTTACTCATTTCGTTCCATTTCATATTAATTTTTTTTTTGTTTTTAGCAGAATAATTTAATGGAATTTGCCATCGAGAATATATATAATTGAACGAATTTTTATATAGTCCTACATACTTGAATATCATTTACAAAATATTGCAATACGATTTTAAAATTTATAATATTTCATATATGCAACTAATGTATAATAACATTTCGACAGGTATTAGCTTCTTGCTTATCATTTTTCATAAAGAATTGCTCTTCTCGCTATTGTTTTTATATATAATGTAATATATTAACATTAAATTACTCAAAAGAAAAAAAAAAAAAAATCCCACCTGAGAAAAGAAGATAAAAATTTAAATCAGCACCCATAGTAGCTTATATTCCATTAGTAAAAAAAAGACGTTATTATCCCTGGCTTCAAAATTTCAGTAATACATAGTGTTAATTAGTAATTCAGCTCTTGAGTTAATTTTGCTAAATTGCTGATTTGTGTTACGATACAGTATTACTGCAATTTCGAAGTCACGGTTTATCATTTTCAAAAAAAAAAAAAAAAAATTTTTTTTTTTCGAAACGCACATTAAAAACATAAAATTTAAGTCTGATTTATAAACTAAAATGTTTGGAAGAATTGTTATTTATTTTTTTTTTTAATTATTATTTTAATTCATTTTCGGTTTATATAATACCTATTTCAAATTTAACGGTAAATTTTAAAAATTTTTTTTTTAGAGTATACGGTTCTTGCAAACAAAGTTCAAAGGCAGAAATTGATAACATAATAATATTAATCTAAATTATTAGAAAAATACTTCGAAATTCTCTGACTTCAAAAATGCAATAATATACGATATTAATTCACAAATATTCAGCTTATGAATTGTAATTGATAAATTGCGTGTAGCAATACGGTATTACTGAAATTACTATTATCGTTTTGCTGAATTGTGAATACAAATACCGTATTATTACAATTTTAAAGTCAGATTTTACTTTAACAAAATTAAATTCTTTAATCAGTATATGGATCCTTTAGTGGATGTAAAATATTTATCCAAAGCGCATATCTAAAAATACCAATCAGTACAGTATCAAGTCTCTATCTATATTACAGAAAACTAAAAATTTAGCATATTCAAAATAAAAAACACAGATATATAGGAAAAAAACAAAAAGTCGTTTAGCAATAATAATTGTGAATTTAAAAAAAAACTAGGTACTCATAAAATCAGATTAAATATAAGGTGAAAACAAATTTTCATATATAGTTATTTAAAAAAAATATTTGTTTTTTTTTTTTTCTAATAATTTTTATCATTACAAGTTTTGCTTTCCCCGCCATATTCATAAAATATCTTATTATATAAAATATTAAATACAAAGCTTAAAATTTTTCAAAAAAATATTTCACATCTGAATTTTCTCCTTTTACTTCTTTATACATTCTTGACGTGAAATTTATTATAGAAAATTATGTACTAACCATATAAAGTTCGGTTAAAATAAAAAAAAAGAAAAAAAACAAAAACTAAACGAAAATATGTCTACATACATACATATATTAGTAATTAATATTATAATTGAAATTTTTTAGCAGTTTAAAATATAAGATAATAAAAGTTAACAAAGAGTTTATTAAAATCCAGAATTAAATTTAAACACGAAAGTGACAAATTTCAAATATTTGTCTATTTGTATATGTATATATATATATATATATATATTCATATATGTTTATTGTATATATATATATATATATGTATACAAATAAAAATTTGTTTCTATTTTAATTTTATTTTTCAATAAAACATACAAAAAATATATACAAAATAATTGCTGGAAATTTAATTAAAAATTTATAAATATTGTGTTATATATACCTGTATATACTTACATATATACATACAATGATGTGGTTAAGCGCATTTAAGCAAAAATATTTTTGTAATGTATTAAAGAACACACATATAATTTATAAAAATTCATAATATCTAAATAAGCATAATTTGATGACATTTTCTTTAATACTAAAAATATAAAAATAATGTTAATATTGCTGTATGGAATTAGATTGGAAACTAAACTTCAACTTACTATGAAAACACATTTTAAAATATAAATCTTAAAATATCAGATTGATTTAGTGACCAATAATATTTTTAGTTACAGAATATGTCAAATTGACGTTAGATCTATGTATATATAGATATGTACATTTTACGTGTGTTTTCCATCCCCTTACATCGAAATCACATCAATATAATTCAACTTATAAATTGTTGACAACTCAATTTCAATTTATTTTCTCAATTTATGCAAATTTTCATATTATGGATCTGTAATTTCCACTATTTCATACTTTTTTTTTTTTATATAGAAAATATTTTAATAAAATTTTCAATACATAATTAAAAAATTATATAAAAATAACTGCTGTCAATTTGATGTCTGGCATCATATAACGGATATACATATATGTATATTATACTATGTAGTTGCTCAAAAACAAGTTTCAAAATTTTCAAGTTTCAATTTTGCCTAAGCTTTTGTCAAAACGTCATACCACACAGTGTATGTACATATATAAATTTATTTCCAATTTACTATAGCCATCATATAAATTTTATTGTATATTTGTATGTCGTACTTACTTATTACTTCACAAAACTTATATTATATTAAAAGCATACATAAATTATAAAAACCTAATTTTCTTTTTTTTTTACACAAACGAAAACATAATATATATACATACATATTTACACAGAACAAATATTTTAAAAACTTAATATAATAACATAAAGGATAAATTAAATCAAAATTAAGATATTATACAGCTTGTCTTTCATTTCAAATCAATTTAAAATATAAGGACATGATACTATAATTTCATAGCTAATTATAAACTATAATCTATACACATACATTTATATATATATATATATATTTATTTATTATAATTAAATATATAAATAACTCATATTTAAAACTTTGAGAAAAAAGAAAAATAAAATAAAATTATATTAAAATAATGTAATAGAAAAATTGATAACTTTTTCAAGGTTTGAAGTTATAAACAAACTTTCAGCACCCCAAAACATTTAAAAAAATATATATATATATACATATATAGTATATAGAGTATAAAAGAAAAGCTTATTTAAGTAAACTATAAAATTAAAAATAAAATATTCAAAGTAAATATAAACAAAAAATCAAAAAAAAAAAAATAAAAACGTATATCAAACTAGACTTTCGAGATTTTAGAGTATTTCATTTGTTTTTAGAAAATAAATATTAAAAGTATATAAAGAAAATAAAAATAAAAACATTTGGAGTTCACTAAAATTTAAAATATAGAAAAATAAAAAAAAAAAATTAAACGTTAATTATTCGTCAATTGTATAAAAAAAAAGAATGTTGTCAAGTTTCGATATACAAAATTTTTGAATAATTATGTATGTACTTTTTAACAAAAAAAAATGTATATATAATTTTATAAATAAAAATATTTTCAAAATAATTGCTATATTTTTATTTATAAATAAAAAATATTTTATTTAGATTATATTTTATAAATTTATTTTAAAAATTATTATCAATTTTTATTATTATATTTATATAACATAAATATATAAAATTATAGTGAGTAGTGACATTGCATATTATAACATACCGGTAATGTGCATTTTGAAAATGAAATTGTATTGTGTAATACTCAGTTCGTTCACAATATTTATATATTGTGTTCACATATTTATAAATATAACGTATATTATATAATATATATTTATATAGGAATGTAAAAGTGGATACGATAAAAAGTATTTAAATACATAATTATTCTCTTAAAATTAAATTAAAAAAAAAATTGAATATGTATTTATAAAAAAAATAAAATCCAATTATTTCATAAGTATCAAATTTAAATTGAATTCAAAAAATAAAGATAGAATTGATTTTTTTTGCTTTATTATTTTAATTTCAACACACACACACAAACACAAAATAAACAAAAATAATAAGTTATACTTATGTTATTAACACGTGCTTATATGGATGTGTTTAAAATTTTATTTATTGTTTTATATAATTGCATTTAATAGAGAAAAAATAAAAAATTATAATTATAGTTATTAGAATTTAAAGAACGAAAAAATATTAAAAATAAAAAAAAATGTTATCTAAAATCCATCTTAAAAAATAATATGAAAACAACAAATGCATATAGGGTGTGTTTGTCTTATAGAAATGCGAATATATAAAATTATTATTGAAATATTTAAATAAAAAAAAAATAAATAAAAAACAAAAAAACCCATTTATAAATTGATATACTCTACAAAAATACATGTTATTACAAAGTAATTAATAATAATTGTTTAAAATAAAAATAATGCAATTACCTAAAAATAAAAACAACAAAAAAAAACATTTAAAGTATTTAAAAGATTTTTAAATTAATTTTTTTTGAATATATTATATATATATATATATATATATATATAAATTAGAAACGTGAAAAATAAAATATTTAAATTAAATTACATAAATACTTATATATACATACAAATATATATAATCAAAATATTTTACTTCAGTAAAAAATTAAAAAATAAAAGAAAAAAAATAACTAAAAAATAAATGAACAACTTGCATAAAGCGCAATAAGAAAATTTAAATTTAAAATTTAAATTACGTTAAGAATCTGTTCACTATCTTTATTAAAAATAAATTAAATTTCTTGAAATTTGTTTTTAAAACATAAAAATGTTTTTTAATATTTAATACCCAGTAAATTTTCTTATATAAAATAAGAAAATTAAAAAATTTAATTTTGAGAACTGGAATTATTAACGTTTTTGAACAACGCACGTAAAAACGGAGAACTTTATCATTTTTTACGAGTCCTTTCAGAAGTTTTTCAATTTTCTTTTCCTGAAAGTCATATTTAAATTTTATTTTTATCATTGGTTTTAGTTGTTAATTTATATATGTATATACACATACATATATAAAATTCCTAGTCATTGCATATGCACAATGAGACTCGTCTAAATATACTTATTTAAATGAACTAAAGTTCAAAAGTTCATTATCATTGGGTACATATTATGTTAAGATATAAAAAAAAAAGATAACCTAGTATTATAAAGAATTGTTTCCCCAGTTGGTATAAACATAACCAGCAGCAGTTCAATATACATAGATATATGCATAATAAAACATTAAAGAGCACGTATGTATAATAAAATAATTAAGATATGTTAAAACTATAATTTGCGATCCATCGGGCCCTGTTTGTATTATTTTATTGTTTTGATTTTTTTAATTTTCATTCGAACGACAATTATTTGTAGCGTTTATTTTATTTGTCTATAAACATATCGAAAAGTTCATATTTGTTTATACTTATACCAAATTTTTAAATACCATGTACATACATACATATATAACCATTTTTTATTAAAAGGCTTTACCTTTTTCCGAATGATTTTAAACATCATAAGAAAAGCATAATAGAAAATTATTTCAAGAGTAAGTATAACTAGCAGAAGAAATGTGTATATAAATACATTTATTAACGGTATTTGATATAGTTTTTAATGATTTAATATTTTTCCTTTTCGGAAACTGTATTTTTTTCAAATGATCTAACTGTAGTCTTGCAGACTACAGTTACAATGCAAAGACAAAATACAGTAATTTTGCTTACACCCCTCCATTTATAAAAATAGGTATTTAAATTGCAATAATTTTTAATCAATCCCTGTCTTTAAGTAATAGCAACGCTGTATTGATACTCGTATACACTTCGGCAATTACAATGCATAAACAGAATTTCCCTAGTAATATGGCATTAATAAACAATTCAGCTTGTGACTTGTAAATGCTGATTTATTTTACAATACGGCTCTATATTTTCTGCAATGCTTAAAGTTCAATACCAAATCAATTTTTTCATCTCTTCTTTCTGGATTGCAGTCGTATACTGAGTCATTACTGCAATATAAAATATATAAATTATAATAAATTGTTTTGAAAAATATAAAAGGGGAAAAAGTAAGTACTTAAATTAAGTTTTAATTCCAAAGATTTAATGCATTTAATTAATTTCATATTAAAAAATTATTATGATTTTGACATCGAGTCATCGGATTTTTACAGCTTTATTTTATTTCAAAATCTAAAAACATCAACAAAATCCGTGTCAAGCTTTAACAAAATATGTAATTTCAAATTCGGTAAGAATTTAAACAACTACGTTTTTTAAACAAAGCTATTAATTTTATGATTTGACTCAAATTTATTTGTGTTTAAAAACAAGAAAAAAAAATCAGTACATAAAATTTCACATCTTTAGATTATTTTTTAAAAAGTCTTTAAATGCTGATTCAGTTTCTTCGTCCATTTCAGGATTGCATTCGTATTCTGAGTCGTTACTGCAAAATAAAATGTAACAATAGTAAATAAATTTATACAAAAATTCTTTCCATACTCCTCATTGATATCACTATTGGAAATAGAAGCCAAAAACATATTTTCCTCTTCCGTTAAAATTTGACCGTCTGGCCCATAAAATACAGGTTCATCACAATTGTTAATATATGGTACGTTGCCAGAAGAATATTCTAAAAATTAAAACTTGTTTATTTCACAAAAATTTTATTTTAAGCACGACTCGACTACCTTTAATATCCTCGGTACGGCCCCAACAATTATCTTTTAATTTTAAAACACTCTCCAAAAGCCTACTTGTGCTGACATCCATAGGATTGGTAGTACTTAATGTAGATAAAATGAGTTTCATATTATGAGGACAATCTTTATCTAAGTCATATCCCGCTAACTGAAATATTTTAAATTTTATTTAAAATATAAATTACTACTTATAATGAAAATTTTTTTGCCTTTAAAGTCCAACAAATGCACTTTATATTTTCTGGCGAAGGATTTGTGAGTAATTGTTCTATTGAAAAAACTATACTTTGAGCAATGTCTTTAATAGTTTCATCATTCTGTAAAAACAAGAAAGACATTAAAAAACAAATTTTTAAAATGATTTGTGAAAAAACGTACGTCTCGTAACTGCATGTATAACTCCGCTAAAAACAATGTAGTTCCTACAAAATTTAGTATTTATAAAGAATTAATTGAAAAACATGTATAATTTCTTAATCCTGTACCTCGGACTTTATGCTGCCCCTTGTTTTTTATAAAATTAATAATTTCTTCTTTATGATATGTTAACTTAAAAGTTAAGAGACATCGAAACATACTTTCGCTTTTACGATCAATGGAATCTAGTAAATTGTATAACTTTGCACCCATATAACGAAAGTTTTGTTCCTCAATAGACTAAAAATACGTTAAATATGTTAATAATTTATATTTCAAACCTTTGACTCACTTTATTAAATATTATTTCCATTGCATTAGATAATACGTAATAATTTTCTGTGAACCCTTCAAATATAACTTGCGCTTGTTTGGCAACTGAATCGAAAGACCCAGGATTTTCGTTTAAGCTGTTCACAATGCTTTCAATATAAGTGATTGCATATGTTTCTTCTTGGGTCTAAAAAAAAGTTTTAATATGTGTTAGTAAATATTTATGTCATTAATGTAAATTTTTACAGGGTCGAAAATCCCTTGAGATCCAGCAAATTCTTGTTGCGTTGAAACGTGTTGGTTTTGAATTGGCGTGTTATTACAATTCGGAATGCTTTGCATGGTGTGATTGTAATTACTATTTCCGCTATTATAATATTTATTCGTTGATTGATGTGGATTTAATGTAGTATTTTGCTCTTGATAAATAGTTGGATGACAATATGGAATATTTTGAGGGTGTTGATTTTGATTAGAACTACTTTGTGCTACATTTAAACGGTTTTGGAGATTTGAAATTTTCATTGCGTTCATTGGTTTTGAAATATCATCAGTTCGTCTTTTAGGAATGAATTCGGGAGCATTAGGAGACAACATAACTGAACGTTGTGATGTTTTATGACGTGACATTGAAGATAATTGTCCATCTAAAGGATAATAAACCGATATTTAATTTACATATTTAACTTGAATGTATATTTTTATAAAACTCTTTACTTCTTATTCATAAATAATTTGAATTAATTTAAGGTACAATTTGAATTAAAAATATACATTAGTTATTGCACCCATTCTTTGCACAAATTGAGTTTAGCAGATAGGTATACCTAACTAAATCGATTCTAAATTTTCTGTTTAAATAATAAAAATACATCTTTGTCATTTCTAATGCTATTTGAAGACACAATTTTTTTATATTGGTCACATAAAATGTACTTTCATACTAAAGAAAGAAAGTTTACCGCTTTCCCTTTTGATGTAGTGGTAAAAAAAGTATGCACAGCTTTCCTTTCTGTATAAAAGACCCAATACAAAAAAAACTCAATTTTTACCTACATTTTTTAACATTTCAATAAAACTTAATTTTTTTTTTAATATTAATCTTTAGAGAATAGGTCTATTTTAATAACTACTATGAAATACAAACTTTTCCATATACATAATTTCTCGTAATTTAACCTTCTAAATTAAATAAGTGTGTATGTAGGCATGCTTTACGAAAAAATTTTCATTTGCAAATTTTTACTACGTACCATAAAATTGATTTTTATAAAAATACACAAAACTAGAAATTTGACTTCATTTATGTGCAAGAAAAAAAATAATATTCTTTTAAGACTACATATGTATTTTGTAACGTATTGAAAATTTTTTTGTTCTTAATATGTAAGTACCTTGATGGTTGATGCTATTTGGTTCTCTTAAATCGACATATTCTGCGTGTTTATTAAATCTAGGAGCGGATTTTGAGTTTGTATCCATATTAACTTTTACGGTTATTAGTTTATCAAATTTACAATTTCAAAATATATACAAATCAAAAACAAACATTTAGGTTTCCAAATAATAAATAAATCCTTTTGCAACACGATCACATTCACTAAACAAAATGAATGACTTTATTTTAATTTAAGGTAGGCTCCTTTTCAATCATTGAAGTTGAAAGAACCAATATTATTTCTTTATTTTGTTGCTAAACATAATAACATTCACATTAATGTGTCGGAGTTACCGTACGTGGAAAATATTTACCACGTATAAAAAGAATAAGTCAAACTATGTACTTTGAGTGGCAGTCACTTATTTTTATTAGGCTCATGGCGGTCACGATTATTTCGTGCTAATCCACATGAACACTTAAAAATTACTTTAAAAACCTTTTTTTTATAAAATTTTGTTAATTATAATTAAACTAACCCCTTGCTATAGCAATCTTTTAGAGCACAGAGTCGGAAAAGAAACCCTACTATTAAAATTAATTTCCAAAGTGATCTAATGACAATCACTTGTATTGCTTATTATTGACTTTATTAATTTTATAACTCATTGGGTGAATTTTAAGAAAAGTTTAAAAAAAATTAGAGTTTATCTCTACATTCATTATAACGTACATAAATGTTTTATAAAAGACAACTGTCAATTCTTTAATAACACTTATGTTTATACAAAATTTAGGAAATATAAGAAAACTTATATGTATATCTTAATATAAAAATTTGTACATTTTGGTAGTTTAAAAGATTCTTTTATAAACACACATTGGTATGTATATATGTATACATATAATTTTAGATAAGGGAAAGTTGAGCTAAAATTCTGATATATGTATATTTACATGCAAACGCTTATAATAAACTTCAATATTAATCAATTTTACTTTGATAATTATTATGGACGTTTATCGCAAGCTGCTTGTTGCCTTAAAGGCAGCTTATAAGGCATGTTTCAAAATCAACTCAATTCTACAACATAAAACACAATAGACTTTAAGAAAATATTTTTGTATTTTTTTTTTCTAAATTTTTGGTTTAATATAGATATACATGAAAATGTACAGACAAGAAAACCTAGTGTCTACTAAAATTCAGATCGAACGTCAATTTGACATATTCAGCTATTAAAATTTTACTCTTGCATAAGTCGAGTTGACATGAGACATGCATTTTGGTAGACGTTCTTATATGTTGATAATACAAATATATTTGGAATATACATAAACTTACATTTTTTAAAATTTATACATAATGTTTAATCTCACTTTCAAACTGCGACCGAAAATTTTGACATATCAGTAATGATTTCAGGTTTGTTTTGAAGATAATTGATATTTGCGATTACAAGCAATTTTTTTCTACATTCTCCAAATTTTCTTCTAAATTAAAAAACTGACTATTGTTATCAACAAAGTGATAACAATTTTATAAAGAAGAATTAAAAAGACCTAAAAGTAAACCGTTTTTTTTTGTAGTAAAAAATAAATTTGATTAATTTAAAATTTGACAGCTGTGGTATTAAAATAGGAAGTAAAATCAACTATCAAAATTTAATGCATGTCATTACAAAATTAACTTTTCCCTGTAAAAATATTAGACAAAAGAGCTTTGTCTATAAAATTAAGCATACATAATTCAACTTAACTGGAATTGCAACAGTTATCCGAAATAAAGTATAAAGAATATTATTCATTCTGTTCCAAAATGTACAACTTTAATAGTTATAAAGTCTGTAATATCGAAGAGAGCAACTGAAAGAATTTCGTCAACAACGTCAAAAAAAAATTAATCAAATATTATTGTTTGTAATTTTTTGTCAAAGCCATATGATTTTGCAGTACTACTGCATGTTCTATGATTGCATTATAGAACATGCAGAAAAACTTTTCCTGCAGTATTTTTTTTTTGATTTGATTAAGTCGAACAGCAGTGAATCATTTTGGAAAATAAAGTTTAATTGTCATGAAATGACCTTTCAAATTTAACAAATTTCAATTGATTAATTGGCTGAATGGTATTTTTGCGGGAAGTGACCGTTAACCATCTATTTAATCATGTGCATCTATATGATTACAAAATAAACCTCCGAAATCAAAATTTACACTTCATTTCCTTTATTTTTGTGTTTAATATATGTATTTATTTAATTAATGTTCAACTTCTATCATTTATGATATTTTAAATCCTACTTGCAAATATGTATATTATGTAAAAAATAGCTTAATCAATTTTTTATAATATGTAGATTTTATGTTAAGTTATATGTTATATGTAATTGAAAAATTGGGTTATGTTATTGTTTACAAATTTTTATTAAATAATTTTATAGGACATAATTAGCAAAAGAAAATTTTCAAAAGAAAAATTTATTTAAAAAAAGAAATCAGAACATTCAAACCTAACATTCCCTCATTTGATTCAGTTATCTTACACGATTTTGATTATAATAATTCCATATTTCTATTGTGTTTCCCTTTCCAAACGAATTCTTTTACTTCGTGAATTATTAGCCACATCTGAATTTATGTCCGAGGAATGTTCTCTTCTCTTAAGAATGCTCTAAAAGAGATGTAACAATTTTTGTAAATATGTTAATTTGAATATATTTATTGTACTTACCTTTTTATCCCATTGTTGGTGCAAATAACGTAATAAAATGTTTTTTTTTTCTGTCACAATAACTTAAAGTAAATATGAAACTATATTAGTTGTAATCACATTAATAAAAGACAACTCATTAAATATAGATTATATTATTTTAAACACATATAGGTTAGCAAATATATATGTACATATATGTATATGCTTTAGACATACACATATATTTAAATATGAGTGGGTTGGGTATAGAACTGCAAAATAGTACATATAATGTAAATATAATGGAATATAACTGCAATATATGAAGAAGAAATTTGCTGTTTTTTTTATTAAGCATCTTAGTTCTTATTAATCAATGATTAACTTCCAATAAAAGTAAAAACCTATTTCAAATATTTTTATGTGTATACATTTTAATTCAATTAATAGACTATACATACATATAAAAATATATTTTAAATATTTTTGAAATTCAATTCTGAATTCCTAATGGATGCTCTTTAATTTTTAAAACGGTATTCAGAGTAAATTGCAAACTAAATCCCTATTATTTGATCGTTTCAAGATATTTCATCTTTCATAAACAAAACAATTGGAAATTGATAATTGTCTCAGAAATTTTTGATACTTTAATAATTTGATTATTTAATTTGCGTTTTAGTTGGAATTATCTTACTTTGTTCTGAAGGTGAATCCTCTGTGGGTATATATACTGTGGGTCTCTTAAGTGACGTTCTGATTCCGTTTTCTGAATTAAATAATGAAAAATTTCTTTGATTATGACTCGGCAAGTCTTTTAAAAATTCCTTTACCGACTAAAAAATGATATAATGTTTAAATATATCAAGACTATATTAACAATTTGTATCATTTACCATGTTGTTATTTGACATGAACTTTAGCTATAAAATTTTGTTTTGTTAAATGTCGTTTTTTAAAGAAGACAGAAAAAAAATTGGATTGATGGATTTAAGCAACCGATGATTATGACATTTATGTTTTAATTAAACTGAATTTTTTAGCTAAAGGTAGTTTTACACATAATACTCAATGATAATGACTCCAAAAAATTCATTCTTTGCTACCTTTTTTAAATTTGGCAGATTCCGATATGTCTAGGAGAAGGTTAATTTATATTTTTTCCACCAAATAACCGATAATTTTTTTTTTGTTTAAAAGTGTTTGCATATACTTTAAACTCAGATTCAACTTTAATTGCAGATTTTCGTATATTTATCACATATTTATACATCAACTTTGCGAAAGCCACTTAAACGCAAACTGAAAATAAAATTTCGTGTAATAAATTATGAGTTATGATGAGTTAAATGAGAGAGATAAGAGTTATGAGTTTGTGGTAAAGAGAAACGTTTATATTAGATTGAGTTATTACATTTTAATTAAAAATTAATTTTTACTACTTTACTACTTTACACAAAATATCGTGAGCTACAAAAGTCAAAACGGTAACAGTGATTCCGATGAGAACATGTGCGTAATATAATTTGTTTGTTTTGCAATTATCATTTTTAGAATTCAGGAAAAATAAAATTTAGGTAAATACAATGAAAAATACTGAAGGCGGTGTAGATTTTCATAATGTTCGATTTTACAATTTATCACCACGTTCAATTGAATCTATTTCATATAACCGTTTAAATGGGAAAATAGCTCTTTGCAGAGGAGATTCTTCGATAGAAATTTGGGATGTTACACATGTTCCTGTATTAGAAAAAACGATAGTTTCTGAAGTTAATAATAATTATTCAATTGAAGATTTATCATGGTTCGGTAATCGGTTATTTTCGGGAGACTTGGCTGGTAAAATTATAGAATATGACTTAAAAACACTGAAACGGAAATCCGAGCAATATGTGACCGGGAATTCTGTTTGGTGTTTAGATGTCAATAGTAAACATAATTGTTTAGCTGCAGGAACCGAAGAAGGATATATTAATATTTTCGACTTAACTGAAGACAGTTTAATTTATAAAAGTGTTTTCGATAAACAAGATGGCAGAATTTTATGTTGCAAATTTAGCTCAAATGGAGACCATATTGTTACTGGTTCTATAGATGTCATAAGAATTTGGTGCACAAAAACTGGGCATGCCATTAGAAAAATTTCAGTGGGCAGAGCCGAAAAGAAAAAGGAAACCATTGTTTGGGCTATTCAACTTCTAAAAAATTTTACCATTATATCAGGTAAAATATAAAAATGAGTTATAATACTGAGTATAAAAAAGATTATTTTTAGGAGATTCAAGGGGTCAACTCACAGTTTGGGATGGAAATAACGGGAGTCAAATCGAATCTCACCAAGTTTTTCAAAAGGATATTCTAGCACTTGCGGTTAATGAAGGAGAGGACGTTTTAATGTGTTCTGGAGTTGAACCAATGATAAGAATTTTTTGTTTGACTACCATAACTAAACATAATCAAACATTCAAAAGATGGATTAAATTTTTGCAGAGATATATACATGATCATGACGTCAAAGCTTTAACTTTTGCGGGACCAAAAATTATTTCGGGAAGTGTTGATGGCTTTTTAGGATTTTCGTACTACTCCAAAAGTCGTCAAGAAATCAAAAAATGTGGTCCTTTTTTACAAAATCCATCTATATGCGTCGCAAACAATGTTAGACAAATATTGTTGAGGTATCCAGATTACTTAGAGGTTTGGAAGTTGGGTGACAGTGAGAGAAGCACTGCAGAAAAATTAATGGAAATGAAATCGAAAAACGGAGATTTTATCGTTTGTGCGGCGATGTCATCAAATGGTGAATGGTTAATATATTCCACAATATCAACCATTCGGTTATTTGGTTTAACTTTTCAAAATGAATCATTAAAAGTTTCTAAAATGAAGGTACTTTTCAAAGAGTTTTCGCCTGCAATAAAAGTACTTTTTTCTCATAATTCGCAGCAAATTTATCTTTTTAAAGCTACTAACAAAGTGGAAATATTCGATATATCAAAAAGCACTATTAGTTACCAAGGGAAATTAAACATTTCCAAACAAGTTGAAGAAATTCCACATATTGCGTTATTTTCAAAAGATGATCAATGTTTAGTTGTTGGAACGACTTGTAAAAAAATTTGCATTTGGCGTAAAGATGAAAAAAGCAATTGGCGACACCACACAACTCTCCCGAGAAATTCAGCTCCAATTACTGCTATAGAATTTCATCCAGTTTTACCCAAGATTGTAGCAGTCTTTTCAGATGGAAAAATTTTTGACTACCATATAACGAAAATGAAAATTGTTAATCTTCAAATGATAGCAGAGAATGAATTCGCTAATGATTGTGTAAAGAATATTTTACTGTATGATGATGACGATGGGAAAATGATTTTGCAAACAGAGAATGCGTTAATATCTTGCAATTGGGAAATACAGCCAAATCAAAAGCAGCAGAAGTTAAGCAATTCCTCAATAACTGAAGAAAATTTAGCTCTAAGGATAGTTTCCAATAGATTATATGATAATTTAATAGATACTAGATGGTTATCGCAAAATGAAATTGTTGCTGTTGGTGTTAATCCTATATCTTTGATAGAAAAGTTGCCAAATGCTTTTAAGCGAAAAGTATTTGGTGCAAATTAAATTACTTTGTTCTAAGCCATAAAAATTATAAAATACATTCGTCAAAATTTTTAAACTTTTTTCTTTTATTAATAAAATATTCAATCAATAATTTTGCAATTTTAGTTTCGGTACCACATTCATACTGGTTAGTTCTTGAAATAATAATTTACAAGCATACGGCATTGATATTTTTGATACACTACCAGATGATCTACAATTATGACACCAAGATGAATATGCTAGTCGACCGCAAGTGTTACATACGTCTACATCAAATGCGTCAGATGATATCATCAATCTTTCCATTATAAGCATACTTGCACCATATGAAATCAAACAGTCCCTTTCCATTTCACCTAAACGTAATCCTCCTTCTCTACTTCTGCCTTGGGTTGGTTGCCTTGTTAAGACAGCTTTAGGGCCTCTTGCTCTAGCGTGCATTTTATCTTGCACCATATGCTTTAATTTTTGGTAATAAATTGGCCCAGAATATATATACATTTCCAACTGTTCACCAGTTATCCCAGAGTAGAAAATATCTTTTCCCATATAATTAAAGCCATGTTTGAATAATTCATCCTGTATGTCTTTACATTTAGATCCACCAAAAGCTGTTCCATAATGAAATTTTCCTTCTAATAAGCCGGCTTTTCCTCCTAACAACTCTAATGTTTTGCCGACAGTCATGCGAGAGGGGAAACCATGTGGATTCATAATCATGTCAGGGCATATTCCGAAATCGTTAAAAGGCAAATCTTCTTGCTCCACTATTAGTCCCGTCACACCCTTTTGTCCATGTCGAGAACTGAATTTGTCTCCAATTTCTGGTCTTCTTGTTTGTCGCAATAAAATTTTTATGAGAAAATCCTCTTCCGCGTTAGCAGATACCATAACCTTCTCAATATAACTTGGTTCAGGTCCCTTATAGGAGATTGGAACGGAAGTATATTGTATATTATTTTGTGCTGACGGTTCTTTTTGTTCAAGAGAATTTATTGATGTTACTGCAGGCATTTCTTTATTGATTAAAATTTGTTTATTAGTAACTTTCTCCCCAGGTGATGCTATTCCATCTGTATCTAGAGCTTCATGCTTGTATACAATTTTATTTGTGGTCAAATCTTTAGCAGGACCCATTATTCGATCATAAGTTTGATTTGCGTATCGCTTAACGGTACATTTAGAGTTTCTATATACAAGACATCTTCCATATCCCCGATCTATCGAGGCTTTATTCAAAATTAGCGCATCTTCAATATCATAGCCAGAATAGCTCATAACCGCTACCGTGGCATTCTGTCCTGCAGGAAGTTTATCGAAATTTGTTAGTTCTATAGTTTTGGACTTAACCATTGGTATCTGTGGGTAAACAATATTGTACATTAGAGTATCAATTCGATTTTTTTGGTTATAGCCGATTGTTCCCATAGCTTGTTTACCCATAGCACATTGGTATGTATTTCTTGGACTTTGATTATGATGTGGATATGGTACAAGACCAGCACAAACTCCTAGTAATGTGAAGGGTTCTATTTCCAAATGTGTGGTTTCAAGCGAAATATCGTTTTCATTCCAGGCAATAAAAGAATCATTTTCTTCATTTACGTCTAAATACTCCACTAAGCTATCATGAAGAAAATCTTCAAATTTCCTCATTCCTTTATTCAGTTCATCTATATGGACTTGCTCCACAGCCGGCTTACCTAAAATATAAAAAATAAGTAAGTTTTGAAACGGTTATTATGGTTTTATTTAACCATTTTTCACAATGATATATGGTCGGCATAATCTGCCACCATCCGTGTGAATATAGACACAACGCTGAAATTCGGACGTATGCACCGAAATAAAAGGAGCAATCAAACCTTTTCGACGCATCATTCGAAACACTTTAACCAAATGTGTCTTATTGGTGGTTGCCCCTAATATGTTTCCATTTATGAAAACTATGTAAACGTTGGAATTATTCATTTGATGACCACCCATCAATCTAATATCTTCTACGCCTGAATTAAATGCTAGTCTAATCACTAAAAAAATATATTGTAATCAATGAATTTTTAAATTATATGGGCGTTATATACCAGGGGCTTCATCAGCTTCCGTTGTTATATGGGTCATTAGTGCCAAATTTTTTACTAAACCACACGCTTCGCCTTCTGGAGTGTCAGACGGGCACAACATACCCCATTGGCTTGGTTGCAATGATCTAGGACCGGAAACTTTACGAGTTTTTTCAAATTGAGAGTTAACTCTAGTCATCATTCCCAATGCAGAAATATAACTTAATCGCGATAAAACTTGGGTAACACCAGCTCTTTCCATCTTGAAACGTTTAATGGTCCAATTTCCTGATGAAATAGCGGATTCTAGTCCAATGGTAATTTGTGCTGCCCTTATATGTTTCACAACATCAAATTGCGCTGCCTTAACCTTAGGAATATTTTTATCTGCTATCATTTTCAATTCCCAATTCAGTCTCTTAAAAAGATCCTCGAACATAAGAGATAACAAAGATCCAGCAAGCTCTAAACGTTTGTTTCCATAATAATCACGATCATCAAATGTGGAAGGGTCGATTTCAGCCGTCATAACTCGTTTTACCATTATTGCAACATAGAAGCATTTCATTTGAAAATTGAAGCAATCAACTGGCACGTGAGCTAGTATGGTTGTCGCCAATAAATCTCTTGCTTCATCTCCAGGAGTTTTAAATTTATTTGAAGATTGAAATCTTTTCACAATTAATTTTGAGCCCATATATTGTAAGGCTCTTTGCTGTGTAAAAATTTTTAGATGAAAAGCTTCTAGCATGGAAGGAGCAAAACGGTTTTGTGTTTCTTGGTCAGTACCAATCAAAGATAAAATTTCTCTATCAGAAACAAAACCCATGGCTTTAAAAATGACCACAATTGGTATGTCATCCGTCATCGAATTATGCCTTAGATAATATTTCCCATGCTTGCCTAGTATAACAGTGCGAGATTTCTTTTCATGAGTGGAACTTGCAACCTGACATTGAACATTTCCACTAAATTCTTCTGTTATCATTTTATTCCATGATATCTGTTCTTGTATCAAAATTACTTTTTCTTGTCCGCGTACAACAAAATATCCTCCAGGATCATGCGGACACTCATTCATTTTCGATAACTCATATTCTGATTTTCCTGATAAAATACAATTTGAAGATCTCAGCATAATAGGCATTCGACCAATCAATAAGTTATTTCTTATAATTCTTTGATGTCCTCTTGTATACTCAATGTCAACAGTAATTGGAGCAGAATATGTGACATCACGTAAGCGACATTCATGTGGTGTTGTTGGTTTTGTTATGTTGAATCCTAAAAAAAAATTGTAGATTAACATTAAAAATTAAATTTGTTTCTAGACGTACCATCTTCAATATCAGGTTGCTTTACTGATACATTTAGATATTTTAAATAAAACATTGGATCAGCATCACTAAGGACTATTTGATTTGCGGCTACAATCTTTTTGATATCAACATTAACAAAATGATTGAAAGAATCAATGTGCTGTTTAACAAGTCCTTTTATTTGTAAGAAAGCTGGAACCAATTTCCATTTTTCTGTTAAATTTTTTATCGGCTTCTTCCAAATCTTTGGATCTGAATTCCAACTCTCTAAATCATCCATCATAGTACGAGACTTGGAATATCTTTTTGTATATTAATATTGATAAAATTTAAAGAAATATAAAAACACTAAAACAGCCGGACCTACCTAACCTACAGAATATAATTTTTGTTTTGTTTTTTTTGTATTAACTCCGAATATTAAAAGCAGGTGGCGGAAATATTGCATTGAAGATTTTTATTGACTTAGAATGAATATAACTACTGAACAGTGCTGCCACTTGGGTCTATTTTTATTTAAAGATAGTAAATGTTTAAATACTAAATACCGCAAGTGTAGAGCACGTCAGTTCGTTGGGATCTTCAAACGAACCCTTTTCAAAGGCTTACATAATTTCAGATTAGCTTTAGATTTTTTTTTAACTTTTCAGTTTTTTATCGAATTCTCTTTTCGTTTTTTATACTTTTATTTAAGCTATTACTTAAAGTTTCAAAAAAGTTTTATTTGAAAATTTTTTTTAAAAATTTTTTTCTTTGTAAAACGCTTGTATCCCAGAAACTGTTGAACTTCAACACCTATTAAACCAAATTTAATAACATATGTATATAAATACTTTTATTTCCGATTCAACTTAGAAAAATAAATTATTATTTAAAATTTCTTAATTTAATAATTAATTAAGAAATTGTAATTTATTTTTTAGTTGAATAAATAAATTCCTTTTTGTTTACTTAATTGCTGCAGAATACCCAAAATTATTAAAAAAAATGTATCCTCTTTTTTTCTAGTACCATGATTTTAGGTTCCAACAAAAAAAACATACATACGTACATTTGTATGTAGATACATGTTATAAATAAAATATATTTTTTTTATTTTTTTCACGTATGCATATTAAATTAAATGGTCTTTTTATAAAAAAATTATGGTTTAAGTAACATTACAATGTTAAATTCGATATTTATATAGATAAATATAATAAATGTTTCAAAAGAAATCATGTTGATTAACTCGTTGGGAAAATCTATAAAACAATTAAAATGCTTAACGGAATACAGGTCAATTAGAAGCACCGAGCAAAACAGCCCCAAAGCCCTGTTTACAGTCGATATTACAGTATATATACAAAAATATTTTTCCGTCCAAAATATTTTTATTTCGAGACCCACTAGTAAGGATCAAGTATTTCAACAAGATTTTCTAAAGAAATTCAATTTAAATGAAATACTATTTTTTGATCTTCAATACTTAACGTACTTTTCATTTTTGATGAATTTTGAGATTTAACGTTACATAAGTTTATGTTACACAAAGGGTTTTTTTACATTTTTTTTTTCTTAGCGGTATTTTTATGTATAAAGAATTTTTATTCAAATTGAATATTAAAATTTTAAATTAGATCATTCACATATTTCAGAAAGCGTCTATCATTAATAACTAATGTATGTATATCTGATTTCGGAGTTCAAGATGTCACAAGTATGAAGCAAATGTTTTTATACTACTTTATTTGTTACAATACGTAAAATAATAAAAGTATATAAATTATCTTATAGTTCAAATAACTTGAAGTGCGGAAATATGCGACTCCTAAGTCCTAGTTAAGTTTTGATTCAAAGAAATTATTTTTAAAGTTTTCCTTGATTTTATGTACTTAATAACAGTAAAAAATATATTTTTTTAAATATTCAGGAAAGATTATGGCCACGCTAATGTAGCTTTCCGATTTTTAAAAAATACATCAAATATAAACATAAAAGAATAAAGTAAAAATAATAAAAAGTGAAACTTGATATTCAGTTTTATTATTTTATGCATATTTTATTTTGTATATTGATTTTTTGTTTAAACATGGTTTAATACATACAAACATACATTCGTATTTATTATTGTTACATGTTGATAAAGATGAGTTTTAATTAGTGGTATGTTAAATTTATTTGTAAATCTTATTTAAACCTAATCTCTTTTTTTGTAATCGAAAGGTTTTTCAACGACATATCTGAAATACTTAATCTAGTCTCATTCAGTACTTTGGTAATTGATGTTCTCTTTGAAAAATACCTGGTGATTTTAAAAATATTGTTTTTTATGTTATAACGATGGATTTTAAAATTCTTTTGTTCGGATGCCTACTTAATTTAGTGTATAGATGCATTTATGTAAAAAGTGAAGAAAGATTTACAGAAGCATTTAAGTGGAAACAAATTGAATTCAATTTAAATGGAGAAGGAAATTTTATGTCGAGTAACTTTCATTTTCCTGGTGAAGTAAATGCAGATAGAAAAGAAAGGCCTCCAAATTATCCTGGAGGTTCTTCCGGAAATAGAGCAACAATAGACGAAAACTATATACCATATTCAAATGTCCCAATGGGAGTCAGTCGTTATAAAAATAAACTTTTTGTTACGTTACCGAGACGAAGGCCGGGTATACCATCAACATTAAATTATATAAATTTAATGAAACTTGGAAACGATATTAATCCAAAATTTATTCCATACCCGAATTATGATTTTAATAAATTAAATTCAACATTAATTCCTGATTCAAATAGAATTATTTCTGTTTATAGAACCAGACCAGACTATAAATGTGGAAGATTATGGTTTATTGATACAGGTACTTATATAAACATTTTTTTAAATTTAATTATTTCAATTAAACTACATAGTTAAGCAGTTTTTTAACTGTATAATTCTATACTACTTTGCACGATCTATCAACTATTTATTAATACTATGTCTGTACCTACAATACTATGCATATAAGTACATAGAAATAATTATTTTTAATAATAAATGTCTATGTATCCTTTAATACAAGTGTTTATTTACTAACATTCATACGAGTACTTGTGTGGTTTCTAATTAGTTTTTTTCAATCATGAAAAATTTCATTCTATCAAAAACAATAAATTTTTTAAGTGCAATATTAAGACCTTAAGTTAAAGATTAAAATGTTATAGATATACATTTGTATTTGTGCACATACTATATTCTTATGTTTACATACTTACATATGTATATTCACTTAATAAACTTTCGGATCGGATTTGATTAAGCTATATGTACAAATATAATATGTAAAAAGCAAATAAAATATAATATATAATGTACATAGTTTTTTAAATCTAGTAATAGCTAGAGTTAATAGCTATGTTTAAAATTTTAAGAATAAAATGTTAAATTTTGTTTTTGTTTTACACGTTAAAAGTTTACGTTCTTTTTAATTGAAAAGCTAAAAGCAAATTTATCATTTTCTCCTACATGCATACACACATGACAAATAATTATTTTTCACATTTAGATGGTTTCAATCGAACACTTTTTAATAATTGCACGATTCCTTAACTATAAAATATTTATATTCATTGTTATAACAACTCATATTCTTATTTGTATAGATACATTAAGTATCTACATGTACATACATATGCATATTTATATGCATTCTTACCGAGATTTTTTTGTCGCAAGCGTACATGTGCCTATATACGTACGTTTTTATAAGATCCTAAAATAAATTTTGTTTAAATGCATTTCTTAAGGAGTCTAGTTAACGATAGTTTTATTGTAAGGGGACGAAAATTTTTATTAATTAAAATAACACATTTTCTAATTTAGAAAGTATGACGTAATTCTTCTTGGGAGGAATAGCTTGGATACATGGTAATAAAAAACAAGTATCTCTAAAATTTTTAAAACTGTTGTACAAATTTTTTATACTACTATTTTAAATTGCATAATTTTTTACATATTATATTGAATTTGAGTAATATATTACATATGTTTACATAATAATATACTACTTAAATGTAATTCTTAATTTGCATCCGCAAAAATATGTTCTTTAGAATCGATCACAAAATTTCAGAAATTTTACTTATACAGACTTATATGTAATTATCTCTAATAAATTCGAATGCAATAAAATAGGTGAATGTTTCGTTTAAGTATGAAATATAAAGTATTTGTATCGGTCTAAATAAATATGTATATTGAATATCATTTTAAATTTTAACATTGTAATGGTTTTTCCTTAAAACTTCGAAACTTGTACGTATAGCCTTCTGATTTTTAAAGTTAAAGATGTTAATATCTTAAATATGTAAATACATATATGTTTTTATTTCCTCTCAGAGATCTAAAACAAACTAGATTTCAAGTTCAGGTAATTTTGAACCTACAAAAACATAGAAGCCCGAATTATTAGAAAGATTAAAATTATACCATGTTGTCTTGAACATACCGTATATCACCGTATACTACATACACGAGTATCAAATTATTATAAGAAAAATCTTTTATATTTTCTTATATTTATAATAACATCATTACTTAAGTGTACACTATTTAATAATGATTTTAATATCTCTGCTGATATTCGGATAAATTGAATGCTGACAATTTAAGAATTGTCAGCAAACAGTTTAACACAAATCAATTAAACACATAAAATTAATGTTTTATTTTGAAAGAAAGAAAAGAATAATTTTTTTAGTTCCACTACTTTAATAAATACTTTAATACTTGCAGGTGTACTTGAATATCCAGACAATATTCAACAAATTCAACAACCGTCAATTTGGATTCTTGACTTAGAAAATGGTGGAAAACCTCTGCGTCGTTTTGAAATACCTGCCAATATAGTGACAACTGGAAGAGGTCTTGCTAGTATAACAGTTGATGTTGATGTTAATTGTGACGATGCTTTTGCTTATATTCCCGATTTACAAACTTATCATCTTTATGTATATAGCTATCGCATGAACTCGATCTGGTCATTTTCACATAATTATTTAAGTTTTGATCCTATAGCCGGTGATTTAGATATTGGAGGAGTGCAATTTCAATGGAGTGATGGCATTTTTTCATTAACATTAGGAAATAAAATGTCAAATGGATTTAGAAATGCTTATTTCCATCCAATGGCAAGTCATTCAGAATTTGTTGTTTCTACGAAGGTTCTACAAAATCAAACAAATGCTGATAGATCATGGCATGGCAATGACTTTATGTTTCTTGGTATTAGAGGTATAAATAAGCAATCAACTATGCACGATTTTCATACAAAAAGTGGAACTATTTTTTATGCGGAAATACAAAATAATGGAATTGGATGCTGGAATACCAATAAAAAATTTTGTAGTTGCAATCATGAAATCATTCATTCTGATGTCGATAAAATGATATATCCTAGTGATTTAACGATTGATGATGAAGATAACATTTGGGTTATGAGCAACACAATGCCACGTTATATTTACTCTAGGTTAGATCCGAATGAATATAATTTTAGAATTTGGACAACAACAGTCAAAAAAGCTGTTCAAGGTACTCTGTGCGAATAAATTTGTGCACAACACGTGTGTAAAAACTTTTTATTTGTGAAAATAAAATTGTATACGCATTGCATTATAAATTCAAATTAAATAAAAATCACATATAAATGCAATTTTTCTAAAATCAATTGATACTTTTCCAAATCTGTAACTTCCAAAAAAGAATGAACTGATGCACGCATATGTTATAACGAATAAGTAAAACAAGAAATTTTTTTCTTTGAATGATTTCAAAAATTGTTTCATATTATAATACGGTCATCTCAAACAAGGGCGTAAAAGTAGTATTAGTATTATTTTCGTGTAGTCTAAAAGTATTATTTTAAAAATATTAGAGCTGTAATGAAAGAGTTTTGCTCAATTGCTGCTCTTCAAAGAGAGTGCTGAAGAGCTTCATTTCCTTTTGTCATGTTCTCATATGATGATAATTAATTGTGAAAAAATCTTCAATAATAAGTAGTCACGGAAACAAGACAGTTTAGATTAAAGATTTTCATTTGGACATCTTGTTAATTTTATCAACTTGAATTTCGTGTTCAATTAAATTAATATTAACCCTTCAGTTGTTTTATTAACACTAAATCATATTTTTCTAACAGACTTTTTTTTATTTTTTTATTACATGCTATTACAATTTACAAAAATATTCGATTATTTTACAAAAGTAATTTTTGATGAAGATACAAGTTAAAAAAGTTCTTTTTTTGCTTTATGTACATATGTATCTACTTAACAAAACAAAAAAACATTAACTTACAACAATATTTAAGTAATATAATATGATTTTGCAGAACAATAATAGTTTTTTCCTTATTCTGGTAAAGTTTTTTTTAAAGAAATTTTTATTTCTCCAAATTTAACCTAAGTATTTCTTTTAAAAATATTAAGTAGGCCTCTGACTTTTTTTTAACAAATTCAATTTGATTGTAACTAAAGTTAAGAAATTTTTAATTTTAAATTCACACAAAAATCATAAAATTAAAATTGTTAGTTACAATGACATTGTGTAAAATTGATTTACGTATGTATGTATGAATTTTTGTAAGTACATATTATTAAATACAATTTAATTTTAATTTTTGTAGTTTAAAAATATAATAAAATTTTAATTAAGTTCAATTTTTTCTTAATTATTAAAAGTAAAAATAATCTGGTTTTTATACAACAAAATTTAGTTAAACAATTAAAAAAAATCGTTTAATTACAACTGCTACAATAATTTTTTTATAGGATCGTCTGCTTTTAGATAATTTAAAATAAAATTTAAGAAAAAGGTTATACTTCACCTAATTGTTTTCATTCAACCGCAAAAAAAAAAAAATTCATCAGTCTGTTAAGGGTTATGAGATTTAAAAGCCTATAAAATTACTGCAAAAAATTTTAAAACTTTAAGATTTAGAATACTTTAACTTTAAGCTGTTGCAGTTTCTAAAATTAAAGAGCAAATAAGTATTAAAAATTTGAAAATAAACATTTCACAAAATCGCTACTTAAATAAAAACCAGAATTTTTTTTTGTAATCAGTCATTAATTTCAAAGTGAAAATAAAAATATAATTTTAAAATAAATAGCCATTAATGTCAACATTAATTTTTATTTAAAAACGCTTGTTAAAAAACAATTCATGTTGCTTTCGCATTATAATTTTTTTTTTTGTTTCAGTTTACTACTTTTTAATTTAAGTTTATTTAACTAAAATAAGTCAACCTTTGGCTTTACCGTTAAGTAATTTCTTTGTAGTCCCATGTGATAAAATTGCTAGTTGCGTTGTTTTCAAATCTCTTACTGGTTCTTCTTGGTCTAAAAATTAATTTTAAAGGAAAAAATAAATTTAAATTATATTTAACGATAAAGGTTTTAGAAAAAGAAAAAATAATTGATTAACATAATTATCACGCTATGTTTTGAAATTTAATCAAATATTCGCTATATAGTAATAATGAAAGTCAGCATTTGATGTAGACTAGCAATGTTACAAAAATACAGTATTAAAAAGTGACTGCCATATTTTCAAAAAGAGACAACATGAATGTTACTTAAAAATCATAAAAAATACATTTTTATCGATATTAAGTGGGACAAAACAATTATTATGATAGTTCTGAATAGCACCATTAGTTTTTATTAAATTATTTTGATAAAGCTGTTGAAAGTCTTACCACTTGGTCATTAGAATAATATGTCGGACTACTATTTTTAAACGAAAAAGATTTTGAAGTAAAATATTAGTAAAAGCAAATTTTTTTTTTTGTTAAAGTAATAAAAAGTAGTAATTTTAATATTTAAAAACTAAAATTTACATATATATGAATTTTGATATATATATACACGTGTATATCTGATTAAAAATGAATTGTTACATAAAATATTGCTTTTAAAAAGTTTTTTTTTTATTAACACATTAAATCAGGAAGTACTCTCTATATATATTCTATATGATCATAAATAAGTGTTAGAATAAAAACCATTAATGTCATATCTATAGGACACTACTATCACAAAAATTTATTTTTTATTATAGACTATAATTGGTGAAAATAGAATAGTAATGCAATGCACAAAATTACATAACCGTATACCATATTAGTCCCATAAAGCATTGCATCACGATCTAATTACTTTCCAAATATGACCATTTTATCATGCAAAATTAATTCAAAATAATAAAAAATTAAATATTTATACAATTAAATAAAAAAAAAAAGAATGCGTTGTAATGTAAATAAATTTATACTGCACCTATATTGCAGAAGCAGCTTTTGAAAATAATATTAATACATAAACAATTAATTTAGTACCCATTTATTATATTTTTAATAGCATCATCCTTGAAATATTAACAACACTTCAAAATAGCGTTAACTGTTAGATAAATTCTTAACAGATACCTTTAAAAAATAAAAATAAAATCTGTGAAAAGCTATTTTTCGGTGGGTATTTTAAAATAGTTTTTTTTTACAAATTGTCTACCTTTTCAGCAAACATTAAAATTGATTAATTTAATCAAACCAAAAATGGCTTATAAATAACTTTTTAATTATTCAAAGCAAAAAATACCCATTAGAAACTTTATAATATATTACTGTTTTCAAGTTTTATGTATTAAAAAAATTAGTGTCAAAAATATAGTATAAATATTTAAAACCGTAAAATAAGTACAATCCAAATACATATATGTATGTTTTGTTTTGTTGTTAAAAAAATAATTTTTAATTTAGGATTAGTCAAATAAAAATTAACTATTTTTAGTTATTTTACAATATTTAAAAATCTTATTTATAATATTTATTTCATCGGCTAACTTATTTTTAATCTACAAAATCATCATCATTCTTTTTATTTTCTTGCTCTTGTACAATATTTCTATTTCCCTTACCATGAAGTGAATGACAGAATTTATTTGAAACACTCCAATCTTCTTTAAGTGATAAATTAAACATTGAATATTGTGGATCACCAGTAACTTCTTTGACGATGTTTAAGAATTTTGGCAAACAATTTGTTAGTGATTCACCACTTAATGATGAATAGGTTTCTAAAAGTATCAGTCCTTTACATCTAAAATATAAAGAAAAAGAATTAAAAATTAATTTCAAAATTAGCTTAATAGATAATTTTATTGAAACTCCATAAAATGTTTTCAACGATTTAATTGTGCATGACCAAAAACGTGTTTATCATAATGGAGGCTTTTAAAATTTTAAATACCTCAATTTAGAGAACTCAATTTAAAGACACTCTAGTGTGTTTCTTTTTTTATTTAAATTTACCTAGGATGACTGGGTTCCTTATAAATATCCAATTGAAAATATTGATTATTAACTAAGAAACATCTTCTCTTCTTATATATAGTAAAATGAGCGTCGTCACGTTGAGCTAACAGCATCAAATAGTCCCTGTGTGTTAATTGTGTCTTAACTTCAACAGATTGACCATGTACATGTGGTCGGCGTATTGTATGAATATAACTCCAATGATTATTTTGACCACGTTTTCTGAGTCTTGCCTGTACTTTTGGTCCGGAAGATTGCAAATAATGATGTATAACATCGAAGTCTTGAAACGGTGGAAACTCTGAATCAGCAGGTAAAGATGCAACTGTAATATTAGAGAAATCAGTAAGATGAAATAAATGAATGAGAAAATATAATAATGTTTACCCAAAAATTTGAGTTTTCGTGATGTTTGTTTTAGACGATCACCTATATCTATACCCAACTTCATACAGACACTCTCAATCATGCGGTTCATTTTGGTTTCAAAATCACTTGAATTATCTATAACATCAAAATAAGGATGACCGACCCAAGCTGCTGCAGATTTATAATCCAATTCACGAGCTAAATCAACTCCTTCTGAGCGGCAAGCGTGATCCTTTAAAAAACGTATAAATATATGTATATATATGTATATATAAATAAACATATATATATAAGTATAAGTATACTTGGATGCACGAAAAATTGTAGTAATTTGGTATAAATGTATTCTATGCGTTCTTATGATTACATATATAAATATTTAAAAATTTTATAGAACATATCACATACTTCTATCGTGTAAAAATCTTCTGCTCCATTTGCTGCTGAAACTAGATGAAGGATCTGATTATAACGATTATCCCTTAGTTCTATAGCATTCCAATGATTTGTTTCCATCATTTTTTTCCATTTTTCTTTTGAAATATCTAAAAAATTAAAAATTTAGGATTTTAGAAGAGTCAATATTTTTCTGGGTTTATTTTTTTAATAATATTTACATGCACTTGCATCCATAACTCCGCGATCGCATATGATTAAACAGTTTTTGGTACTTGATGCTCCTAGCTCGAAGTATGTATTTTCTATTTGAATCATTGTTCGAATAAGATTTTCTTGAAATTTATAAGCTGAAATAGAATAAAAGAATGTTTTAATAATGCAAAGTCTTAAATACTTTACTGCAGATTACATTAAAATTGTTCTTTCATTTAGAATTCAAAATGTGCAATATTATATATGTATATATATAAAAGAATAATAAATTTATATAGATGTAAATGACTGGAAAATAAATATTTATGTGAAATTGTTTTAATAAGCGATCAATCAATCAATAAAAAATTAACAAAAATAATGGTAGACATGATCCACTTTAAAATACATTGAAATAAACTACTTATTTAAAATTGATTTGCCAATTTAGTAGCATGTACATAATATATATATATATATATATATATATATATATATACATACATATATATATATATAATTTTCCAACTTTAATTAAGTTGGAAAATTGAATTGAATTCTGATTTACTCATTTATTCAATTTTATTACCAAATATTTATCAAAACTAGTTTCAAACCAATATGTCTGTTTATGAAACATTTTATAAATGTACCGTAATATATTACTAAGCTCATGTGTCAAACATTTTTAATTGACTATTCGTGTATACCAAAAAATTTAAATTTTTTAAATATCAATATTATACAAACCGAAAATAATATATTTTGTGAAAACTCTAATTTTAGATATGTATATATTGTATTGATACCCGGAGGACGATATAACTTGTATTTATGAACACATAATGTCTTATGTCTATACATAATGTCATATATCTTTTATTAAAATTTTAATAAATGAAGGCTGTGTAAGTAATAACAATTTTAATTAAATGAAAAATGATAAAATATAATTAATGCATATCTTTTTATGCAGATAAATAACTAATAATTTTGATAAGTATTAGGTCAGTAGAAAAATTATTTTCAAAAAATTTTCGATGAGATCAAAGGGAAATTATTTATTAAAAATTAGGGTAATTGAGACTGATTGGTTTAACTTCTTAGACATCGAAATAATATTTGGTACAAAAACGCATATCGTTATTTCTTCAAATTTCAAAATTGCATTTTATATACATATTTATTTTAATCTTTTGTGTTCATTTTGGGTGTACATTTATTTTTATATGCTTATTTGATTTCTAATGAATAATAGGACAGTTTTTTCTTTAATGATGAATGATTATGCTATAAGATATTTTCATTAAAATTATCTTGTATATAGGAAAGGTAAAATTATTTTATATTATTGATAATTCAAATTTGTAAAATTATCATTAAGTTTTGAAAAATTAAGCAAAAATTAAACATGTTATAAATGTAAGTACATACATATATCGTTTTCAGACAATCACATTCAAATAAAACCAACCAAAAACCTTTTAAGCTTAAACTCACCTTCGCTACCGTCTGGTCTGTCAGCCGCTGCAGCTAAACATCTTGGGCAGCTGGCAGTCATGTCTATAATACTATGTTCTGGTGAGACGAATGGTAAACTAAGGTGTTTAAACGAAGAAGGTGTTTCGGGAACTTTTTTTTAATTGCATATTAATTTAACAAGATTTTTATAAATTAATAAATACTTAAACAATTCATTTATATGAATCAAAAACTTTTAGAATATCGATGATAAAAATAATGTCGATTTAATGAGGTTTATATCATATGTGTAAATAAAAATGTTATTTTTCTTTAAAATTAGTAAGTTAATTGTCAATTTTATTTGCAATAAAAATGAAGCGATATTTAAATTGAAAAATTCAACCATAACACAAAAGCTAAAAATAATGTCATGTCGATTTTTGGTTTTAAGAAATGATAACATTTTTAAAGATAACAGTGGATATCATTTAACATCATTTAACAAAAAAAAAAAAAGAAAGAAACTGGTAAAATGATCGTTGACAAAAAAAAATCGTTCCGTATTCCATTTCCTTAATTTAAACAATGTAGCACCGGCCATGTTATTCTACATTGTTTGAATATTTTTTCGACTATGCTGAAGAAAATTTCGAAAAATTTTTTCATACTTTTCACATGCATTTTGAAAGCATGTATTCTATTGAGTTAAGTTTTAGCACTTAAAGTGATTCATTATGGAAGTAACTTGTTCTCTCATAATTTCAAAGTACCAAATAATTACTAAATTTTTATTTCATTAATTTTAACCTCTCCTTAACGATTTCTATAGCCTTATTTTTGTTCTCTATTTAAACACATTTCCCTATATGCATTTTTAGAATTTCATATAAGAAATAACAGTTCTCTTGTTAAAAATTTACAACATTTTTTTTTGTCCGAAAAATTATAAAATCTTTAAATAAAATATTGTAATACCTTTCATATAATATGTAGCATCTTAATATACTACTACTAGGCTAGTACCCAATACATTTTGCATAAAATCATTATAAGAATATAGAAAGTGAATGAATTCTGCTTCACCCGCAATTTTTTGCTGATAAGTTAAGTTTGAATTGAAAATTAAATTCAATTAACAACAACATTATATATTTTTATTGTCCTTTTACAATTTGTTTTTTATATTGATTTCTCTATAAACATTTTATGATTACCGATTGTTATTTAAGCAAAATATGCACACGCAATAATGTGCTTACCAACTTAATTGCTGGTTTATGTAATAAAATATTATATCAATACCTCCTTATTAGCAATATAAAATCTTCATGAAATAAAAAAATAAAAGAAATAAGCAAATGTCAGAAGCCACATATATGTTCAATTTAAAGTACCTAAAAGCCGTACGTTGATTGTATTATGTCAATAAAATAAAATTTAAATAACCATTCAAAATGTTCTTCTTTTTCACTAAGCTATAGAAATCATTTGTTACTTGCATATTGTGCATATTAATGTATGTATGTGTGTATGTACATATTAAAGTGAAAACTTCATAAATATAAAAACCAATTAATATAAAAATTATGTCAATATTTTTTTTGTTAAAAATTTATTTTAAATAAAGATAAACCATTATAGATAAAAATTTATTTGTTTTTGCTTAATATTTGAATTAGTAGATATTTTAAAACTTGGATTATTAATGCTATAGCAGCTATAAACATAAAATATAAAGTTAAATTTAAGTAAACTTTTTTAACCGAAAAGCTTCGCTATAATTTTGAAGAATATATGTATTTCAAATAGATTAAAATTTCAATAATCATAACTACATAAACACATTTCAGTTTTCAAAGTTAACTTAATAAATGTACTTAAGAAATAACTAATTTTTTATGAGATCGCGTGCTTTTTTTATTGATTTATATCAATTAGGGTATTGCTTACTTTGAAATACTATTTTATTATTTATTATTTTAATTGTTAATGTTATAATACAATCATTAACAATTGATTTGTCGGATACATTTTTATTTGATACAAATGCCGAAAAAGAATTTGTAAATGTTTTCTATACTGTTCAATTATTAGCCAAATATTTCTTAGCTAATTAAATTATAAGGCACACAAAAAATATGAACTGCATTATCGCATAAAATCGTTGTTGGGTACCAAATTTTCTGTTAGTTAAAACATATTAAATACACGAAAGACCTACAAAAATGTTTAAATTTTTTTAGTTTCTCATTTCATTCGCATATTTAAACAAAAAATAAATACAATTAGTACAAGATATCCTTATTTTTTAAATAATGCGAATACAAATTATTGAATTTATGTATTAATCAGAACCCTACATTATTCAAAATTTTATTCAATTTTTAGAAGCATTCAACTTGAAGCTTTCGCTGCGAGAACATAACAGAAAAAACAAAACATAATATTATTGACTTAATTTTTCTAATGTTTGAATTTGTGAATTTAACAATGAAGAATTTTAAAATTGCACATCGATAAACTTAACAAAAACTATTATTGTTAATCTTACCTTCTTTTTCTGTTAAATCTGAAAATTTCACTCCACCACTGGAAATGTAAAATTGTTTTTGGAATATTAGTATGTTTATTATTATCAGAATTCATAATTTTAATAAAATATATTCTTCTTACCTTAAAAGAACTGAAGCAGTTTCAGGAACTCGAAAAACCTTTAAAATGTAATGAGAAGCAAAACATATTAAATTATTGTTAAATAATTACTTAAATAATTACTTAAATGAATTGTATATTCATATATTGTTATGTACATAATACAAAATATGTTACGAATCGGAAAAATTAGAGATAAGTTTTTTCATAATTTTAATTTTACATGTATAAATTTATGTTTATCTTCCAATTTATTACTTTCAAAACTATGGATTTGAAATTATTAATCTCGACGTAGTTTAAATTAGCAAAATCCTGAACACTATTTGTTTCATTAATTTTTTGTTTTTACCGCCCATATATTTTTTTTGGAAAATTTTATTGTTCTATTTGATAAAATGATCCACACAATATTGCAGTAACACAACACGTAAAACGCCTTTTACATAACATGTTCTTCCTGCTAATCTTAGTGCCCAGGTTTTATTTTTTTACGTTGAGATATTTTGAATATATGTACAAGGAAAAGCTTTTTATCTCAAGTAATGCAAACTTACTTTCCAACCCAAATTCTCGAAAAATGTGCATAGTCTCGACTGACCTGTCGTTTTACCGCCACATGGTCCTGAAATTAATTAAAAAGCTTTATATCATGTTATTGAAAAATAATTAAAAAAGATTTCAAAAATTAATAATTGTGCATTTTATTTTTTTTTTTGTCAACTTGCATCGGTAAAATATAGATTGGATATTCCTCTTTTATAATCATATACTTTTAAAGATTTTCTTGCCTAAAATAAATTCTGTAAAATTCTTTTTTTATTATATAAAATTAGGAGCCTACCAATCAATTTAAATTCATTATATAATAAAAAAATAAGGAAGAAAATTTCAAATAATTGGAATTGGAACAAATTTTTCGTTATTAACAATTACATATAATGTTCGAAAAGCGCTATTGAAAAGCGTGTCATTTCAGAGTTGTACCCGTTACGCTATCATTCTGGGTCTTATTTTGAAATATTTTAATATAATGATAATTTATATTACGTATATTTAATTTATATTGAAGTATTGGTAGGGCAGGTCTTACATACTGAATGTAAGATGAGTAATTGAAGTTGCTCTACACATGTTTTGTAGAAAGATTTTGGATATTGCCAAAATTAAATAAGTGTACCTATATGATGCCAAATAATTATTTAATTTAATAATTATCGCAAAAAATATGCTTCAGTTAAGTTCAGATTAGAGCATTATTGCTATTTTATTTTCGATTTCGTATTAAAAATCGTTATACTGTTAAATTGCTAATTCTTGCACTACAATTTTTTTCCATTGAAGATAACACAAAAACCTGAAAAGATAGGTAAGTATGTATTACCTAATTGTTTAGATATACTTGTGAAACATGTGAATGCACACATGACCCACGTTCCGCCAAGCTTCATAATAAGTAAGAACAGTAAACACGTATTTTAATATTTTTGAAAATTAAGCACCTATAACCCTTTTACTAATTTGAAATCATTAATATGTATGTTGATGTACGCGTTACAAAAGAGCACATGATAAAATTTATCTCTATATCAATTTATCTCAACAGAAACATAAACCGAAAAATGTCATTTCCGTGAAATAAAAATAAGTTAACAAAATTTTTAACATAATACATACATATTTAGTTATAAATCATAAAATAACAAAACAATTAAATTAGCAAAAGAAAAAAAAATGAAACCAAGAAATTTGTATTTTGATGTAGGTACCGACTAGAATAAAATTTGTTGGTGTGTTTGTGTATATACTTAAATAAAACAAATATTAAGCTCATTTTGCAAAGTTGGTAAAGCACAAGGGTAATGTGGCACTGAATACAATTTTTAAAACCCATGTTTAGACTAAATGTGGGCCTAAATATATATACATATGTAAATACTACCTTTAAAATTAAATACTTGTAATGAAATCTGTTCTTATCCTTGTGCATTAACAAATTCCGTCTTAATTGTAAGGTAGGTAAGTAGGAACATATTATTATGTTAGAAATAAAATAAACATGAAACACGTTTTTGTTTAACAAAATATTCAAAAACAGATGGTACCCATGGGTTAATCCATAGTCAATGACTTCTCTTGTTTAGAATACGACAGAACTTGGTTACGTAACCGAACAATTTTAAAGATGTGTATGAAGACGTATAAAAATTAAATTAGTATCTATAAAATAAATTTTGTATGTCAATGTATAAAAGCTTATATAGTACGATTCTTTTTTTATAAACATTCGTTTTGTTAAATAACCATACTAACTTACCGCCAGTCAACACTATTTTGTATACTTTTTTGGCTTGCGATGCCTCAATTATAGCTGTTTTGTCCATTTTTCAAGGTAAAATTTCTGGCAAAATTTGATTGTTTTAAAATTTACTACAGCGCCTTTAATAAAATTAGTTGGTCAGCCGCCAAAAATAACTTCTTCAATGATATTTGTTTTTTCTATTTTTTTTGTTGTAGGTTTGTTTTTTAATACCGTGGAAAGCGATTCCGTATATTTTTAAAATTTTTTTAAATTATATTCCATTTAAAAATTTTCGTACGCAAGTAAATCAGCTATCACAGACTCCTTTTATTTTTTTGATTTTCTTCTATTTATAGAAAAACTATAATTCTACCATATTTTCAAAGGGAATATGTATATAAATAAAAATTAAAAAATTTTATATATTAGTTCCCTTTATTGTTTAGAACGAATCGTGGTTCTGATACCAAAATTTGAGAATTTCTCTTAATGGTTATCGAATACAACTTAACAAATTCATTTTGATAAAAAAATTTTTCTACTTTATATGGTAAAGAATTGTGAGCTGATTCACAACTAAAACGACGACAAAAATAACCAAACTCGCCGACGTTCACAATTGAAGTATTAAACATAAAAGCATTTTGGTTGTTCCTTATTTTTTATCAACATGCGCACATTATACTTGCATTCGTACCTATTTCAAAAAATTTAGACATTTGTCATTGACAGGGTCAACAAAACCCAGTCAACAATATCTGCAGAACTGTTCTTAATGGTCAAAAAGTCAATCAGTGTGGGTCGGGTAGTTTATGTATTTTTTTTTACAGAAATTAATTTCTTGAATTGCACTAATGCAAATTTATGTTGTCCAAACAACAATACATTGTAAAAATAATATAAAATTTATTTTTATGTTCTGTAAAATTTATTTATATGTATGTAAAAAAAGGAAATGTAAAAATTAAATTTTTAAATTTTCTATAAAAATATTCAGCTGTTCGATTTAAATTTTCAGTTCATACTATATTATGAACTGAATACTATAAAAATTGAAGTAAAGTATGTATGTATACATACCTAAATTTTTAAATGCACGGTTTGCTTTATTCTTGCTTTTATTTGACGCATATTAAAGATTTTGGATCAGTTCGCATTTTAAAAATTTTTCTGTTTACAATTTGGATGAAAAAATTTTGCAGAGTTTGGGTTTTATTTTCAGTTTAGACATTATTCAATTCAATTTAGATATTTTAATTTAGTCAAACTATGTAGATATATGTATATGTTATCTACGATTCTTAAGGTACAATTTTTTAAGACGTTTTTATTTCTAGTCTTCAATTGAAAAAGTTTCCTAATAATTTTCAGAAGTAAATGAAATTAGGAATTCTATAACCAGCTTATTAAAAATTTTAACCATATAGAAACTAGCTCATAGATATTTTAACTATAGTTTTCAAGATAAGTATAGTTAAACTATCTATAAAGAAAATAAAAATAAACCACCCTTAAGTTTTGGAATTCATGATCATAGAAATATGTAACTAGGTTTAAAGAGAAAAAATTTAAAGCTTACTCAAGTAAATATTAATTCTGGACAATAAACTGAAATTTCATTTATTGTTAAAAATGATACACTTCGAGGATTCAATTAAAATAACTTAAGTAATAAATAACTTTAAAATTAATTTAAAATAACGCTAAAATTAATAAACTCTTGCTAAAAAATGAAAAGAAAAACAAATTTGATGATTGATTTTTGTTTCATGAACAGACCTAAAGTTTTATTACATCAGTTAGGGGCAAAGAGAAAACTAAACAGTTTATTTATATTACAAACCTACGGTAACACGTGTTAGTCTTTATTGTTATAAAATTGTCAAAATTAAGAAAACCTCAAACAAAGCAATGTGGCCTATGACAAACATTACCAACGAAATTGTGAAGTATGTAAACAATAAACATACCAGTTGCAATAAAATTAAAATTTAGTCCTAAATAGAAAAAATTGAAAGCAAAAAAAGTAAAAATATGCCTGTATTTTGTAAGGCTGGTTGCGGGAATAGAGCTTTATTGAAAGTAAGTAATTAAAAAATCGTTTTACCATAACAACTATTAACTTTTAATAATTTTAGCGTCCGAAAACAGGTGATGCACTATGCAAAGAATGTTTTTTTTCTGCTTTTGAAACTGAAATCCATCATACAATTACGCAATGTAAGCTTTTTAAACATGGTGATAAAGTTGCAATTGCAGCTTCTGGGGGTAAAGATTCGACTGTTCTTGCTTATGTTATAAAACTTTTAAATGAAAAGTATAATTATGGCATACATTTAGTATTACTATCAATAGATGAAGGTATAACTGGATATCGAGATGATAGCTTAGAGACTGTTAAAAAGAATGGCGAGGATTATAAATTGCAATTAAAAATTATGTCTTATGAAGAGCTTTACGGGTGGAGCATGGACAAAATTGTTGCTAAAATTGGGCGGACAAATAATTGCACATTTTGTGGAGTATTTAGAAGACAAGCTTTAGATAGAGGAGCAAAGCTTTTGAAAGTAGACTGTATTGCAACTGGACATAACGCCGATGACATCGCAGAAACAGTAATTATGAATATTTTGCGCGGTGACACAGCTAGACTGCGACGTTGTACAAATATAAAAACAGGAGAATCGGATGAAATAATTCCCCGAGTAAAACCATTGAAATATGCATATGAAAAGGAAATTGTGATGTACGCTCATTTTAAGAAATTGATTTATTTTTCCACAGAATGCACTTTTTCGCCTAACGCCTACCGTGGTCACGCGAGAGCATTTTTAAAAGATTTAGAGAAAATTCGACCAACTGTTATTATGGACATAATACACTCTGGGGAACAACTATCTTTTAAAGATAATATTAAAAAACCTGTACAAGGAAATTGTGAACGATGTGGTTTTGTTTCTTCTCAGCAACCATGTAAAGCTTGCCTTCTTTTGGAGGGATTGAATAGAGGTTTGCCTAAATTGGGAATAGGAAAAAGATCAAAAGGAAATAAAATGATTTTGAATCAGGAATCTGTGTTGTCTATTAAAAGTAAAGCGAATCTAATCAATAGTGACTTTTGATAAAAAGGGATTAAATTAAAAATTATGTAAAAATGAAAATAATTGTACAAATAAAAAAATTTTTGAGAGTAAGAACAGATAAAGGTCGGAACTTTGAAAAGTGTTTTTAATAATCTTTTTGTTTTTCAACATTATATGCTGATAGATGTATGTACTATCAACTATTAAAATTAAATTGAAGGTGCAACCAGCCACAATTAATGCGTAGTCGTTCGATCAAATTGATAAATTTGTTATCGAGCAACAATTTCATATTATTTCTTAAAAGTTGTCAAGATCGTTGAGTTGATCAATTTGAAATAAATGAAATTTTATTGATCGTGCTAAATTTTAATCTATTCTTTTATTTTTAGACCTAAAATATTGTAAAAATCTGATTGTACCGAAATTGAAATGCGAAAATTTCGGACAACTATAAGGTTATTTTAATTTTGATTATAAGTTTCGTAGCAAATTCATAATTTTGACGTATAGTCTGAGTTCCAGTCTGATATGTAAACAGTCATTTTGATTGTGCTCACCTTCGTAATAAATTGATTTTGATGAACAAATAAAAAAAATCTCTTCATTTACGTAATTTTTTTTAAAACTATAATACATACATATATAAAATGACCGTTTTCCCCTCAACTTTAATTTCGGAATTGAAAATGACTTGTTTTTCAATTGTCAGCGTATGTTGCATCGACGACAAATACATAGTCAATTTTCCGAAATTCTGCGACTGTCGATGTTGGATGTTGCAGTAATCAAACCATCATATTTAAATCAGTGGATCGAATAATATATAACGAACGCTTCTAAGTTTAAAACTCGAATACATTGCGGCTGCCGCGTCGCGATATCCGCGGTGGTGTAAATGGTACCATTTTATTTTTGACATCTCATACGGTGTCATTTAGCTTTATCGGTTATACTTCCTACTCAATGTTATATTATTATTGTGTGCTAAAACTTAATTAAATATTTTTATCTTTTGCAAAAATAAGAAGATATTTATTGACTTATATGTAAATATAATCATGTCAAAACCTTTAGATGACTATGTTTATTTGTATGAGTAAGAAACCTAAACATTTTCAAAAAATTAATTAAAAATTTAGTTTCAATAAATGGTTTATATATTATAGGACACTTATGGATAAAAGTATTGAATTTAAAACATTTGAAGCTGTCTCACATATAGTCCAAAAAAAATTTGACAAAAATGAGTATTTGAGCGGTGAGGCTCTGAAAAATATTAAATTTTTATGATAAATTAAATATAATTTTAGTTGGGATTCTTTTAACGATATTATTGAAGCAGGGGGACTTTCCAGGAATTCTTCAAAAAATATCGGCATTATATGTCATATATGATTTATTTCGAAGTGAGCAATCCGAATCGCCTTTCTTACCCTTTTTTTTAAGCTTAACTGAACAGAAAGACACAACCGTGTCTAATAGATTAAACATAATAGAACGGAATTTTTTAAACAATTTACTTGCTGGGGGAGCTAAAGAGGTAAAAGATAATAGTTGCAAATTAATTATATTTATATTTACTTAAAATTTAAAATAATTTAAGCTAGCCAAACAAACACCAGGTAATTATATCAAATCGGAAGTAATTTCATGCGCTCTAGACCTATCAATCATAAAAAATCATGTGAATGAAAGATGTAACGAGTTACCAGCAACAGTTAAAGCCGGAGTGATGAATGTTGTACAGGCTCCTCAAAATAATCAAACAACTTCCGAAACTTCCATTACAGATCTAATGCAAAATTTATGTCTTTCGTCAACCAGTCCATTGAGAAATACTTTTGCTCCCCAATTTATGTCTGTAGCGCCACCGTTACTCTCATTTGAAGATGAACTAGTGTGGTTTGATTTAACTAATCGTGCATATCATAAGCCGATTTTGGATACGTCAAATGATGTGGGTACCCAAGCGAAAAGATTAATTCACCAAGCTTTTACACAAGCTCTAAGTCTAATCGATCAGCAATCATTACTTGAAGAATTGAAAAAAGATCCAGATATGGTTTACCAAATTGGATTAACACCCGAAAAGGTAAATTTTTAATCAATTTCAGTTTATTGAAATTTTCATAAACTAGCATTTCAGCTGCCAGACTTAGTCGAGAATAATCCGCTTATTTCGATAGAAATATTGCTTATGCTAATGGATTCAATTCAAATAACTGAATATTTTAATGTTTTAGTAAACATGGAGATAACATTACATTCAATGGAAGTTGTAAACAGGTAATACATATAAATTAACTTAGAACAAAAGTTAAACATAATGAAAAGAAAGCTCTCAGTGTTATTTTTTCTCCCTATTTTTCAAAAATAGAAATTTTTTGTGTAAAAAGAATTTTCTACATACATTTTAAAATTTTTTTCCTAATAGTGTAAAATCAAATATTTTGAAATGTTAAGCATTTAGATTTTCCAGCAAAAAATTTAAAAATATTCAATATTCCTGTATGTGCTAACACATGATATAACTAAGAAGTTTTCAACACTTTTTAGGCTGACGACACTAGTAGAATTACCAACGGAGTTTGTTCATTTATACATTAGCAATTGCATTTCAACTTGCGAGAAAATGAAAGATCGTTATATGCAATCTAGACTAGTTAGATTAGTTTGTGTATTTTTGCAGAGCTTAATTCGTAATAAAATAATAAACGTTAAGGTATAAATTATATTAAATTTCAGATATAAGCTACTAATTTTGGCGATAAAATTAATGATTTTAGGTTCTCTTTATTGAAGTAGAAGCTTTTTGTGTTGAATTTAGCCACATCAAAGAAGCTGCTGCACTTTACAGATTATTAAAACATTTAGAATTAGGAGATTAAATTTTTAAATAAAGCGTGATTTCGAATTACATTAGATGTTATGTTTTATTTTCTATTTTCAACTTAAACATTAATTTTTAAATTTTTGTAGTCATATTAAAAGCAAATTTTTAAAATCAAAAGTAATGTCGTTTATGTTAATGTTTCGCCTTGTGTTACACAAGCTTCAAGATAGTCAATTCTTCTTTCCAAAGTTGTCAGTTTTTCATTCAGCATAGCAAGTCGAGATCTGCAGGACATATCTGAAAACGTTAAAATGCTTGAAAAGGATTCATAAATAATTTTTTATAAAAAATTAGAGAATTGTCTAATATTAATTATAATTAATTTATTTTACTTTTTTAAATAAACTTTAATTAAACTAGCGTATTAACAATTTTTAGACAATTAAAGATAAAACTTTCATCTTGAATTTTTCAATTTGGAAATAAATAAACGCTGTTGGTTAAATTTCATCTAATAATTTGGTCCCTAATTTATATTCTGCATTGTTATGAACCTACTTGTTTTTCTTAATATTTTACAACCATAACACTGTCATCAATTTCATACTGAAAAATATTTCTGTTATAAGCAATTTTGCACTCTTGATCAGAATTATTTTTGCTTGAATTAGTTGCAGGAGAAAGCATTTGTTGAACTTCTAAGCTTTCAATCCTAGTTAACTGTAACCGAAACATTCCATTTTCGTCCATAGTATATCTAAATCGTTTATGACCTGATGGTAATTGAAAGGAATGCACTTTAATCAGGTGTTGTGACAATATGTTTCCACTCTTGTAAACTTTATCACAACAGTGGCACGCGTAACAGCGAATAGGTATATTTTCATGAATTTGTGAATGGTGCTTTTGTAGTTTATATTTTGATTTTGTTGAATAACTACAACCTAATTTTGGACATTCGTGTATAATATTTTCATGAACACTTTCCATATGTTTTCGTATATCATTTTTCATCGCTGATTTGTAATCACATTGAATGCACTTATATGGCTTTTCTTTTAAATGCCTGCAACTAATGTGAAGTGTTAGAGCTCTTGAGGAACTACAAGTCATATCGCACAAGTAACACTTTAAAATATTGACATGCTTGTTAAAGTGTATCCGAAAAAGTCTTTCATTTGAAAAAAATTTAAAACATTGTTCGCATTGGAATTCTTGAGAATTATTGGCTAACTGCCTGTTACAATGATCTTGATAATTTGTTTTTGTTCTTAAATGTTGACCACAATCTGGACAAGCTAAGATTCTTTCATTACTATGCTTCATCGCATGTTCCTTAAACCTGTATAAATTTTTAAATTTTAATTTACAAATCTCCCAACCACACTTTACCAGTGTTTTGTTTTTCCGACTGCGATCATAAAATTTAAACTCAAATTCGCAATGTTCTCGAACATGATTATGGAACAATATGATAGAGTAAAAACTGTATGTGCAGTCTACCCATTGGCAGGTGTAATTTTGTTTAATATCTGGCACTAAATATTTTTTTTCTTTGTTATTTAAGCAATCCGGTAAATTCAAATCATTCTTTGTAAAAGTTCCTACACGCAATAAAATCTCCAAATAAACGTGATAAAAACAATGACGAGTGAATTCATCTTTACAATTCGTATAAAAATTATTGCAAAATTTCCAGCTACATTTATACTTAGATGATTTGGGTTGAGCTTCATTTATATGACCCTCCACATGATCATGGAATTTTTTATTACTAGTGAATTTTTCCGAACAATTTCTGTCCCAACGGCAATATAAGAATTTCATTTCATCTTTAGTTTGCTTTGTTTCACTGACTTTCTTTTTTATTGATTTAACCACTGCCTTATTTTTTCCAATGGGCGATTTATAGTTTGTTTTATTTCTTAAAGATCTTCTAAGTAAACAAGAAGATGCCATTGCCTTTTTAATATAATGTAATCTACTACTGTTGAAATGACGGAATGTTGTAATTTGTATATTAATCACGACTGATATTTTTGTTATGTCAAGATATCAATATACAAAAAATCTGTCTCATTCAATAGGATGCAGCAATCATTTCTGGGCGATTGAATTATTGTTTTCAAAAATAGTTTGTTTCATTATCAATTACTGCATTTTTATGTAGCTTGAAGCCGACTTCAAAAAGAAAGATCCGATTAAATTATTGGTTTGACTTGACAATCTACGCAGCGATTTACGCGGATTGAAATATTGAAAATTACAAATTAATAAATGTATTAATGCCTGTCAACTAATGTCAAACTCAAATCGATTTCATGTACACAACATTATTGTAACACACAATAGCGAAATATATTTTGGCTATTGAGCATGAAATATACGCGTTCAGTTGTGAATAAAAAAAATCTAACATGTATCAACGATTTTGAATAGTTGACATAGCTAATGAAACCCAAAGCCATATAAGTGAACTATAAGTAAATTGAAATAACTAGAATTTCATTACTACAAGTGGTAATGAGAAATTTTTACAGTTGCATTTTTACAACATTTGTTTACAAACTCCTTTGATTTATTTTTTTTGCAAAAGTATTATATGTACATATGTGAAGAACTGTTTACATATACATTTCTACATTTCAGATTGAAATTATCCGATGGCTGACTTAACGTCATTTAATATTTTTGCTGAAAGTTTTGATAAAAATCACCTGATTGTTGTTCTAAATTAATCTTAGCCATTTTACTTTTAGAAAATCTGACAGTAAAGTTGAAAACAGAACAAGTGTGATTTTCCACGGCGAAATGTCAGAATTCATGTAGAATACATATATTTGAAATAGAAAACCGAACACGAGCGATTTTCTCGGGAAAATGCCAGAATTCATAGAAAACACATATGGGATTTCCAAGAACCAAGCGAAATTAGAGCCGTAAAATTATTCCTAAATTCCTGTTTTACCACTTGCGGATTTTTTGTCATTTATCTGCTTCCTTGTGTGTATGACGTTATATACAAAATACGGTTTTGCTACTGTTTTTCCGCTTTGTTCTGTATTAATAACGGAATTCGTACACCGTTTTCGTTCACCGCTTTGGCTCTGTTTTCACAGAAAGTCTAATCAGAACAGAGTAATTTCTATTATTTGCCGGCGTCAAACATAAACGACTTTCATCAGGCTCAGAATAAATCATAAGTTTTGTCGTGTATGCAGACAGTAATTGCCGTCATATTAAAAATGTAAAAATGTATTATACATTCATTTTTTTTTCTACTAGGTGAAAAAATCTCGAAAGACGAAGAAGGACGGCTATCTACCTTTTTCCTCCGACAGTGGAGGAGTGTGACTCCTAACCTAAAAAATCACCTAAACTCTGAACGGATAAAACTGGTCTTACAGACCAACTATTACCTCCGCGCTAGCTTGGAGGTAATAAATACCTTCCATAAGGAAATTGGTATTTCGTGTTAAATCGAATGGTCTTGTTCGTTTAAATCTTTCTGTCATAACGCCATTGTCTAGCAGCCGAGCTGCTTCCATATTTACATGCTGTTCTAGACGAGCCTATGGAATAAAATACTTTTTTATTTTTGCTAATATATTTCGTGCTGATTCTGAAGAAAATCAGCATTGATAAAGTGCGTACGTAGCGCACAAAATATATTAGCAAAAAATAAAAAAGTATTTTATTCCGAATAAAAGGAAGTTTTCTTTTCATACCAATGAAAAAAAAAAAAAAAAGAATTATATTTCGGAAAAATTATCGACCATTGAAAAAAATTTTTTGAACGAGCCCTATGCTTTGTAGCACAATTCCTAATTTCATCCACAACCAAAGGAATTCCTAAATCCCTGTGGATATCACTGTTACGTATATAACATGGCGCATTTACCATGCCCCGTAGAACTTTATTCTGGAAGGTTTGAATTTAGTTAATGTGAGTCTTTTTGGCACAACCCTACAATTGAATACCATATAGCCATATTGATTTAATGATTTGACCATAAATTAATATCTTATTATCAATTGCCAAATTGGACTTACGACCTAGGAGCCAATAATTTTCTCTATATTTATTTTCTAATTCTATGTATTTCTTCTTTATATGCTCTTTCCACCATAGCTTGATCTATAAAGTCATTTCTAGGTATTTTGCTGAGTTATTGATCGCTACGTTCGTTCGATTTACGTTAATTTGTGGTGGATTCACTATTTTCCGATTGGTAAAGTTTATGTGAACCGATTTTGCTTCATTCAACTTCATTTTCTAATCCCTAGTCCACTGGCTTATTTTGTTACTTACTTCGTGTAACTTTTTTGTCCAATCTTCAATGTTCGCTCCTACTACCAATATTGTAGTATCGTCAGCAAAAGTGGTTATCGTAGCATTTTCTATTTGCGGCAAATCACTCGTGTGAAGCAGATATAACGTTGATCCCAATATACTGCCTTAAGGCACACCGGCCTTTATTTCTCTTAGCGTGGAGTATTCAGTGTCTTGTTTAATTCCAAATAATCTATCAGCTAAGTAAGATTTCAAAATTTCTAAAAATGGCGATGGTAACATTTGCCACCAACCTAAGTATAAGGCCTTTGTGCCATACCTTGTCGAATGCCTGTGCTACGTCTAGAAATATAGAAGAGCAGATTTCCTTATTTTCCAAGTTTTTTTCTATAATATTCGTTATTTTATGGACCTGGTCTATTGTAGAATGGTTTCTTCTAAAACCAAATTGATGGTTTGGTATTAGGCAACTATTTTCTATTATTGGCTTCAATCCCTTAATAGCAGCTTTTCAAAAAGCTTAGACATTATTGGTAACAGTGAAATGGGCCTGTAAGACTTTGTTTCCCTCAAGAATTTCCCGGGTTTGGGCATCATAATAACTTCCACGATTTCTAGCACAAGGAACATACCCAAAATCCATAGCTGCATTCATGATTTTCGTCAGATGTTCCAATGCCTCGTCTGGTAGCTCTCTCCGTAATTCCGCAGTAATAAGATCAAAAACCTGGCGATTTTTTCAACTTCAGGGATCTTATCTCTTCCGCAATTTCTAATTGAGTAAGTGGAGCTATGCTGCCTGCTTCATTTGCGATAGATTCTACCAAACTTATATCTGAAGTTATTCCGTTTGGCGTGAATATGCTTTCCAAGTAATCAGCAAAAAATTCGGCCTTCTCTATATTGCTCCACGCCCAACTACCATTTGCTTTCATCAGTGGCGGAGCATGCCTAATCGGTCTCTTTTTGCTCCTTGCCGCCTTCCATAAGGAATAGTTCATTTCCTTGGTAGCTGACAACTTCTTTATATAATTTTCGTATGTTGCTGATTTCAATTCTTGAATTTTTCTTTTAAGCACCTGGGAAAGTCTGTTTAAAACAGTTTTATCATCAGGGTGACGCGAACGTCTGGCCCTTCTCTTTTCCCCTACTAAATCAGTTATTTCTCCAGGATAGCTATTTGCTATTGGTTTGTACTTTGACATTTTTGTATTGATCCATGCAGCTTTTTGTAAGATTTTAATAAATCTTTCTAACTCCACATCTAATTGTTCTCTTGATTGTATATTAATATTTACGTCAATATTGTTGATTATTTCGTATTTAAAGCTCGCCCAATTTGTAGTGCTATTTGTCAAACTGGGCCTAAATAATGTTTTAGTTATTTTTTCACTTAGTTTTAATATGACAGCAGAGTGATTCGAATTAAAATCATAGTGGCCTTCAGGGCTTAGAAAGTTTTCTGATAATTTTTTGGTTATAAAAAAGCCAATAATATCAGGAATCTTGTTAGTGTCAGTAGGCCAATAAGTAGGAGTGCCAGTGGAGTGATAGCAACAATCTAGTTCTTGAATAGCTTTTCTTAGCTCTCTTCCTCTAGTTGAGGTGATTCTAGAACCCCAATCTGTATGTTTGGCATTATAGTCACCTCCTATTAGATATCTGTGTCCATCCTTGTACAGGAGATCTTTAAAAATATTTTTCTTAATGCTGCAATTTGGTCGACAGTATACAGCACCAACACTAAAGTCCTGTTTAGTCGATTTAATTTTTATTGAAATAAGCTGAATTTCAGCCGTTTCTATCATGAATACTTCATTATGTTCTGTTCTTTCTTTTATTAGTATTGCACTACCTCCTCTTGGCTGATTGCTGGGATGTACCGCTTTATAGCATCATACCCTTTTATTTTAAGGCAGGTATAATATGTCAAATGAGCCTCCGACAGCAAACAAATATTTATATTTCTCGTTTTGAGAAAGACCTCCAATTCTTGTTTCTTATTAAGAACACCATTAGCATTAAAGTTACTATACGTACTTCATTCACGTACATCTTTTCATAATTTCTTTTGTGTCCCCGTATACACTTCAGTGTATGCATTTTCTATTTTTAATAATCTTTTAGAGATCTCGTCAATTCTAATCAACATACTATGCATCATTTGCATAATGTCTGTGTGAGTTCTTTTTATTTGTGGGGTTTTCTTCTCAGGTTCCTTCTTTTTCCTGTTTTGTGGGGTTTTGCTTTGAAAGTGGGGTTTTGCTTTATTCTGGCTATTTTTGGAGTTCTTTGTTCATTAAATTTAACTTGGTTTTGTTTGGTTTTATTCTTTTTCAATCTTCTTTTTTGCAATTCTTTTGCAACCAAACAACCTCGATAGCTAGCAAGGTGTACGTCATTGCAGTTCGCACATTTGGGCTGAAAATTATCCTTCTTGTTGCACTCTGCTGTCATATGATTGCCAGCACATTTTACAAATCTAGCCTCTCTTTGGCAAAACTTTTGTGTGTGTCCAAATCTCTGGCATCTCTTGCATTGCGGAACGTTTATTCTTTCTTGTTTTAATATCTTAACTATGTGGGAGTAGTTTTTAAAGTTGCTCAATATAACTGGATGAGGCTTGTGCTTTTTTGGATTTTCAGCCTTTATTTTAGGGCTGGTTTCATTATTTTTTTAACTGTCCTCTCTGAATTTATTTCGGGAGTCTTTTCCATTTCTCGCTTCTTTGCATTATTCCTCATCGGTTTCATATACAATAACTTCCGCATCTTTTTTTTTCTTTTCTGTTGATGCAGATTTTATTTGATTTTTTAAATCTACATTCTCTTTTGTAGCACCTTACAAAGACTCTCTAACTCGGTTATTCTCTATCCGAGTATCCAATTTACTCTCCTGTATAAGATGAATTTTCATATTACACATTTCCTTAACTCTGCCATATTTCTCTGCAGTCACCAATGGGGGTGATCGCATGACCCCCGATCTCCTTCTAAATGGGTCCATCAACGCCGATCTACTATGTAATAAGTGGTCTCCCTCAGAATCCATGAGACCAGCCTCCGAAGAGTTTGGATTACTGCGGATATTTCGTGGCCCAATCCGCCGGGCGAAAATATGTAAATAACACATAATATAATATAGTGTGAAAAATATATGTATAAAAATTTAGCAATTAAGTTGATCCTCACAATGCAATACTAAACGATTCTGTGAGTTATTCTACATACATACATATGTACGTACATCATATCTCAGATTCGAGCCCGGATGTAAAGCAAAGTAACTCACTTATATTACAAACAAAATGACAAGCTTTAATGAAAATAAAAAGTTTACCAATCTTAGCATCGGCAATAGTTTTAATCAGTTTTCAAAACTACCCGAATAAATAGGGTACCTATGTATATCACACTTTTTTTGTAATGTCTTATAATCAGATACTTAAAAAACCAATACCAAAAACAGTCAAGGTTCGAAAGGTCCAATATGGAAACACAAATTTGCTGCATAAATTTATACCCCCATACAATATGTTTTTATATACCTCTTTTTAAATTTCATATTCAACTTTAGTTTATGATAGCCTTTAAAAGAAATATGAAAGAATTGTTCACCTTTTAATACTATCTTTAATGTCTTCAAGAGTATTTGTTCTGTTCGTGTCACAAATGTTGAGTCATTTATCAATGTAATGTTTAACTAAATTTAATTAATATATGGTTGAACTTTAACTTACCAAACGAATTTAAGAAATCCGTAATTCTCTTTATGCTCGCAGTAATTACCTTAATAAAAGAACATGTAGTTAAAATTAAATAGAACAATATGAATGCTATTTGTTTACTTCTATATATTCTCTGTTAGCCCAGTCTTGATGAATTTGTCTTTGTATGGCTTCCCTATGTTGTATTCCAGACATTGCTCTGTAATAGCCTTTTCAAAATTTAAAAATTTTTACTTTTAATTCTTGTTTTTGATAACAAATAAAATTAGTTTGGCTTATTTATAAAAGTTAATTAAGGAATCTCTAAAAGAAAAAGTGACAATTATGATGTCAAATATTATTGAATGACAATTTATCATGTCAAGTTTTGTATGTAAAAAAAATATATATTCAACATGCACCAGTACTCAATTAAGAATGATTACAGGAAGAATTATCGTTGAGTAATTGTGATATTTTTACACGCCTATTAAAGCTAAAGAAAAATGTTTGTATTCTTTTACAATTCACGTAAATAATTTGCGCAATATGTAAAAAACTATTTCTCCGCCTCAAACTAACTTTTCTAAATAACTAATAAAAAAATAAATCAAAATAAATTACCTGAACAGAATATTGTTTTCAATTAATTATGTTTGATATGAATTTTATATATAATGTCAAAATATGTAAAAAAAAATTTTTAATGCTATTTGACGAGAAAAATTGGAAAAACTTCTAATGTTTCATATGTTCTAATGTGTTTTCAATATTTATTTACTTTTTCGATTATTACGATATCTTAATAATTAATTTTTTTTTTTACATTTTGATAGTATAACATTACTATAATATTTGATTCGAAAATATATAAATTTTTTTCTTTTTTAAAGTTTATATATAAATTCTCAAATATTTCACCTCATTTTTCGAGAAGAGTACACATTCTCCCATTCAATTTCCTTCATAAATTTTCTTCATTTCAATTCAATTTCTTCTCAAAGTTTTGCGCGTTATTGTGTTTCATGTGACATTTTAAATAAAAATAAATAAGTACGTACAGTTGAGTAACTATCAATCATATCATCATAAGAATTAAGGACCTTAATAGATTTTGTTTTAAATAAGCAGTGAGAAACAAAACATAAATATGTACACTTAATTAAAATTAATCTACTAAAATGCTGTGAACTTTTTTATATTATTTTAGATATATTTTTTATTTTGAAAATCGTGAATGATGATTCTTTTCAATTAAGCAATTCTACTAGATTTTAGAAATAAGTAGGGCTTATTAAAAACCAACTAAATGTGCAAAATCATTAATGTAATACCGTTGCACCAAAATAAATTAATATGGAAAAAAATGAGATATCAATGCTTCTAGATGTGAAAATAGACGTAGCCGTAAAAAGAAATGAACCTGGGAGATTAAAGGTAAACCATTAAGTATCTTGGAAACTTGTACCCACATACATATACAGATGCATGTGTCACGGTCCAAATTTTATTTCTAATATAAAACTATTTTGGTGTTACATATTCAGTTTTTGTTTCAAGTTAATATTTTATTCAAGTGTATATTTTTTATTATATTTAAAGAACCCGAGGACATACATGTCTATCTTATCTTAAATTAACAAATTGAATCTTTTTAGCTATAAAGAAATATAAATATTTTGAAATATGTTTCAATATGTTTTAATTTTCTAAATTGTAACTAAATTCTAATTTGGAAATTTTTAATTATAGAATTGGACAAAATGTAATGTGAAAATTGAGACTGTTAAATCTATTCCTTGTTTTCTAAGAATAAAATTTTTTCAAAACACAGAAAATGAACCCGAAAGTCTTTCAATTCCTGTACATGTTCCTGGTGTACAAGTACGCCTAACAAACTCCAGAACGAAAACTTTTTCTTATGGTATAACATGGAAAAGTAACCGTAAAAGATGTCATATATTTTTTGCCTTTGAGAGCAAACTAAGTTTTGAAATGCATATGAAATGGTTGAAGGAATCTTTGAAAAATTTGGAACTGCATCGCAGAGGTAAGTTTTTTTTTTGCTTATATTAATTTCATAAATTGAAGAAAAATTTTTAAACAAATATTGGTTTAGAAATTTTAGAAACTAAAAGAAGAAGTCGTGATGGTTCTTCATTTCTTAATTTAAAAAAAAACGCAGATTTGCCTACCAAAACTGTTCAGGATATGTTGGGACCATTACCGAAAATTCCTGATAAAAGAGAAAGGTACATATTTTTTATCCAAATAAACTTTTGGTAATTCAAATTCATGGATTCAAGCTCTACATACCTGTCTAATTTTAGTATGAATTGGTCGAGACGCATATCAACTGTTTCAGGAATATACGAAGAAATACCCGATTCGGAAACTTTTAGGCGACTTTCGCAGGCATCTGGAATTTATGAAGAAATGAAACCACCTCAAAGTATTGGCATATTGTAAGCTCTGTCATAATAACTTTTCTGTGATTCCGTCTTTACGGCATTGATTTATTTTAGATTTCAAAATGAGTCCCCACCCGAATTACCAGCTAGAAGCCGTATAAATACCTTTGAAAATGAATTTTTAGGTGTGATTCCTAGGTCTAATACTAATCCAGAAACAGTTATCGCAGGCAAAAAAAATAAAATATTTCTTCAAGGACTGCAAAACAGTTTGTTTGGAAAACGTTCAAAACGTAGTGAAAGTGTTAGTGAAAACAAAGTCACTACTACAGGAGATTTAATAAATACCCCAAAAAAATTACTTAAAAGCAATCCGCTTAATTTGGAAGGTCATTTTTACCAAAACATTGACAGCAGTTTTGATCTAGCCCAAAAAAATGATACATTGAAGACCCCAACAGAACTTAAGAATCGTTATAGTTTTTCTAGCCCAGATTTATCAAAAAATATCTTGGTTTCAAATTTATGCAATAACAACAAGATGTTAACATCATTTTCTACCTTAAATGTTTGCGAATCATGCCAGTCCTTACAAAATATAAACTTGTCTAAATTATCAAGAGTCGAGGCAAATTCTCCATTTGCTGTCCATGAAAAGGATCTTTTCAATATTTCAGATAAAATAAACGAAACATTTAATTTATCTATTAATTCATCAACAATAAATTTAGTCGGTGCTAATTTAAATATTGAAAATAATGGAACAGCGAATCGTTCTCACACTATTTCGGCTAGAATTATTGATGATATTTCAGGTTATTGTTCGATGGCTCCAATAAAAAACGAAACGAGAAATAATTTTTGTAAAATCAATGAAAAAGAACTATATGAACCAATTAAAAATTCAAATCATTGCCGAAAACTAAACGATAGTGATAAAGAAAATAAGATTTATTCATCCAAATCGATATACAATGGTGTAGTGGAATTCAAAAACAGTACTGAAAATAACGATAATTCTCATAATTCGCCTATAAATGACATTATAAGGCTTAATTTACCAACATATGCTGTTACTGAAAGCCATTACAAAACCCCAAGAAGAAATGCTAAAAATATTGATGAAAAAATTTCTTCTTATTATCCTAATACTTCCGATTTAAAAAAAAATAATAATTTTAGACAACGATATTCATCTTCCTTAAAAGGTGATGATAAGGAGAAAAATATTAAAAAGTGTAATCTTGAAAAATCTCGCCTTAAGAATGTTGAAAATTTAAATAACACTCCAGTTTCAGTACAAAAACAACTGAAGCACGAATTTAAAGAGAAAGATAAAGTTATAGAAAATTCAAGCAATATTTACGAAATAAAAAAACTGATTCCGTTGAAAGCTTGTAAAATTTCTGAAAATGTGTACTCCGTTAAAAAATTAGATAGTCAACATTCAGTAGAAAATATTAACAAGAAAAATTGTAATTATTCGAATAATGATTTAATTTCTGAAGTTTCATGCAACGAAACCCCTGAAGAGCCTCTTAATATTTCTTTCAGAACTTTGCTTCAAAATATTGATTTTAAGTTTGACGACTCAAAAAATTCAAGTATTGATCAACAAAAAGAAAGCGGTAACGTTTATCAAAATTATTCTGAGGCTTCATTACAAACAACTTCGAGTAAGCATCTCAAAGTGAATTCCGTTAAATTACAAAGAAGTCCCAGAAATAGTACCAAAAACAGGCAAGAAACAATTTCTAGTGATGTGAAAATTTTTACACCAGAATCAAATACAACGAAAAAGATTACCTCATTACAGCGGTTCAAAAAAATTGATTTTTCTCCTCTAAAACTAAAAATTAATAATGTTCTACAAAGAAATAACAATGAAGGATATTAACGCACATTCTTTATCTTGAAGATGAAATTTTACTTTTTAAATTATTTAGATCTCATTTTCAGATGATAAATAATTATAAGAATCTCGGTTAAACATTTACGCAAAATAATTCTTTTATAAATATTATTTGTAAAAACTACATTGTCAACACTTATTTCTATCATTATTATTTTACATATTAATTTGTCGATATTAAACCTAATTATAAATTCAAGTAACAAAAAAATTGTTTGCAGTTTTCTTATTTTATAGTTTCTTTTTTTCAAAAAAAAATTATGAATATAGGATCAAAAAGTATAAAAGAATCTGGAATTTAGTAAAATAAATAGTATTACATGTAGTTTAATTTTTTGTATTACTTTTAAAAACTTTAATATGTAGTATCAAGTACAAATAAAATAAATTTTTAAAAACTTATAAATGTCAATAATCAATTTTATATATATGTATTTTATAAAATAGAGCAATCTAAATAATAATCTTTTATATAAAAAAAATGCAAAAACTAACTTTATAAATTATGTTAACTAAATTTTTATAAACGCAATAACTGTTACAAACGCCTTCAATGTAGATTTTTTTAATAAAAAAGTGTGAATGCTGAAATTTGCTTTAGTGTAAAATTAATTGAAGTAACATATCAATTATTGAAATTTTTATTATATAAATTATAGTATTAATAATGAATTAAACATTGTGATTTGCTATTCAAAAACAAACATTAAGTCGAATATACATACATATATAACATATAAAATTTATTGAAATATTTTGTTTTATTGTTTTTCTTTTTATTTTACAAATAATATTATCATTGTGTCAAAAATTTTTAGCTTAAATAAAATTATAATTATGCAAATATTCTTGCTTAGATTATTGAATCAATTGTAATTCATAAATGCAGATAAAAATAAAAGATATTTTGTTAACGAATACATGCATATGTAAATATTTATTTAGTTTTTTTGTGAAAATTTTAAAAATGGCAGGTCTCAACATAACAAAATCTGATGTGATTAAAATATAACCGACAATATTGTGTATTTTCTAAGTAATATTGAAAAATTCCTAAAAAATAATTGTCTATTCTCATAACACTTATGAAGTAATATCCTAATTAATATAATGTATCTCAAAAAATATAAACTACCAATTAACTCACTGATTACCTTTTTATTGGAATTTATTGCTTATCTGTTTTTAAAATTTCTAATTATTACAGTTACATCTTGTGTCTTCGTCATCACACTAAACCTTTTCCAATTACAAAATCGAGAAAATTGTGTAAAGCAAAAAAAATATTATTAACGGTCATACATTTACAATGGAACTACTAAAATAACAAGTTTTATTGGAAAATTTCAAAAGTGAAATTTTATTCTTTTAAAATAAAAATGTTACCAAAAATGATATACAGTATATTATATGTTTTTATGTATGTTTTTATAAATTGTTTTCGCTATTGCCATGAGGAGAACCAACCAATGGATGCATGAGTGAATACATAAATACATAAAAATGAAGAATTTTACCTTGTATTAAACTAAGAAAAGAGATAAAGACTCTTATTTGCAAGTCACCTTAAATTGCCTTTCTCTTTTTTCAAATAAATTTTCTGCCGAACTGACATGAATATTATTTCGTGAGACAGTACTGATCTACTCCTTGTTCTTACACATTATATGTTCTGTAAAGAGCAGATTCAATTGATTCTAATACTCTTTTTCTCACGAAATTACCTATTTTTTTTAGCTTTTTGGTTGATAAAGACCAACTAAAATAATTTGAGCTTAACTAAATTCATTTTATTCAAAATAAAATTATAAATAGTTTTTTTTTTCTCTTTCTTATAATGATTTTTTATTCAACGTCCTCAAAATTTTAATTTTGCTATTATTTTGGCACGCAGTAAAACAACTTTAACTTTTAATTTCCTGTTAATATTACACTGTTACAATAAAGATAATTAACAATATTCCGTTAGTTCCAAATCTTCTTATTCAAAAATTTTGGAATTTTCTGAATAAAATCAATTCCGAAATACGGAATTCCATACTGAAAAACAAAATTCACTTTAAAGTGATACGGCTAACAGAACATAGGTGAATAAGTTAATTTTATTATAAAATTAAAATTGTGAGTATGCTGATTTTTAGCGACTGCGGTTAGGAAGTTACGGAAGAGTTTTTCTTTTTTAAATAAAAATGGTTTGAAGATATGTTAAAAAATTAAAAAGCTATTATATGTTTTAAAGTAACGAAACCGTTATTACTTGTTAAAACTTCTTCTGTATTTTATGCAATATTTAGGTAGACAATATTTCGATATTTTATACCATTTCTTTTAAAATTTATTTTAAATGGCAAATAATTTAAGGTTTGTCTTATTAACTAATTTAGTCATAAAACCTTAATAAACGTGAACTATTTTAATTATTGATTTTTTATTTTCAAACTCGAAATCACCCTATATTAACTATGCATACATACATGCAAACTATATATTATGCTATACATATAAGAGTTTGAAATTTTCTTTTTTCATGTAACATGAAATGTTGAAACTACAAAAAGAAGTTGGAATTAAAAAATTCAAACTCTCTTCTCAAAGTCATTCTTAAAAAACTCGTGAACATGTTCACATATTGTAGGACATGGGATAAAAAAGTGACTTAAAATAATTTTATTTTTTATTCGTAAAGGTTTAATTAATTTATTAAAAATTAAACGGTTTATTAAAATAAAAAATAAATAAAAAAGGTATTTTATTAATTTTATTTGCATTTATGTGAAAAAGAAATAATTCAAGAAATAATTACAAATTTAAATTATATAAAAAAAATTAAACCTTACCATTTTTTGTGTTTATGTATATGTTCGCAGATATATATGTTTGTGTTTAAAAGTTTATCATACTTATGATTTTTATGTACACTTGCATGTGTAAGTAAGAGTTCTTTTTTGTTTCGTGGTAAAAATATAAAATGGTATTTCTTTTAACAAGTGAATTCCTTAAGATGGGCTACTACACAATAGTACAATATAACTACATCTAAAATAATAAGACAAAAGGGGAAAAATATTAAATTAAGTTCCAATTCAAAATATGCTCAAAAGGAATTCATAAACCTACTCAGAAAAAAAATGGAGAAAAATTAATATTTAAAATACATTTTAAAATTATTAATATAATTAATTTCTTTAAAAATAATATCGTGGAAAAGTGAGAAATTTTAATGCTTTTAACTTCTAATAAGAATAAAAATTCTTAAATATAATTATAATATTATAACAGTTTTCAATTGAGGTAAATATTTTCTTTTTTAATTTAAAAGAGAGAATAAAAACGATCGTAATATGACCGGAGAAAAAATAACCTAAAAAATGAGAGTATAAAGAGCAGTGTCCGGTCCAGAGACCTTTCTTATTAGTTTGTACCTACCTGAATTAAGTATTTGTAACAAAAAATTTATGCTCTTTTCATATATTTATACAACATACTTATATGTATAGTTGCCTGATGATCAATTTGAAAGTATATATTTATTAAATTTTAATATAAATATTATAAATACATTTGTAATTTTCATGTACGTACATAAAATAATTTATTTCATAAAAGAAAAAATAATTCTATTAAAATTTTCATTTGTATACCTACGGGAATGAAATAATATTTAATCTCAATATAGGTATTATGAATTAATATTTTGATAATTTATTTACAACCATAATTGCCTTGTAAAATAAATCAATTGAATAAAATTAAATTGTATATACTATAATAAATGCCAAAATTTTAAAATTTATAATAGGTACATATGTACTTAAACATTCATAATATATACGTATACATATGTATATTTTATAAAAATTTTAATAATTAAGTTCTATAAACTGTTATTATTTATATAATTGAAATATGTATATATTAAATTATATACATTTATTTTAATTTAATTATAATAGCAATTATAAATTATATGTATGTATACAGTTCTCCCCGGTTAATTGAACCGAGAAAAGTTGCACACTTTTTGTATCAATTAAGCGGGTAAATCAATTAAAAAAATCCCGTTTAATTGAACAATTGGTGCAATAAAACGAATTTTTTTAACTGAATCGTTTACGCATGAAAACGAATACTCGCTATTGAAGATCAGGCGCAAAAACGAATTTGATCCTGCTACTGCATAAAATTAATAAAAACAATAGGAAGCATATCCTATTACATATACTTATCAAAATATCCTAGGTAAAAAGCTATATTTAAAATAGGGGATACACTAATGAAATACTAAAACTCAAATTTTTTTTTATTTCAAAATTTAAAAACTTAAATTTTTCTTTATTTCAAAATTTTAAAACTTAAATTTTTCTTTATTTTAAATCCATCTAAGTAATGTAACTATGAATTCAAATTCAAAATATTTAAATCATAATATTTTTATATCACATAACATAACAAAAATTCAGGTCAATAAACAGGGGAATTTTTCACAGTTTTTATAAGGTAATACCAAAAAAAGAGATTCATTTAAGCGAGTTGTTCAATTAAACGGGACTCAATTAAACGATGTTATTCATGTATATTTTAATAGGGATTTAAAGTTGCCTTAGTTTTTCGTTCAATAAAAGGGGAAAATCAATTAAGCGTGGTGCATTTAACCGGGGAGAACTGTATACAAAAATAAATAATAAAGTTATGTAAATTAAACTTCTATATAACATTTTTGTATAATAATGTATTATGTACTTATATATCTACATATGTATATACATAAGTATTTATTTTATCATCAAAGATACACATATAAGAACATAATGGCGAAATTATTTAATTGCTAATTGGTACGCTTGTATATTATGTACGTAATGTATGTTTGGATGTATAACAGTATAATGTATGTATATTTAGAACTCGATCACTTAACTTTGATGGACTGTCAATACAAAAGAAGTTTTTTTTAAAGAATAAACACAGTTAGATCAGTTTATATATGTACATACGTGTAGTTAGTTTAATAGTTAAAAAGGTTAAAGAATGTTAAACGTTCTTATATATATATATATATATATATATATATATATGTATATTCATACATATACTCTACTTAGATATACTTATGTTGATATATATAAGTATGTACATAATGTAAAATTTAATGAGAAGTCGAGTTGAATAAATCATAACGATAAAATTTTTTTAAAAACATGTGAATAAAAAACATTAAATTGTGTACATACGTATATACATATAAAATAATAAAGTATAATACAAACATTTCATTAACTTGTTCACAATGAAATTAAAATTCACAATAAATTTGTGCATGCATCTATAATATATTGTATGTATGTATATGTATCTGCAAATTTACAATGGAATGAATCAGATTTTAATTAACAATTAACATGCAAATGAATTAAATAAAAGAGTATTAATAAAATTTACTTAAGTTTCTAACATACAAAATTGAAATAATGTAGTGTATCTAAATAACTAATTTAATACATATAGCATTACATCTACATATGTAACGATGTATATAAATTATATTTTTGTAGACTTTTTACAAAATATAGCTAGATATGTTGGTATGTTTGATGAGCCCATAGGTATTGCAAAATAAAAAAGCACACAATTAATATGAACATAATATAAGTAGTGAAAACAATAATTAAACATTAAAATTATGGAAAATAAAAGCATAGATAGCGAGCATGCTATTAACTTAATAGTACATGAAAGTCTTACGGTATTACAATATATTATTTATTACTAAAATCACTATAAATTTTATACATGCTCACATTATGCATATATTATGTAAATCAATTTTGAATATGAAATTTTTTTGTTTAAATATGTAAGTATCGAAATTACTGATCTGTCGTCTATTTCTAAAAGCAAATTTTTGTCTACCTCCCTTATAACTCTTAAAGTTGTAATCCTTCACAGTTGGGAAGACAGTCCATTTTTTACCAACATTGTTGCATTGGTAAAAAATGGACTGTCTTCCCAAATGTTTATGGATACTAACCATAAACATTTTTTTAGTTTTATAATAACGTACAAAACATCGATATTCTTTTTTTCTCGCAAAATGGTAGGAGCAAAATGAAACAACCGTTGTTTTAAATGTGTTTTTTTTTTCTTGGAGCTTTGGAAACCTAAAATTTTAGTGTTTGTAAACGTACATTATTGTTTTGAACAGTTTTTAAAAATATAAATTGTTTGGTGATTCACTTATTTGAAGATATTGAAATTTTATCGAATTTTTACATGCATATCTAGAAGACGGAGAAGTGACGACACGTTTCTTGCAGAAAATATAAAAACATAACAATACAATACCTTAACTCAACATAATTATTCATATAATGAATACTTGAGCCCATCATCACGTTAGTGCTTTTGTTCTCATCTTAAAAGTATGTAAGTAGAGCACATATAATGTAATCTTCCATTTAAACATTAGTGATGAAAGATATTCTGTTGCTTGTCTACTTGTTCTAAATGCTAAATTTAATGTACTCGTACATAATTTTATTTGCTAACGATAATTTGTAAATTGGAATGAGCTTAAAGAATAAGTTTATATAACATGTTATTAATTTTTTTTAAATATATACACTTCTTGTCATAAATTGGTTAACGAAATGATCAAGCTAATGATCTATTATCAAAAGTTTTTTTTTGATACTTGCTTTTTGAAAATCATTATTTGACAGTTTATTTTGCACCGTCTTATAAATAAATATGTACTACATATGTATGTACATAATACATAAGAAAATTTAATTTTTTTGCAATTAAAATAATGTTTAAGCAAAATTATATAAATTATCTTACGGTAGCATATAATTTCGGTTACACAATTATGGGAAAAAAATCATTTTTGTTTGGTGCGACATGCATTTTTTTTATTCACAATAGTAGGGTAAAATGTTTTTTACACCTGCTATTGTTTTTCGTTTAAATTCATGCTACAATGTACCTATAAGGTATTAATAGTCGTGTTCATATACAAACTCCATTGTTCGTTTAAATAAAATTAATATCTAAATTAATAATTAGAAACATAATAAGTATGTATATATAAATATATCATTATATTTATATATATTATATATATATTATATATACTGTACGTAATTTGTATATACATTTAAATTTTATAGATTTTATTTTGAAAATGCTAGTATACATATATTATGTACATAAATCACTTTAAATGTAACAAAATTCAAGATTTTGTTGGACACTAGTTTTTTCACTCTCATTTTTATTTACTATTGTAACCGGTCTGTTATTTTCTCAATGTGCTCTTACTGAATTTATCAATGTATAGACTCTAATTTTTTTTAATTTATAACTACCTGTGGCGTATTCATTTGTATAAGAAAATAATGAGCATAATTATGTTTTGCTCAAAATTATTATCTCAAATATATTACCGAATGCCTTTTTTTTGCATTTCTGAGATAATTCCGTTTATTTTTTATGCTTTAATAATGTTTAAAAAACGATAGATCTATTTTTGATCATTTTTTTATAATCAACTACATACACACTTTCATTTCTAAATAATAGCTAACGTCTTTAATATAGGCTTTAAAATTAAATTTTAATTCTACAAAAAAATTGTATTTAATACATATTTACAACATAACAATAAGCACCTTAAAAGAATAACACAAATAAATTTTATTATCTTCCAAATTTAAGAGAAACTCAAGTTTTATATGTGTAGATATGAACGTATTGAGGTCTAGAGTTAAATATACAATAAAGAGAAAATTAAAATACGGTTATAATGACATTGTGGAACGTAAATTTACAAAATATTTTATAAAAGAGTATTTTAAAACTTTAAAAGTTGATTTTTTTGTTTTATTTGGATATGTGCCGCAATGCGTGCTTTTGAAGAGCAGCAACAAACTGCAATAATTAAAAAGGTGGAGTAAAAAATGTAAAATACATTATTTAAGGTCTATCTAGCATAAAACTTGAAAAAAACTTTAAAAAGAGAAACAATGACGTAATTTCTCACAAAAAGAAAAAAAGTCTTATTTAAAAAAATAAACCGAACGAAAAAGTTGAAAAAAACTTTTAAAAACTTTACAAATAGGTTAATAACATCAAATTTCAAAGTATTTTTCAAACATAAACAAATATTTTTTGGTTATACCAAAAACCGAAAATTTTGATTTTGGATTATAAAAGTGTGAAACTAAGGAAAAAACTATTAGTGAATCCATTATTTTATTTTTAATTAAAAAAATTTGGAATAAAAATAATTGTTGAAAAAATTTAATAACCAAGAAAAACATATGTTTCGATAGCTGTAAGACTTTAAAAGTTTTTGAAACACTAAATTTTACTTTACAAAACTTGAAAAACTTTAAACAAAGAGAAGAAGAAAACGTCACCATTTTTATTCAAACAGTTTTATTCCAGACGTTTTGCATGCAAACTTTTTAAAAACTTTCTTATAACAGACAGACCTAATATGAATCTAATAATATAATCTAAAAATATGATAAATTATTGACAACAGATTAGTCAAACTTACAGGCAACCTATAACGTTGCATATACATATGTACACGAAAACGAAGATTAGCTTACGCAATAGGGACTGCCACCTGAAACTTGCCGAGTTTGTGTCCGTAAAATGGGGTATTTATCATTTTAAATTTTAACTATTATAACCTCACGTATTTTAACTTTCTTATTCATAGAATTCAATTTCTTTTCCCAATTTTTTAAATTTTATAGTTAGTGTGTTATATGTTCCCACTAAGCTTCCATATTTATTGTTATTCTTCCAAACAGTTTCAAATTTTTGTTTCAATACTATTCACTAAAAAAACAAAAGCGTTTTAAAGTCATACTTATACATATATATATATTATATACATAAGCATATAATATAAGCTTATTTGCTTACTCTTACGTTAGCTTTATAATTTTTTAATTTTAAATAGGTGCCTACACAATAAGAAATTAACTAAAGCACTAATGATAATAAGATAACGTATATGATTAGTATACCTTAATATTTAAAGAAAGGAGTGGTAGAAATTTAGACGACAGATAAAAATTGGAGTATAATGGCCCAAAAAATTATAAAGATTTCTTTTATATTATGTGGTCGTCCAACTTTAACAAAGAAATTTGTTAATTATTGTTGAAATAGTTATAAAACATCTTATTTTATTTTAAAGAAGAAGAATATGTGTTGTTCGTTTTCAAAAACCTGTTAAGAAACTTTTTTATTTATATTTCTTTTAGAAAATAAAAGAAAAACTTTTGTTTTTTCTCAATTCAACTATGTTGTATTGAACATTAATGCCTCGAAATATACATACATATGTACTTTCTATATGACTCGTTTATGATTTAGAGCTATCAGTAGGATTTGTATAGCAATTGATCGCAAATAATTATAGCAAATATTAAAATGATTTACGGGATTAACTGAAACAAAAAAAAAAACGAATGCTGCAAAATTTCATTTGAAAATGTGCTACTTTTGCAGAAAATGTTAATCAGTAAAATTAGTAAGAAAATTTAGAATACAAAAATAAAATTTGTTTTTTTTTTTAATCTATAATTACAGATTCAAGCAGTATAGAGCAACAAGTGACGTAGGAAATGTAATAAAATTAATTATATTCTGTATAATTTAATATACAGTTAACTAAAAAAAAATTTGAGTAAATATATTTATTTTCGTACATAGTAAAAAAATTTGACAATTTTTAATATGCGGGAAGAGGAACTAGAAATAGCCATAAAGGTAAATGATAATAAGATAGCGTAGGAGTTGACCAAGCCGAAAACTTAAAATCTTTAATCAAAAATTATTTCTCTCAAAAAAAAAGTATAAGAATAAACGTTCAAAAACCTGACGCCAATTTGCCTTATTCAACAATTAAGATTGTTTTGTTTGGTAAGTCAGGTTGACATCAGATTTGGAATTACGTTATCAATGCTTATAAGTAAATTTGTTTAACTAATTTTGAAAAACGAAAAATATGATAATGATGAACCTATATGATGTTGAGCAAAGTTTTGTGCATTTATCAAATTTTACTTTATTTTTCTGTAGAGTTAATAAAAATTTGGTCAATTCAACTCAATACATAAAAAATATACATATTTAAGATATTTATAAATAAAATATAAAATTTGATCTTTAGGTGGTTATCGTTGGAAATGGTGGAGTAGGAAAAAGTTCGATGATTCAAAGATATTGTAAAGGAATTTACACAAAAGACTACAAAAAAACAATTGGAGTTGATTTTTTAGAAAGACAAATCGAGTAAAATTTCAACTACATATTTTTACAAATAAATTTTTAAAATGTTATCAAGAAAAATTTTTATTTTGAAAAAATTCTTTTAGAATTGATGGTGAAGATGTAAGAATAATGTTGTGGGACACTGCTGGACAGGAAGAATTTGACGCAAGTAAGAAAACCATATATAAATTCTATCAAAGATTTTGTTTAAACAGAAAATAAAATTCATTCAAATGTTTTTTTTAAATATTTTAGTTACCAAAGCATATTATAGAGGAGCTCAAGCATGCGTTTTAACATTTAGTACTACAGATAGAAATTCATTTGAAGCAATCAAAGATTGGAAATTAAAGGTAAAGTGAATTTAAAGCATATTGCACAAATAATAAACAACAATATTTTAAGGAGCTCGTATTTAGCTTAATATCTAATTGATATCCTGACCTATATCTACTGGGTTTTCATATTGCAAAACCTTCTAATTTTTTCTGACAAAGTGAGCTTCGTTAAATTTCGAGTATTAAATAATCAATGTATATGAATTCAGTAATAATTTATTCAATATTATGCTTACTTAAAGTTCTTAATTTAAAAAAGGTATAGATCTAGAGTTTGCAACAGTACAGAAATTCCACTAGAAGCGTTGTGTTTTAAAAATCGCTTTAAAAGACCCTGTTATCTAGTTTTTTATACAATAGCTCTTATTTAACGTTATATAAGTAATAATTAAGCAAAGCATGCCTAATACACAATAATCTTATATTTCTTATTATCAATCAATAATAACACAATAATTCTTATATTTAATTACAGGTTGAAAATGAATGTGGAGAAGTGCCCACAGTAATAGTTCAAAATAAAATAGATTTAATAGAACAAGCAGTAATTACTCCGTGAGTTTCTAATTAATAAAATAAAAACTTGATCTGTATTGATACCATAAAGGTAGTGTAGAATATAGGTGATGCATGCTGACCAATTGATGCTATCATTAATAATGAAGTAAGAAATTATAAATGAGAACATTAAAAAGACGGAAAAGATCTGCATAAACCTCTAACTTTTCAAAAATTATCTTAAAATTGAAGATTTATTTTCTAACAAACTTTGAAAAGGGTTTTTTCTCTTGATAAAGTCGTAGGTTTTCAAATTAATTATATAACGTTTATTAAAAATAGTCAATATGATTGAAACATCATATAACTGTAACTACTCATGTAGATCTTTTAAAAGACAAACTTTTAACTTTTCATTGACGGATTTATTGATTTGCCAAATAAAGGCTTTTAAAAATAAAATAAAATTTTATCTTCGAAGATCTTTTTAATCCAATTAGTGTTCGCATTGTCAAAAATGCAACTTCAAAAACTACAAGTTAAAAATCATGGAATACCTATATGCTGTTAATGGCTTTTCTGGTATCAATACTACTATTATATGCACATAATTATATATATATATGTATATAATTTAAAAATAATATATATAATAATATATACTTAAAAAAAATTGTAGAGAAGAAGCAGAATCATTGGCGATGAATTTAGGTTGTAAACTTATTAGAACATCAGTTAAAGAAGATGTTAATGTCGCTTCAGTTTTTCGATATTTGGCAACAAAATGTCATCAGTTAATGACACAAACTCATAATGCTCTAGCTCCCGTTAGTCAACCAAATATAAGTGCCTTTAGTCCAACTTTCACAAAATCTAATGGGACAATTATATTAAAACCAGCCAAAAAATCTACAAAAAAGAAAACAGTGCTAAAAAAATGTCGTATGCTTTAGAATATATTGTTAAAAATTATTATTTTAATTGTAATTATTCTTTATTATTTAACAACGTATATACGTATTTTACTTTAAAATATAAAATATTTAATTTGCCTTTTCAATAATGAACTTTGTTCCTATTTTCCATTTTCAACTAAATTTGTTCCTGTTTTCTTTTTTCAAAAAAAAATTAACATTTTTAATTTTTATCATCCATAATGTACGAGTATGCCAAAAGTTTTGTAAAAATTATTTCTTTAATAAGTTATAGGAGAATTTTTTATTATGAAAAAAGCCGGTCATTACTATTGAACCTATTGGCTGAGTATCCACACAAAAATACCATTCTTTCTATGAAAATCAAATAGAAAGAATAGTAATTGCTATTTTTGTGGGAAGTAACCGTCAATCTTTTGAATGAAAGTTTTGCAGTTTTTTTTGGTTTTTGAAAATTTTTGAAAAGTTTTAGCAAATAAGAATTCACTTCCCTTGATGGTGGCAGGAAGAAGAAAACATAGCTTTTTCAAGTTTACAGAAAAATATAAAACGACCGTTCTCTTTAAATTGCTTGTTAACGTTGTAATTGTTTTAAAATTTTGACATGTATTTTTACTACGAACGTAATTTATAATTCTATATTACGAATATTCGGAGCAGAATTTTACTACTTCGGAATTGACAATATGGTATTCGTAATTTCCAAGGCCATGAACGAAATTCATGATAGGGCTTAGAATTTCTCGTACATATATCTAAACTTAGAAAATTAAAATTTTGCAACATATGATTTAGGTACGTAAATTTTTAATTTGAAATTTGTTTATTGTGGTGGTATCTATTTTGCTTACGAATTACAAACAAAAAATCAATTTGTTTACACAGGAATCGATATGTATGTTGTGTAGTGTAAACCATTTTTGTAAGTGACCTTGTGTAAACAAGTATCTAAAAACAATTTGGTTACAATCAACACTGAACAAACTGAACGCACCTATAAAGTTGAAACCTTCATGCATATATACAATAGAGATTTTAATTACAGTAAAGTGACCGCAATAAATGAGTGAATAATAATGTTAAAACTAATTAATTTCACGAGAAAATTTTCCAAAACAATAATAAAATTATCTGAGGAAGAGAAGGCTAAATCAGCTTTTGTTGCCTCAGCACTAAAAAATACAACAATTTTTGATAAAATTATCTCAAAAGAAATATCAGCTGATATTATTTATGAAGATAGCAAATGTTTAGCTTTTAATGACATAAATGCGCAAGCTAAAGTACATTTTCTTGTTATTCCTAAGTGTAGAATACCAAGGCTAGAAGATATGACAGAAAAAGATTGTGAAGTGGTTGGACATATAATGAAAATTGCAAGTAAATTAGGAAAAGAACGATCACCAGAGGGATTTAGACTTGTTGTAAATAATGGAGTCCACGGTTGCCAAAGTATTTATCATTTACATCTGCATATTATTGGTGGACAACAGCTAAGTTGGCCACCGGGGGTATAGTCTTAATTTAATTGCAAGACGATTGTTATTGTTAAAACATAATGCCTGTGTAGGTATATAAAACCATGTTTCCATTTAATATCTTAATAAATACATATTTTGAAATTTTCATTCTTTTAATGTTTTCTCTTTTCATGACGTTTCGTCTTTTTATCCTTCTTCTTTTTAGAATGCTCTCTTTCAGAGGAGGATGATGATGAGTTAGAAGTTTTTCTCTTATGTTTGCGTTGCTTCTTTTTCATTTTCTCCAGTTTTTCAAGTTTTTTCAGTAACTTTAACTTTTGTTCTTTGGTTAAAGATTTTAAAAATTCGTTTTCAACTTTTGCTTCATTTTCGCTTTCGCTCGATACTAGCTTATGTGTTGAATCTGTTTGTAAACTTTGTAAAGACATTGCACTTTTTTTCATGGCCAAACCGTCTTCTTTCATTTTTTCTTCAAGAATATTCTTCTGCATAATTGAATTGGCTTCTTGTTCTGAGTGAATCTTTCGAGCTTCACTCATCGAAATGCTATACATCGTACACTCTTTATCAGTATTGATATGACCCCACTTATGGCATTTAATGCATCTAACATTTCTAACTTGAATTCCAAAGGGTTGATCCCGAATTTCTGTGTCACCTTTGCAATAACTTTCTCGGGGTGCATTGTATTTCCTTTGCCACTCAAATTTATACTCTGGTTCATTTTCATCTTTTTCACGTTCTTTGCGAATGCCCGGTGGGGGTTCATACATGAAATTCATACTCAACTTATCTTTGGATTCTTTACTCAGCATTGCTTTATTCTCATGTAAATCTTGTTCTTTTTCATACTGATTCCTCAACTCCTCTTGTTTCTTTTTATATGCTTCAGCTTGTTGTTCTGCCATCCATACCTAAAACAATTTTGATTTAAACGTTTATAAATATAAGAAACAATAAAAACGTAATTTCTTACTCTTTTAAGATTATCCCTTGAAGCAGGATGAAAGAATTTTTTGCACATATAATTGTTGAAACCTTTTCCCATTTTAAAAAATATTTAAACAAATATAACAGTTGAAAAGTTATTATGCAGTATTTGTACAATATAAATTTCGTATGTTTCAATACTGTTTTAAAAATTTAATTAACTAATCTTGTTGGTAAAATATGGTGACAAATATGTATGTATTTACTATTTAATTTCCAATATTAAACGTCATAATAATGACAGTAAATGACATTTACTCCGATAGTAGGGTTGTCACAATGTTTCTTCTTGAGCAAAAAATTTTTTTAGAACTTTCGTTCATTGGATAACATCATTTTGATTGGTTATGAGAAATTTTTCAGTCGAATACGTAATGTTGATGAATTTTTTTGTTGATGTGTCATATACATTTTACAAAAGTTTTGTTTATAATTTTTTTTTAATTTGAAAATGAGACAGCATTTTCAAATTAAAAAAAATTTCATACATTGAAAGTTTTTGGGTGTATGTGTTAAACTAAGCAAAAAACGCAAACGCAAAGTGATCAGCACGGAGCTTGAATTTATTCAGATATACAGTTATCAGAGGACGTTCTGTTCACATGAAAAAAATTTTGTAATCATAGTGCTTTGATTTTGAAATCGAACGCAGTAGAACTTATTCTGTTATTTATTAAGTCTTCAAATTTGAAGTATTTAAATAGTATATAAGTTAGTGAAATCTAAAATTTTTCTCGAGCTAGTAAAATAGTATCTCAGCTTGCTTACTGAATTATTGGCTTCGATTATTGAAACGAACACGTATTTTTGAAATTTATCAAAACATTATATACGTATCCGTAAAATGAACCATTGAACATATTTAAAATGTTCAAAAACTAATTTTGAATCGGAAAAAATAGTTGTCTGTCAAATGTTAAACTAAAAAGGAAATCAATTTTCATATCATTTAATCTCAATCTTTAAGTTTTCAATTCTTTTCGCGTAAAAGAAAAAATAGCAGATTTTCGTATTAATTTCTCTAATTGAAAAAATAAATACCTTACAATTGTTTTAAATTGTAATTGATTGCCGTCATATTGTATTGATTAAGGAATTTAGACATATGTTTGTTATTGAGCTCTTTGGTTTTTTGGGATATCTACTAACTTTATGGCAATTCTATATTGAATACAGTTAAAAATTTAGTACATACTCCTAAAATTGGACAAAAAAAAGAAAAATTGACAGTTGTGCTTGCAGTTGAGAAGAGATTATACATTACAATTTTTCGTATTAATTCTTTATTATTTTAGAGTCTTAATATTTGTAATTTAATATTTGCAGTTTTGGAGAAAACGAAAACAATAATTATATATAATATTGTTAAAATAAAATTTGGTGCCTTCTTATATCATAAATATATTAAATTTTTAAAAGATAATTTGGGTAAAAAATTATTCGTGAATGTTTTGCGGGCAAAGATTGTGTGAAAACATGATGAACCGTTCAGGTAAATAAAGAAGCTTTAATTTTTTTTTTTGTTTTGTAAATATAAATTACGATTTTTTTTTTAAATAATTTTGAATCTTTTTAACAAAAGAAAATTTTAAAACGAAATTTGTAATACAAATGTTTTGATATTTTTTTAAAAGAATATGAAAAACATTTTGTTAAAATTGTTGTTAAAATATTATTGTAAATTGCTGTGTTACTTGTGTACTGAAATTATAAAATAAGTTCTAATAAAAAAATTTATACTACATGCATTTGGTAGATTATATACATAGCTACATATTAATATTTTTATTGAAAATAATGTATGTCAGTATGTATATACGTGCAAGTATCTTTATCTATAGATACAGCTATTCCTATAGAAGGTATATGTATGTATGTATGTATATACATTCAATTTTGGCTACAAATTTTGTTTTGACTGCAAGAATTTTAATTTATGTATGAAGTACAATAAAACTATTCTAAATGAAATTCATTTGACAAAAAATAATTTTTAGAAATAAGTAGTTACATTACTAGCTTCTTATTTAATAAATTTTTGTTCTAAAATGCCAAATATTTTTTAACAACAAAATACAAGAACTTTTTATAATTATGTATGTAGGAAGATAGGTAGGGACATTATTTGTTTTCTTGGGCGTGCAGATTGTTATTTATTTTCTTCAAAAATTAGCTAATTTTTTTTTATATATAAGCACATATGTATGTACTATGTAGGTGCTCTTTATAGTTCTATTTTACTTTTTTTCACTCAACATTTCAAAAACACTCCAATTTCTTCTTCAAGGATTGTAAAATTATTTTGACTGTAAAGTAGAAAAATAAAACAAAATTTTTTTAACAAAAAGATAGCATTACCATTACAAAATTCACAGGAGCACCATATGAAGAATACATGCATATGTGTGTATGCATATATTTTAAATTTATTTACATACCTAGAAACATACATATGTATATATATGTAAATAAATTCTAAATATTATAGGCCATATGAATGATTCATATAAAACTGAATAGGACTATAAAGGATTGCATTTGAATTTTTATTATGTGTGCTTACCATGTTTTAAAAATATCATATCGATACATAAATATGATATTTTATATAGAATAGACATACAGTGCGTCTCTCTATTTATTATTCGACAAAATACCTACCTACTTCTTTCACAACGGAAATTGCTTTTATGCAATTTTTATTCAATGAAATATTTGAGGAATTAGAAATATTAGGAGAATTAGAGAAACATTTGAAGATTAAGAAAACGTATGAAATAGTAATACAAAAATTTCCTAATTATATCGGTAATAAAAAAAAATACAGCAAAAAATTTTTATAGAATAAAATGTTTTTCTCAGTGCTAATCTGCCTACTCTATATAACGCGCAGTAATATAATTTACTAATGAAAAAACCCAAATCAAGCTTACATTCGTTTATAATTGGATCATCATTATTATACGAGTATGTTGCATTTTTATTTATATCTTGTGATGGTAGTTAGTAATTTAAATTGTTTTCCTTGTTGATTGTCGAACTGGAATATATTCTCTGTATTTGTGTTTTTTTTCGTGAAGAATTTTCTTCAAACTGAGCAAAAATACTTTCGTTTTTTTTGTAATTCTTTAATAAAATCAAAGCACGAACTTGCAAACAAAGGGCTAATTCATACAGTAATCGCATAAAATTTCGAGTATCGTTTTTGTTAATTGTAAAACATAAATCTAGTTCTCAAATAATTATTAAATTTTTTTTGCAATTTTTTTTTGAAGATTTTGTTCTTATTTTCTTTTTACATTTTAAAAATTTCTAAAATACCTATATTATAAGAATTAATTTTTAATTTGGTCCACGGAATATTGGTAACCATTTTATTTTCAAACTTTTTTTTTTATTTATTAAAAATATTTTTAGTAAAATATGGTTGCCTAAATAATAATGAAACGCACTGTATATCAACTTTTGAAAAGCGCATATAGCACAAATAATACTTACGAAGCTAAGTTTTTTTTTCTATCAAAGGATAAGTGTCTGTATCTTTTATGCATATACTTTTGTATATACTTATGTATATGCACACATACGGATATTAGAGTATATGTATATTTGTATGTGAGCTCACGTGCATTAAAAATAAGTTTACAAAAAAAAAAAAACTATGGGGTGAAATAAATGCACCACTTAAATCGTCATAAGATATAAAAAAAAGTTATTGAAAGCAAAATAAGTTTTTCAATCAAAATGATAAATTCATGCAGTATGAGATTTAATGGACTTAGTTTTACATACATACATTAAATATAAAGAAAAACATATCAAAATCAATTTTTAACAAGAAATTACTTAAACTTACTTAACTTTTTTAAATTTTACTTTTAGTTTATGTATTAGAATTCGTTGATTGTTGGTGGATATCTTTCCTGACTCATCAAATAGTTATCCCATTCGTTGTAATTATTATTGGATCATACCGGATTTTACAAACTCAAGTAATGTAGTTTCCTCAAACCGTTGTTAAAATGCAATTTCATCCTAAATGAAGTTTAATTAAATGAACTAATGAAGATTGTGTTAGAGCATTATTTATTTATCGGCGGCTGCTTTTTGATTATTCAAAATTTTTCTACTTGGGAACTGCATTGCTTAGTTGTTCTGACTTTCAATGTTTATTTTTTTTTGGAAAAAATTAACTGTGAATGTTAATGTATGCACCGTAATTGGTATCAAAGTACATGATACTTGCATTTTATGGCAACGTAGGACAATGTGATTTTGAAGCATTGGGTTGAGAGATAAAAAGGTATTTTCTATCTCATTAAGACAAAATTTAAGTTCTTTTGTTGCTGAATTTAGGTTTAAATTCAATGCAAATCGAAACAATAATTTGTTTTCAATTAAATATTATACTATGCATATATATATATATATATATATATCAGTATATAAAACTATTAATCGTTCGTTTAATTTTCATTTTGTCTCAATACAAAAACAGAATCTAGATCAAAATGTCTTGTTAAATGAGAAATTGATAAGAAAATACAAATTAATTAATTTTCAATAAAAATATAGAATACAAGATATTGTTTTTTATAGTTTCTAATAAATTATTATTTTGATAATGTTCCCTGGCCCTGATAAATCACGAATTAATATAGTTACTGTAAAATATTTCATATAAAAAAAAGAATTATTCAACTTTAGATTATGTAGATATGGATTTATGTATAACGTATGTATGTACTTAAAATTGGTTTGTAACCCAACTTTGTGTCTTCCTCTTTTTTCAGTTCAGTGCAACATTTGAACAATGTGCACCGAATACACTTTTGTGTCAATAACTTTTTTTTTTGTTTTTTTTTTTTTACTTGACCGACTCTGATTATAAACTTTATAACAATTTTTTTGTAGATATATACATATGTACATAATAAACATTTAAGTACATTCATATATAACTATTCATATATATATAAATATATGTATATATATATAGGTATTTTGGTTTTTTAATGTAATTTCGGTTTACAGTACGACAACCTTTTATTTTAACCCAACCCAAGTACATATAGAAATATTGTAAATATTGTTCAATAGAAATGTACTTATATATGTATGTACATACAATGTATATTATACAGTAAAGTGTTATATTATTAGAGTATATTCCATTATTAATAAAAATTTA